TACTTTAAAAGGTCCTGAAGAACACAGTGGTTTACATCGTTCTAAAATGGGACTTCAGAGCCCCCAAGACTCTTTCTAGAGATCGCTGCTCAGCCAAACTAATCAAATAGCAAGAAAGGGCTTTAGTCAAGAAAGTGGCCAAGAAGTTGGAGATATCTTGGAGCTTCAGTAAAAGGCTCATGACTGTTCGCTTGAAGCCAAAAAGTAACAAGATTCTATGATCTAATGAAACCAAGATTGAACTCTATGGCCTGAATATCAAGCATTACTTCTGGAGGAAGTTAGGCACCATGCATAGTCTGTCCCAATTCCATCTCCGATGACGCATAATGGTGACAGCATCATGCCATGGGCACATGTTTTTGGCTTGTCAGGACTGAGGGAGAGATGGATGAGTCAGAGTACAGAGAAATCGGTGTCTTCACCGATTGGACTTGAAACCAATTAAACATCTCTGGAGAGACCTGAAAAAAATAGTGCAGTGATGATCTCAATCCAACCTTACAGTGCTTGACATGTAAATACTCTCTGAATGCAGTGCATTTACAATTCCAGCTTTTTTGGAGAATTTATTATTAGGGCTGGTATTGAAATTCCAAACTGAATACTGCATAAATGTCTTTAATATCACAGAGAATCAAAACATTTTGTGCCATTCGGTACCAAATTTCAATACCCAGGTAGTTGGTCTTATCATTGTCCATGAGGCAATAAAGATGCTTGTTCCAAAATGTAAATTGCTGATTGGCTGTATAAATTACATTCCGCATGCATGTTATTAATGTCAGCACTTGTTGATTCATCTGCAGTCTGTTGCAGTCAGTAAAATGCCAGCAAACTTCCAGCATCTCACACTCCTTTCTGGTTTGAGTCACACCCACATTCCATTTTGTAATTCGAATAAAGGTACTGGAAAAAGTAACGTTTATGGTTCCATATCAAAGTCAAAGTATGATTATCTGTAGCTATACCAAGCCCTATCAATCATATCAGTCATAATGGTCCATCTGTATACTTAATCAGTTCTTTTCATCCTACTTCACATGTTCTTGTCTCAGATGTGGCGAATGATTTTCGGAGGGCGCTACCTGATTCTGCTGATGGGGCTGTTCTCCATCTATACCGGCGCAGTCTATAATGAGTGCTTCAGCAAAGGCCTCAGTCCGTTCCCCTCTGGCTGGCACCTCAGACCTATGATACAACACTACAACTGGAGGTGGGCATCAATATAAATACATATAACATGTCAGTGTGTTAGAGCCACATCACTATAGTTTTATACATTCATCTTATTTAGCACCCCTGATAGAACTTAACAGCTAATGATCAGACCCTTTGAGTTTTATTGGGTTAGCTGGAACAGGGAATGCAATAAACTGTACAGTGCTGCGCCCTACCAAGAGTACATGGGTACAATACAGTCAAGTCTGAAATTGCTGTGATTCTCCAAAATACAAACTCTGTTTATTTGTACTGTCTTTTCCTTTAAATTACTTTTTCTCTTAGTGATGACACCCTTAGGGAAAACCAGTACCTTGCTTTGGACCCAAACATCACTGGAGTGTTCCAGGGCCCTTACCCTTTTGGCATTGACCCGGTAAACAGAATTAAATCCTTATTGGAACCCTTTCACAGCAATATGCTGACAGTTTTGATATATTAAATATTACCTGCTGTTAACCTTTCTACTGCAGATCTGGAGACTGGCAAATAACCACCTGACCTTCCTCAATTCATACAAGATGAAGATGTCAGTCATCATTGGGGTCATTCACATGACTTTTGGAGTTTGCCTGTCTTTTTTCAACTACATGTGAGTCATTTATGCATCTCGTACACAATAGCATCTCTCCAATGCCTCCTAGCACATTTTCTTTTATTGTAACTCTCCTTTATTTACTTTACTGTTTACCTGCGTCTTCTCTCATTTTGCACGTTTTACCCTTCAGTCTGCCTTCATTTGCATTTTTCCCCTCTCCCTGCACAGGCACTTTGGTGACATGGCCAGTGTGTTCCTGGTGCTGATTCCTGAGCTGGTGTTCATGCTCTCTCTGTTTGGCTACCTGGTCTTCATGGTGGTGTTTAAGTGGATTGCTTTTGGACCGCAGGACTCCAGCTGTGCTCCTAGCCTCCTCATCCACTTCATAGACATGTTCCTGTTCACTCAGAACCCAGACAACCCACCCCTCTACCCAGGACAGGTGAGGGACGACATAACAGAAAAATGCGTTATGTTCTCTATACATCTGCTTCATGTCTGGGCTAATATATCTTTTTTATTTCTCATTTGTAAACAAGACACAATCCTGGCCAAATTCAAATGAAAAAAAATGAAGACACATTAATATGGCAACCTGCACACTGGCTTAATTTCCTTATCATGAAGAGTTTGGAAACAGTTATGACACTTGGATTGGTCTGCAGTCCACAACTTTGTTGGTCTTTCTTTGATAAGCATTTGACTACTCATAAAAAAAGCCTTTACTTTGACTAGTTTTGTGGAGAAAGCACTTGACCCCTTTCATACATCCTCTTTCCCTGTGTAGAGGATAGTGCAGCAGGTGCTGGTGGTTTTAGCCTTGTGTGCTGTTCCTGTCCTGCTACTGGGGAAACCAATTCATCTCTACCTCAAACACAGAAGAAACAGGACCATGGTAAGAGTGTATGAATTAATAAGGAATTTGAATATGTGTAGTTCAGAGACAGAGACATTTCTGACCATAACCACAAATACACATAGGCTCTTATTCATCCGAAAGTAAATTGAGCGCATGCATATTTCACAGGGTTTCATCTTTGGCGTATCTAGACAGTCAAACTCAGATCTGGTAGAAGTGTGTGTAAGTTTGAGCGTAACAGTTAAAAACCTGACTAACTAACCAAAACCAATCAATATCATCTATAATACCAATTATAAAAGTAGCAATACTAATTACTTATGCACAACTTATGCAACTTTAATGAATAAGGGCCAGCATGTTCATGCATATAACTGCATTAACCTCACTCAATTACAACTTTTTGTGACAGGAGGAGCGGCACCCCCTACTGACTGACCCTAGCTCAATCAATGCCCAGCAAGGAGACCTAGAGAGAGGAAATGGGGTAGATAACAAGGTGAGACAGCAAAGGACCAAAGGTGTAAGAAAAGCCTGTAGTTGTTCCCTATATATTTACTTCTGTTTCTCTTTACACCAGGAGTTTGACCTTACTGAGGTCTTTATGCATCAGGCTATTCACACCATAGAGTACTGCCTGGGCTGCATCTCTAACACTGCTTCTTACCTTCGGCTGTGGGCTCTTAGCCTTGCGCATGCACGTGAGTAATGGATGCATGCATACAGCTGTGGAATCCTTAGCAAGTCCATGCACTTGTAAGCAACACAGGCATACGCACAGTGGCCCTCATTCATCGAAGCAGAAACAAGCACAGATTTGAGTGAATAACTTACTCTCATACATATAATTTACACACCCTAACTTATGGAGGTGATTCAGCAGAGCATTGCTGTCTTTTGTGGAAAAATCCATGTACAAGCACCGCATTACAGTCTTGTAGGACTGCTAAATCTGCCATGATGCCTGATACTTAGTTGAAGAACTAATGAGCTAATGAAGACAAGTCCATTTCACAGTTGCACAAGCATAATGTTCTAGTTGTATTGGTATTATTGATATTTTCTATAATGATTTTCGTTATTAAACAAATCAATATTTTCCAGGTTAAAATACTGTGAATACTGAGTGAATAATGACACAGGCATTTGCATATTCTTGTTTTAAAATCTGATTTGACCATACACAACTTTGATGAATAAAGGCCTTTGGGAGTACATGAAGATCTACCTCTCAGTTCAGAGGAATAATGCCTCGCGCCGATTCTGTATACTATATTACAAGGAGGTTTTTTGCAGTTACATAGCAGTTTATGTGGCTTAAAACTTGTGCATACCTTTCAGAGCTTTCGGAGGTGCTGTGGGTGATGGTGATGCGGATCTCACTCTCATGGCAAGGTTACGTAGGATCGGTCATCCTGGCGGTCATCTTCTCTTTCTTTGCTACGCTTACGGTGTCTATCCTGCTCGTCATGGAAGGGCTGTCTGCTTTCCTACATGCCCTGCGTCTGCACTGGTAGGTAAAACAAGCCTCCCCTCATACAAAAGGCATGAAGGTATGGTAGGAAGAAATGCAACAAAATGCTGTAATTGTTAGCCTGGTTTAGCGACTGTTTGGTTTAAATGTGGAAGCGTGTGAGCACCTATGTGCCGATTATATCAGCTGCCAAAGCTCATTTTTATGGAGTACTGGGTACATATTGGACCAGTTTCCCAGATCCTGATTAAGCCTAAGCCTAAGCCTAGACTAAATAGGATTTTCAATGGTAAACCTGGCATTGCAGGTTAGTCCAAGATTTAATACAAGTTTATGAAACCAGCCCACTGTGTTTAGCCCTGGATTACCTTCCACAATCTTGTGTCCATACAGGACTCAAAATGCATGTGAAAAGCTTACCATTTAATGGACTTTGTCCTTGTTAATTAAATTGCCTGATTTTGCCCATTTCCTCTCTATCCAGGGTGGAATTCCAGAACAAGTTCTACAGCGGAACAGGATATAAACTGAATCCTTTTTCATTTGCATCAAATATGCATCTCCTTTAAACAGAAACAAGTTAACTAAGCATAGTGTCAAACTAACTGCACTGTAACAAAGTTTTATACTTAATTTTTTAGAGCTGACATTTTATCTTATATATCACTTGTATGTATATAACCCAGTGTATATAGCTTTGTTTTGCTTTTAAGAATGTTCTCAGGAAATGAAGCTTGCAGTGGCCTTGATGCTGAGCATAAGAATGAGAGAACTACATTAACCAAGTGACAACATTCAGCACGTTCTCCATCCTCTGCGTCAGTCCAGTGATGCACGTCATATACAAACTGCATCTCCACAGGGGTTAGGAGGAAAAACGAAAAGCACCGAACGTCTATTTCTACATGTTAAAAAGAACCCTTTTATTGACTTCATATTTGTCTCTTAGATTTTCAGAATGAGCAGAAAAGCAATGCAGAACACATTTTGTTTCCTCTCTTTCACTCACACAGTTTATTGCCTATTGCGCTGTCCAAAAATTCAACATTTAACTTGCACCTTTCAGAAGTGTCAGTGATCTGCTTGTTACCCAATTCATTGATTAATAAAAAATTACTTCAGAGAAAGTAATCCTTGGGGCAGTTTTGGCCTTTGTAAGGGGTAGAGTAGATAGAAAAACCAAGTGTAACCTTGTAAGAGCATTCATTTAAAGCTGTTCGAATATTTACCTCCCTGAAATATCTACTGAATATGTTTCAGTACTTGCACTGCATTTTTCTGTCCAAATACATCTAAAATAAACCTTGCATCAATAAGCGTAACAGTAAAAGTACTTATACTTAAACAACAATCTTGGATGAAGTGTGTATTTATTTTTCTTAAAAAAAAAAGTTACTACAGACTGCACTGTTTCTGAAGGAAAATAAAGATGCACACTATGAAAAAACAGCAAATGTACAGAGAGGAAGATGGTGATACAAGAGGAAAGCAACAAACAGGAAAATAAAGCCATATGAAAAAGGGAAAAAGAATTTTACAGAAAGTGAAACCAAGAGGGAAAGAGACATGGCCCAGATAGAACCAGATGAAATTCAGTAAAGCAGGTTGGTGAAAGCTGAGAAAGAAAGCCAAGACCTCAAAGCTTGACTGGCGTGAAACTGGTGCACATCAGAGGACAGAAAAGAACAGATAAGGAAATAATGTGCATGTGTGTCTGTATGAGAGACCATTTGGGGCTGTAGGCTCAAGACATTTGCGTTGAGTTGAATTTCTGCTGGCACTCAAGTAAGTGCATGCTTTGGCCTCCTTTGTCCTACAGAATTTTGTAGGCTAAATGTCATGTTACACCAAGCTTGGTTCCTTTGCAATGGTAATGCTGGTTGACGATATAAGAACCATATCTGAAATAGCCTCATCTGTGGTAACATTTTAAAACCTCTTCTGACTACACTCAGAGGTCAGACTCCTCTAGGTCATCCACAGAATCCTAGCTAATTTGGATCTAATACGTCTTGATTTCAGATTCAAGTCCATGAGCCTTGTCATCTTCTTTAGAAGTCATTTTGGATGATCCTGAATGCCTGGACTCCCGATAGTCAAACTGCACAAAAGAACATCACTCTCATCAGACTCTGTGCTGTCATCCTCTTTCCAGGGGCGCGGCCTCTGTCCATCCATCAACCCTCCCAACCAGACTGCGTGAGGGAGCTCGAATCTTGTCGGAGCACTATGATGGAGCCCGTAGAGCACAGCTGTGTGAGAGCACATGTGTGTATCTGTGTGTGTGTGTCTCTGTGTTAAGATATTCTCTGGATAAGTTTGTCCTCAGTCAAGCAGAAGAAGGTGCAGTAAGAGAGGTCCGAAATGAAGTTCTCACAGCCACGCCGCGTCACACCTTTACAGCTTCTCAAGTCCAATAAAGTGAGAGCAGACAGTCGCTTCATATAGGACAGACAGGCATCTGTAAGCTTATTACACCCTGGAAATGTAGAGGAGAAGAAAAAAAACAACAGAAAAGAGTTGAGAGCATGACAATATAACCATGAACTCCATTACAGCCTTCTTTCCATGATACAACCATCATCAACCTCACAATGCGGGATTAAGTTCACTGTTCATATATGTTCCTCTCAAGCTAAATTACCTGCAAGGTTGACCTCTTTGAGAGTGGTGCGCATGTTGGATCCGCTGGCTGTGAGCATGCTGACGGACTGATCCGTGAGGTCGTGGCAGTGGGACAAGTCTAACCTCTTCAGCAGCGGCATGTGTCTGATTATCAGCTTCAAAATGGAGTCACTCACATCCAGACCAGACAACCTCAATGAGAGCAAACTTCTCAGCCTGCTGCGATTTTCACTGCCTGCAAAGCCAGTGAATGGGTTAGATTTATTTCTTTCTGGGTTCTTATTGTTAAACAGTTTGTTCAGATTAAGACATGAGTAATATTTTAACACATGCTATCTTGGCATGCCTACACAAAACTAAAGTATGTATATCCAGCTGACCTGATGGTGCGATAAGGTCTTTAAGCTGAGACTCTTTAACACCTTCAGCCCAGCACAGGTCCAGTGTGCGCAGACATGGACCACTCTGAGAACTCAAGCCCGAAACGCATGAAGATGAACAGCCAGACATAATCAGATCCTTTAAACCTAAAAACAAAGACAAAAAAATGAAACAGACAGGTAGTGGTCAAATGTATCTAAAATTTCTTGGCAGCTCAAAAAGCATATGGGCCTTAACCTACTCCTCACTTCTGAAGCCAGTCTTAAACAAGAGTGACAACTTGTAATAGAAGCAGGAAGCCTTTATCAGTCCACATGTCTGTGTTTTCTCAGAATGGATAGCAAATGCATTCACTGGCTTGTAGTATAAACATGCACAACTACTTGTAAATGGTCAAAATTTATGCAGACAATATCTGAACACATTAACTGAACAAGGGCATTCAACATAAATCACTAGGAGTCATGGAAATGTGTAAAAAAAAAAAAAAGTGCAGCTAGTTTTCTGTAAATAAAATATTTCACGTCATACACAATGTTTAAAAATAAAAGATTAAAAGGGGATGGGGGTGCATAGCAAAAGATATTCAAAATATTTTTGAGGGCAGTGCAGAATATGTTCCTCAAATTTCTTTTACTCAGTGTGAAACGCTTAAAACAGATCTTACATGGCAGTCAAAGTACTATTATGGAGGTAATTTGATTCTACAAGAACTTTTGATATTTAAATTACTTCTCCTCCAATAATAAAAATAAGTTAAATTAATTAGTTTGTGTAGTTGGTAACATCAGGTAATCAAACTTGATATTACTGAGCACACAGACACAGCCCAGTCATTAGCCAGGTAAACAGCCAGACATGCATTGCCCTAAAGCATGCTCATCCACACATTGTACAATAACCATGCATGTGATGTCAGCATTTTCAGTCCACATGAAAACAAAAAACAGAGTTTAGGAAAACTCCAATCTGGAGAACAACCTGGGGGGTAGTAAAACGTGCTTAGCTGTGTGGACGAGTAATTCTAGCAATTAAGTATAATTTAGCTGTGCAATTTAGATGAAAATGCAGGTCATTTCTTTAGCCAGCTGTGTTTATTTTGCCAAACCTAAATAGAGCTAGCTGTAAGACAGGCGACATGCCATTTCTAACTTCTGACTATGGTTTTAGCAGTTGGAGTACCTACACACTAGAGGTGTTCTTTTGGTCCAAATGTTTTGATTCCCATTGAATTTTGAACCGTACAAACTCCGCCGCTGCATAGATGCCTTCTAGATGGACAAGATCTGCATGTGCATGCGTCTACTGCTCCATCCTTGCGTTGTATAGTGTGTAGGCACCTTTACTCATTAAGCCAAATTTTTTACGCCCTGGATGTTTCTCCTCTAGGTCTTTATGCGCGAGTTGTGCTGCTGTGGCAGGTCAGCTGGGTTTAACATATCTTCTCAGATAATAAAGTATATGAATATTTTTCCACTTTTGAGTCATACAAATTTACTGTCTTTTACAGACATGAGTTTTTTTTTTTTTAATCAGGCCAATACCGCTATTTACCAGCAAATTAGGGGCATAACAATGCATTGTAACATGTTAAATGTTGTGCATCGTGGACAATGGGCAACCTGTTAATCACAGCATATACATACATGCACACACACACATTCCATTAGTGTGTGCGCATGCATGTATATGCTGTGATTCACAATACTGAATTTGTGATCTGGTTTTCAAATTTGAATGAAATAAATGACTAAATTGACTCATACATTGTGACACAATACATTGTGACAGTTTTGCTTTGCACTGGTATAATGCACTGTTACAACCCTACTGTGTGTAGATGTGCGTGTGCACATGTATATACACAACAAAAAAGGTGTTGTAGATACCTGGGAGGTGGTGGATGAGCCAGGTGATCTGTTTCTTGGAAACAGGGGTCCAAGAAAGGTCAAGTGTGACAGGCTGGCGTTTGATGATGGCTGACACAGCCTGCGCACTCAGTGAGCGACACCGACTCAGATCTATGCGATTCCACAAACGTTTATCAAAGCTCCTACAGAAACAGACAGTCAAAGGGCACATGAGTGTTTAAACTTCAGTTGTCTAAAATATACTTTCTTTTTCCTTGTATTACTCACCATTTGTACCAGGCCTTGCAGACCCGCATGCACACAGCCAGTTCCGTTCTGCTCAGGTAGCGAAACACAGACACCCACACTTCCTTCTCACACCCTGGCTCGTTACCCACATCCCGGAATGAGGGATGAGAGAGAAGAGCTGGAGGAGAGGAGCTTGTGGTAGACATAGGAGGAGGAGGAGGAGAAATGGAAGAGCGAGAGGAGGTGGATGAAGGAGAAGCTGTGTCTCTTTCTCTGCCGTCGTTGTTTGCGCGCTTGGGGCGGCCAGATGACAGGGCTGCTTTGGGTTGGGAGAGTCCGTTGTCAGTGGTGAGGGGGCTGCCATTTTTGTGCCGATACTTGTGGAGGGTTTTGCGCTGGATGAAGTCGGCAGAACCAGGAGTGCGAGGAGACATGGCAGCCTCCAGTTTGGGTACAATGGCACCAGGATCACGTTTGGCCTTTGGGGGGCGCTGTAGTGTGACCGTCAGATAAGAACCATTCAACAGTTCGTCATTTAAGTCTGAGACAAGCAACACAGGAGGGTCAGTTTCTGAGTCTGAATGGTTCTCACCCTCTTCATCATCCTCTTCTTCCTCACCTCCATCATCCAGATCCTCCATCTCTTCATCCTCACCGTCAAAGTCTCGTTCTTCGCTATCATCTTCCTCGTCCTCGTCATCTTCCTCATCATCCTCTTCACCTCTACGCTGCCGACGCCGGGAGCGATGCTCTTTTTCTGACCGGCTCACTTGCCAGTCTTCATCGCTCTCATCTTCTTCCTCATCATCATCATCATCATCTTCCTCCTCCTCATCATCATCGTCATCATCCTCTGTTTCGTAACGCCTTCGCTGCATTTTAGACCCACCTCGTAAACGAACACGCCTCCCGCGATCACCTCTCCCAGCAAGTCCACGCTTGATTTTCAGCGAGGTGGAATTTGTGGCCATGCCACCAACCCCTCTTCCTCCTCGATGGGAGGAGCTTCTCCACACACCACGTTTACTTGTCCCAAAACCACGGCGAGCTGACACCCCACTCCTTGACTGGAGTGATGTTTTCCGCCTTCCATCTCCATCCTCATCATCACTACCTGAATCGTCATCTCTCTCCATTCCATGCCTCCGGTATATCTTAGCCACCCGAGGATCCAGTGACGAAGACTTGCGTTTCTAAGGGCAGAATTTAGAGGATTAAATACTTCTGGGGTTCTTGCTTTTACTAAATTAACTAAATTTGTGTTGAATGTGGAATTCAAATCCACTCGTACCTCATGCAGAAGAACTTCAAGACATTGCTGAATATGGACCCACCATGTTTAGCTTTATAGTTTGAAGGTGTGTAGATTTTAAACACCATTCTATCTGGTGCTATTGTAAAGATTTCCTAATTTAAATTATGAGCAAGGAGATTTTGCATTAATGTATTTACCATGTTTTGCAATTATTTTTCCAACAAGTTAATGCAAGTCCATTAAATACCTTTATCATTTTTCTTAGTTACCATACTTACATGTATTTTGCTTCCTTCCAATTTCATCTGTAATAAAATCACAGAACTCTGTTCAATACATGGAGTTTCAGTCGCCAGCAAAAAGTTTGTCACAATCACAGTGAGTGAGAAATCAAACATGCTGCAGACAGAGAGCTGATTCTGAGGCCCTCTCCCCCCAATCAGTCAGTCCGAGCAGCGATGGGGCACGGGATGATGATGAAACAGGGCAGGGAGGGCGAGAGACAGATAGAGAGACACAAGGGGGGGGAGGGGGAGCAGGAGACCAAAAAGAGAATATAAATAAAAATAAATAAATAAATAAATAATAATAATAATAAAATAAAATAAATAAAGGAGAAGAAGGATAATAAATAAAGAAAAAGAAGGATAAACAGAAAGAAGGATAAGGAGCGTGGGCGTGCGTGCGGCAGTGGCGTGAGGAAGGCGGAGCCTCTCACCCTCTTCCTGAGCTGCTGCTCTGGGGCCGCCACCTGTTTCCGTAGCGACCCATGGGAGAGAGAGGAAGGGGGCCGCCCGACCCCGTGCCACGCCCCACCCTCGCCCCTCAGCCCCCCTGACCCCTCCTGAGCCGTGATGTCATCACCGCTGCCCGACAACTGACAAACAGGGGAAGAAGCATTACTGTTATCCACTGAGAGCAGTGTGTGGACGTGTTTGTCAAAGAGACGTACACAAGTACTGCCTCGAGAGTGTCTGAAAGAGAATACAGTAAAAATTCTCCATACAGACCAGGATAACACATTCTGAGCACTTCAGCTTGTACCTGACTGGGTATGTGTATCACTCACAAACTCAAGGTTCTTTTGTTTACATCGAACAGTAAACACCATGTGTCGGGGTGTGTGTGTCTGTGTGCGTGTTTGCGCGTGTGGCCACGTTACCTCGGATTCTGTGTCTTTTCCCATAACACATTTGGGACATTCCCAGCAGCTTGGCAGATCTTTGTTTACTATACCCTCTCCCGGCACCTGGAAGAAATTGTGGGTTTAAAAAGTGCATGGGGTTACGGGGGTGGGGAAAACACTAACAAAAAAAACCCCCCCACACACACACACACACACACACACACACACACACACACACAAAATACATAATACAAACTATGGTAAAGAGGTGCAAGTACCCTACACAGACAAGCTATACTTGAATTTAATACCTCCACTGCGGTAATGGTTAGATACTGAAAAAACATCAAACGACTATTGGCCTGACAAGTAAATTTTGACAAGAGCCGCCTTGAGGTGAATTTGGTAATGCAGACTTCTCACAGATGTTTACTGTACTGCAATCACATACATTTGCTTTCTTCAAATCAGCATAACAATGAAGAGCATGGACTACCTGAGCAACAAACCATTCATCAGAAGAGTAGAACAAACAAGCATAAAAGATAGTTACCTAACTTGGCTAGCTTTAAGTTTGACATCTTTTCTATAGATGAGAATTTGTCGCTGTCTGTTTTGTGATGAATAAAAATGGAATCACCAAGCTACTCTGGTGAATTTCACAATTTGGCTTTCAAATCTCTCTAGTACTCTTCTGGTTTAAAAGCGCTGGGTGCACACTTTAAATAATTTTTCAGTGGCATACGGCACCGTTTTATAACCGCAAATCACTTTTTTGCTGAAAAATGTCACCTTTACATTTACACAGTTAGCAGATACTCTTATCAAAAAGCTTGAAAAGGGACAGGCTAAGTCTTGTTCCACGACCTATTGGAGTCAGTGCTACACCACAAACACCAGCCTGCAGTAGCAACATATTCCCAATGGTTATATAAATGTATTGCATAATCAATGCAAGGTATCATAGTGAAAGACCACTGATGGGAAACACTACATCTAGAATACACACATCTAGAAACTATGGCAAAGTAATGATGGTGAGAAAATGTGTGTGCTATAGAATACTATGTTAAGTAGACAGCAGTGAGTATGCAGAAAATAACACAAAGACATTAACAGGTGCACACACTTTTAGGCAGCCAGGATGGGCAATCTGGGCACAGTTGGAGCACTCCATGAGTTCTTCTCCAGTCTCCTGGTTCCCCTCCTCACAGATTTCACACACTGCTGAGAGTGGTAGGCCAGGCTACAGGACAGAAGAGAAGATTTATCAACAATGCGCATGCATAGTTCTATGCACAGAACATGATTTACCATTTTTTTCCTTGTCTTCTAGCTACTGCGCTCAATATACTGTAAGTCAAAATTACTTAATGAGCTTACAAGCAAACACTTTAAAGCAATGCTAAGTAAAATAATACTTCAGATGAAAAACATTTTTAATCAGTCTAAATCACAAAAACATTCAAATGTATATTTTGTGTAAAAATGTACGTTAAAAAAGGTTTTTGTTTTTTTTCTACGTAAGAACTAAATTTTTACATATCAATTTAATATGCTTTTCATATGCTGGATAGGCTGCTAAAGAGACTTTTAAATGAAACTGTTTATCATATATAGCTATTCGAGGGCATTCCTTCATGAAAAAGAGCCTGTCGATGCACAAGCAGAGGAATGCGGAATTTACCTTCATTCCTTGTGCATATGCATGTTGGATAAATAATATCTAGTGTGCACTGGCGGTCCTCAAAGATTTAGAACATGTTCTACATACACTTAATTAAATGAAACCCCTGACATTTTATTCCTTAAAATTGACTGGCTGTAATAAACTGTATGTCTCTCTTTCTCTCTACTTATTGTGTAGGAATTTATCTTTTAAAATCAACGAATTTCATAGGAATTTAATCTTTCAAACTCAAGTCTCTGTTACACTGGTGGCATACCACTCTTTGTCCTGAACAACCTCCTGGGGACTGGGAAGAAAAACCTTTCTTGAGGCTACAGTACATTTTCACAAGAGATCAGTGCACATGTATAGTAAGCCTCAAAAGGCACCAAAACACATTAATTGCAAAATAGCAAAATCACTGTGTTCAGCATTACACTGCAATATGACCACCTTACAGAGACATGCTTGTTTTCTCTTCACACACAAATACAAAATTAAAACTAAAACATACAGACAACATACAGACCAAATTTTTCCACACTCACCGCAAGACACTGGCGAAGGACGCAGGTCTGCTTCAGCTTGCCGGGGCCACCAAATTTCTTCATGTCTCTGCAGAAGTTGCAGTCACCACATTCAGTGCGCAGACATGCTTCACAGCGCTTACAGCGCACTCGTCGCCGCCGCAGCACAGACATGGAAGAGGCCGGCTTCGTTGGCCGCGGGATGATGGGAGTGGTGGCCAATTTGGGACGACCTACTGGTGCAGGGGGAGGAGGAGGCTGATACCATGACGGCTGGACCAAAAAGAGCCAATGTGACAAAATTAATACTGGGGGGATTAAACTGTTTGACTATTTTATAGATAAAAGTGCTTTAGGTCACAAGGTTTCACAATTATCTCACCCTCTTTGGCCATTTAACAATGGGTCTTCCAGTGTAGGAGAGTTTGGGGGTATCATTAGCATGTTCTTTAAGTAATGCCTGAGAGAAAAGAGGAGAGCAATAATATGAACATTTGCATTTCAATTTACACTCACAGCTGGGCATTTTTAATACATACATGTTTTAATAAATACACATTTAGAGGTGGGCAATATGGCAAAAATGTACTATCACAATACTTGAAGACATTCACAATACACAATGTCACAATGCTTATTTTATATGACGTCTGATAAGGTGGAACAAAGTATTGTCACTGTGCTGCACTAAACCCAATTAAATAGGACTAATAATACATAATAGAACAAGCAGCTGGGAAGTGTTTTGAGTACTGATAACATCCACGAAACCCTCAGAACAGCATTTTATGACAAATTACACCATAATTTATCATGATGACAATAATGGTCATATTGCCCAGCCCTGTGTACATTTATTTATTGAATGTGATATTGCCACTACTTTGCTACTTTATACTGCATTATCAGTGGGTACTGAAGTACAACAAATTGACTGTAGTTTCTAATGGTCATATAATTGTAAACGTACACATTAAAAGGGTTAAACTCACTTATGTCTCATGTCAACATTATCTTTCTGAACTCACCCTTATATCATGTAGCAGAGCAGGTGCATTGTGTATTCCTGCAGGGACACACTTCTTGTGTGAGGGTAGAGATTCCAGTTTTCCCAGTAAATTCCACAAACCCTCCAGCTCAAAAGGAGTCAGATGAACTTTCACCCCTGGCCGACTTGGAGGAGAGGGAGCATAAACTTCCTCCTCTTCCTTTGCATGGCCGTTCAAGGTATCACAATTAGAAGCTTCTCGCTTAAGGCCTGAGAAAAAGAACAAGTTGAACATTACACAAGGTAAACTAGTAGGATTAAAGAAATCACAAACCTGCTAAAGCTACCAAAAATGGCAAAGTTAGTGGTGAGGGCAGTTTTCATTATGCATATGAATCATGCAAGCTGAATTACTAACCAATGCACAAAGAGTGTTTCTGAAACTCAGGGATGAGGTAGGAAGTGTTGGTTAAACTGTAGAGATATCGCTCCAGCACATACCAACACATCTCATAGTAAAATGGGTAACGGAACTTAGCTGGCACCTGGAGAGAGAGAAGTGGGGAAAAAGGAAAAGAGTGTTGAAACCAACATTTTAAAAACAAACTAATGACTCTTTAATAACTTAAGCAGCGTGAAAAGTTACAAAATCACATGCATTACTGTTTACTCATTCTGAAACTATTCATCTCTGAGAATTATTCTCTTGGCCACTCACCCGTGTCCTGTCCTCAATGCTGTAGATATTGAGCTGCGTGGGGATGTTAAAGCTGTGTAGGAAATTTCCACCAAACACAAGAGTGTCTACAGGTGTATAAACTGCATGAATCCAACCTGCGCGCACACACACACACACAAAAAAATAATAATAAAAAAAAACACATTTGTAATGAATATAATGAAACTAGTGTTTCTTGCAAGCAGTGTGGCCATTCCCTCACCTGATGGGATAATGAAGGTGTAGCCCTGCTTGAGCTCAATCCTCTGGCAGTCTGTAGCCTTGTCACCGAGAAAAATGTCCCCTTGTTTCCCAGATAACACCCAGTTCTCATAGAGTTCCAAGTTCTGTGGTGTGGGAGGGATTAACCAGAAGACCTGTGGAACAGAACGACATGCTCATCTCAGAGTGTTGCAGTGACTTTCATGGTCATTTGGATTTCTCTAGAGATGCTCTGTTCTTGATATATTAAGTAGGCTAAAAAGGCTAATAAGCAATGAACAACTAATTCCAAGAACCACGAAAAAAAAAAATATTGCAAGGCATTCCAACACATGGTCATGCTTACTTTGCCTCCCCGCAATATGTGGTACCACACAGAGGTGCCACCGAAGTCTATGTGGAAATCTGTGTAACAGCCCTGGACACTCATCAGACAGTACCTGAACACACAGAAATAATATGACAAACAAAAGAGACATGAGAAGGAAGAAGATCAATTAAGAAAGGGGGAAAAAAAAAAAAACAAAACAAAAAAAGTATGTTTGAGGGGTGATTTTTCAGTAAAAAATTCAATACCCAACCCAAAGATTTGGTCCCGTAACCCTTTAATTCATTGTGTACAGGCAAACTCCCAATACCCCATATTTCTAAATAACTTTCAACATTATGACACACAAATTCATTAAACAAATAGAATATAAGATTACTTCTGCACTTTAGGGTACTGCATGTCTATAATGGCGTTTGTGGAGTCTCTCTGTCTTTCTTTCAGGTGCCGCGGCCACATGTTGTCCACCCAATCAATCATATCCACCTGAAACAAGACAAAGTTGAGAGTATTATGAATACGGGAAAGATAAAATAAATGTAATATAAACAAAGACTCAACCTAGTTTGCTCTTGTGCACGAGTATGCACAACATATATTTTCCCTTCTCAAGCATTTATGCAAGTGAGCACGTGTATGCACTAACCGTGGCTGGTCTCTTGACCAAGTTCTCTAGCTTGGTGTGACTAAATTCCAGACTGATGACATTGTACAACTTCACTCTCTGGGAAGTTGGAGTCTCATAGTATCTCGTCCACTGAGCCATAGACATCTCGATGCCCTTCTGAGTGGCAACATCCATCACATCTATCATTCGCCGACTGCCTACCATATAGAAGAAAGAGGTTCACACAACTAGCATTCCTTAGAAAAATATTTAACTTAAAATGCTACCATAGCAGACAATGAATAAAAGCTAGTGGAGCCTAGTCAAAACAATTTCTTTGGTACCATGCTAACGAACTCCCTATAGCTAATCATTCTTCATTAACAGGCTTATTCAAGAACTGATTTAAACTATTGCAATTTAAAACATGACCGATCACTTTAACACAACAAAGGCAGAGACGGGGTTAAGGAAATGCAAAAGAAGGTTAATTACTTACCGACAAATGTCTTCACATCATTCACACTGAAGTCAGGGTCTGGCATTCTATAGAAATAAGGGACAGATAAAACATTATATCATCATGATACTACAGTGTAGAGAATTTTTTTAAAAGATGGAGGGGAATAGATGGATAGACTGGCTACTCTCATGTGACCATTCAGGTTTGTTGATGATGGAGTGGAAGGGCGCTGATGTCTAAAAGTGCCGTTATGCCTGTGCTACCTCTGGCTCTCTTTTCACCAGTGATGCAACCCATCCAATACTCTGGATTGGATCGGCACCGATGCTGACCTTATTAAACAAACTGGATATTTGCCAGACATGTCTGATACACATTCAATACTGTCTCTGATGTTGCGTTCATATGTTTGTGGTAGACAGTCGACTGCAAACTGCATATTCCATTGTTTTCATTAAAGCCACAATGGAAAATTTTGCCACGACCAAGCGGCAACAGTCTGTAGCCCACAGCAGCGGTGAGCGGACCTTTCTGTCAAAAGGTAATTTTTCCCAACTTTTGCTGTTGACTGCAGCAGTGGAATAAACTGGATGGATAAAGTGGATTTTTTTGTTTTGTTTTGTTTTTTTTCTTTAGGAGCCATGGATGCCAAACTTCTCGTTGTTGAATTCCAGATGAATAGTATTATAAAACAACAAAGACCTCAAACAATTTACACTGATAAAGCTCTTCTCCAATAATCATCCATTTTCGCTGGCACCATAGTCACCATCCTAACGTTTGCATGGCTTCACAGCACTTACTGCCACATTCCGCTATAAACAGAGAAGAAAGCTCATACATGTAACGATTATGAATAATCACATTACAGGCAAACATCTTTATTTCAGAAAATTAAATTAGCAAGCATGAAATCTGCCACGGTTGTTTTTCCATGCTGCGGTGCATCTGAATAAAAGGAAGCTTGCAGGTGCAGGAAGGTGCAGGTACTTCTGCCTGAATTGTATCAGCTTTGCGAGTGAAAAACTATTTCCTATGTTTGCATTACTATCAAGTTTGTGTAGTTATAGTTAAATTAAATTCAAATAATGTAGTTAAATAGGAAATGAATAATAAAGGCACCTCATTTTAAAAATCCTCCCAATATTCAGAGTTCAGGTACCACAATCAGTATCGGATAAGAAAAACTAGGATCGATGCATCTCTACTCTTTACTTGTGCAGGTATGGATAGGCCTGCTGAAGTTTCTGCTAACAGTCACCATAAATACTTTTTCCAGTGGGCTTCAAAAAGAACTAAGTCACACTTGACTTGAGGCGCTTTGCACTGGCAATTCAGTAGGTTTCGGTATACATGTTAAGTGCGATTCGTTCGTTCGTAAGTAAGTAAGTACACTGAGCACCTTGCCCACCACATTCTCATATCTAACATCTTGTACATAATCAAAACAACCAGTAGTCAATCAATTTGTTAGTCTCTGAAGGACTTTAAATCTTAGTCACCAGCTCGTCACACAGATTAGTCCTATCTGATCCAAGTGCCCCTGTTCAATATCAGCTGTCCAACATCTGATCTCAAAAATCCGATGCTACATAAAGGAGGGCAGGTTTCCCCCGCTCTTAGGCCCGAAACATACTTCACACATGGACATGAAAGCAAATGACAGCGCTCGTACAACGCACTGCAAACTCTCAGTCCTTCTGTACAAACTCACCATGCGTTACTACGTTGCTGTGGCAGTTAAAACACTCAGTACTGAAGGGGGCGATAGAGGGCAAATCGGAGAGGGATCTACTGTTATTCCAACAGCCTCAGCAGCTAAACATGTGCAGTAGAGGAGAGTGGGCTACTTTACCTCTTCTCTTGAAATGAAAATGCGATAAATGTATGATATTTTTATGATCATGTAAGCCGTCTTCGCATGAGATTCAACTGCTCATCTACTATGGCAGTTGAGAAAGCATGCTGGCGGTGCGAGACCGCTTGGCTAGGCTTGGCTGTCATTATAGCGCCCCTTGCTGTAACACTCAGATTGCAGCTCGCGCTTGCGTTGCATTATGTAATGGGTCGTGACACATTTTTCAACACAACTATGCGCGAAACCCCATCTGCGTAGCTCGAAGCATCTGGGTCCTTGCGTGAAGTATGTTTTGGGCCTCAGTGTTTCTTCTTTATGCTCTTAGGTAATTTTTCCTGTCACTGTCATCCACAGCTTGCTCATTAGAAATATTGGTCCAGACCCCTACTCAACTGCTTTGTGATGATGTCTAATACAAAGTGGTATACAAACATAATTAAAATGAAATGAATAGACAGACGTATAGAACAACAGTATAAATAGCATACATTACTGTACGACACATACAACAAAAAAATTGTGTGGCAGTTGGTTGAACAAATGTGTAAAGGGAGAACAGCTTATAGTAATTTACAACAGTCATGGTGTAGAATATTAATAATAAGAAGAAGAAGAAGAAGAAGAACAAAACGTATTACTTGATTCCAAGTCCATCAGGTCTCTCAAAGATAATTGGGTCCCTCAGCCCTGCTCTCTGGATGTACTCAAATGTGAAGTCTGGGGGGAAAACAGCATTTGTTTAGACAGTATCTAGACCAAGTATCAATAAAAGTGAAGAAAGCAAATATGTAAAGTAACTTGCAAAAAATCATGTGCCAAAAAAAGCACACAAAGTTAATGTCATGACAGAAAACAGACACACAGAGGGAGCATGTTCCAGTCTTCCAGGACCAGACTGACTGTTCTGCAATGCAGTGACATATGAGAGCTGGGATGGGGAAAACATTTTTTTCTATCACAGGTAGTGAGTACCTCCATCAGTTTACAAATCTGTAAAAATAAGTGCGCTGCTTAATAAAATACATTTTTAAGATGGGAATTCACTACACGACCTATTCTAACAATTTGAAAATGGAGAGAATTACATTTAATGTTTGTCTTTTGTCCATGTTATTTTGTTGTGAGGACATGCACACGAGACAATACAGCAAAATGAGGTGACAACATGCTTAACTAGTTTCGGCTAGGAAAAGCACTCAAAATCCTAGATCTCCCCCATTATCATGTAAAACAAACAAAGCTAAACTGGACCAGACCCGTTTGTGCTTTTGTGCACACAGGAAGTACAGTGGAAATGCAAACTGGGGATGAATATAAGGTTGAAATGCAGATATTACAGTCAGAGCTGGAGAAATACTTTTCTACAAACTGCCTGCTGACTTAAAGTTGTAAAGAGAGATTATCTGCCTGAACAAAATCTGCTTCTGCACTGCACAGTGCAAGCATGTCTCTTCACCTTTTTCCTCTCTCTCCTTGGTTGTTGCCTAAATCATTTGTTTAATTACACCACTGACATCTCATAGTACAGAACTCGTGAACGCTTTGAGTCGTAAAAATCAAACATATTTGAAAATATTGGAAGGCCTCTGTTCACTCCTGAGCTTGACTGGAAAGGCAAAATATTGACTTGTTTAATTACACCACTGACATCTCATAGTACAGAACCCGTGACCTCCTTAGGGTAATGCTTTAGGGCAATGAATTTAGAGCTGTAGGGTAATGAATGTACCGTTGGTACAAACTCCAAATCCAACTCACGGTACAACTTCACCAGTGCAACAGTTCCATCCTAGGTCTCAGTAGTCACCTATTTCCATTCTCAATACCACCAATTTACGTTGGCTAGCCAACAGCTTCTAGTCCAGAGCAAAAATAGCCCAGCTATTCTTAATTTGCAAACAAAAAAAAAATCTAAAAAATCAAGAAAACAAAAGCAGCATACCTTTTCCCTCCATGCGCTTCACCCTGTCAGAGCTGAAGCGATCACTATGGAGCTTCTCTTCCAGGTCAAACGTCCTCTTCCCCTCAATCTCATCGTCAGAAATCCCATCATCATGGTAACGTCGCCGCGTGCCTGACCGCTGGGATGAGGAGAATTAAAACAAAAATTAATAACCCACCAACACTACTCTCGACAAACAGGTAATCAAATTTATCTGCTGGTTGTTTTCATACAAAACTGACTAAACTAAATAATATGCCAACATGGTGAATGTATACATGAGCCAAAGGAACCCTTAGAACAAAACCAAGAGAGACTGAAATCTCATCTGGTTGAAAAATAAGCACTGCCTATATTCATGACCACTTGGACATCTGCCCCTCTCTCTCTCTCTCTCTCTCTCTCTCTCTCTCTCTCTCACACTCACTCACACACACACACACACACACACACACACACACACACACACAATAAGACCTTCCTTCCTTGCCCTTGTCTGCGCCTTCAGAGTCTCTATGGTGATGGTGTGGCTACTGGCCAATCACAATCTGATTTCAGCCCTGTCGTCATAGTCTCAATCACAGATGTAAGAGAGAGGAAAATCAATAAAAGAATCTGGGCATGACTCTGCAACATCCCCAGACATCTTCCATAGTTGTTAATACAACACATCAAATGCAGCTAGGTGTTCCATGTCAGCTTGCTACAAGGTCTATTGTCACAAAACTCAGATAGCCAGGTCTAAAAAAGGGCTATGCTAATTCAGTTCTATTGTAAAAGAATAATTTATTCATAAAGAGCTATACTGCCTCCAAATCTGTTCACTTTTGCTAAACTCTCCCTTGTCAATTAGTCAATATATTAATTTATCCACTTCACAATAACCAAACTGTCAAGATGCAAGTAAATCTTGTGGCTAACCAAATCACACTTCAACTGATTGCTGTGAACACCATTTGGCCAATAATAAAGGAGTTTCATACCAAAATCTGTATATGCATTTGTAACATCTACCTAATAAATGTGGTACTGATCAAAAGATAGCACTGATAATTTTTCTGTGTAAAACCAACCCCAATATGATATCATGAAAATAAATATGTAAAAAAAAAAAAGAAATAATAAAAAAAATGCTTTTTATTTATGTACGATTTGTTAAGGACTGCAGTCCTGCTATTTTATGAGCCTGTTCACACAACCTTATTGCCATCTCTCCAAGCAGTTATACCTTCAATTTACAACCACTTCATCTTTTCATTCTAAGCCAAAGCCATTCACATGGCACAGTTGAGCGAGCAGCACCAGTGCAGATGTACTAAATGGATGTCCAGGAACACTGTGTTCTTACTCAGACAACAATCAAAAGGACAACTACGCGTCAAACAGGACATGCTACCAGTCCACAGGTCAATGATGGATTTCTAGGTCAATAATATGAAGGTCAACATACCTACATTAAGCAGATACAGAAAATATAAAGTAATAAGAAAAACAAAACTCAACTACTACAGAACAGTAAGAACTGGAGCACTGCAGGACAAGGATGGTAAAACAGCTCTTTCCTGGCTACACCTAATCCATCTGTCCCTCTTTCTCCTATGGCCTTTGCTATTCTGTTTTCATTAGGCCTGACACTGCAGTGCGCCTGGACGTAGCCCTCATGGAGGGCAATGAAACACTACACACCTCGCACCTTCAGTGTCACATCTTCATCCCCCTTCTTATTCTTCCTCTTCCTCCCTCGTTTCTTGAACATTCGTCCATCTACAAGGACCAGTGGCTCCTCTCTGTTCTCCATCCCTCTGCCTCCTTCCTCTCTTTCACTAGAGAGACCTACGCTCCGTCCTCCTCTTGTTATCCTTTTGCCTCTGCAGTGTCCCCTCCCTCCCACTCCCCACCCCTTCTGCATCTCAGCTCACATGGTCAGTTCAACCAATCAAATTACTCCTACTACACAGCCCCTCTTTCTTCAAAAACAGACAAACTGCTTACAGCTTGTATCACCTTGGATCTTCCAATTACCCAGCCCGCGCTCTCATTTCCCGTCCAGTCCTTTAACTTCAACTCTGGAAGCACTCTACAAGAAGGCTGAAGTGAATCACAGAGACAGCAAAAATCACTATTCTTTTTATCTATAACTGTTAAAAACACACAGGACATCCAGTCTTTGGGGTATAGCTAATTCACAAAGCATTTAGTCCATAAACAAGAACCATCCTCGTCAACAGAGCATGTTAGCCTTGCTTCAAGCTAGCTGAACCACCTGTGTTGTTTCTTTGTGAATTTATGAACCAAAAGTGTGGGAATTAAAAAAAACGTTATTCAGTCCAACAACAATTTCTACAGCATAAAGGTGCAACCTATAAAGACTGAGAACCAACTAAGATTCACAGAACACTGTAGAATCACCACTACTACTTAAATTAGATATAATCATTTATTGCACAGTGACAAACAAAATCTGTTGTGCAGTGCAAGCAGAACGGCTATGAGACCAAGAGCATAAAAGCACAGACTACCAGACGTTAGAAACCTAACCATTTACACAATTCTCTTTAGTCTGTAACAGTACAATACACTAACAGCGCATGACATGAACAAGTTTAATAGACAGATACTGTACACTTCAGATAAGAGGTGAGGGCTGAGAGTAAAGCTAACGCAACGAACTAGAATAAACTAGAAGGCGAAATTCATATGACACCGAAAGTAGACTCATAGCCTACCTGACTTAAGTCAAGACTTGCAAACTAAAAAAAAAAACATAAGATTTAGGGTGATCTACTTTGGCACTTAAATTCTCGTAGTGAATTTAATATGGGGAAACAAACGTCTGGTGATGTTTTATGTAACTATGGCTGTAAAGGGAACGTATTTGGACAAAAACAGAATGGGTGGACAAGTGTGCATTTAGACATATTAAAGCCACCTACCAGTCGTTTGCTGTATCGTGGTTTAGAATCGTCCATGTCCAGATACTGTCAAGAGGGAAAGAATCTAATTCCCAGAGAAGCACCAACCTACGCCTACACTCGCGTCTGTCAACACCGGGGCAAGTTCAGCTACAAACACGCACTCGCCAGCTGACTGTAGCTACGCTAAACGTGTCGTGACGAAACACCGCCAAACCATTGCGTGACCGCATCCAACAGCGAATTAAACCATTAAGCTGACAATATTTAAAACTTATTTGGCTGAGCAAACGGTCGCCTTCTGTCAGCTAGCTAACTTGGCTAGCGGTACAGTTGTACGCTGGTGTGTTTGCTACTGTTGGGTAGCTTTATTTAGCGTTATTAGCTAAGTAACATTTTATTTAATAACGTTAGCTATAACAGCATAGTAACAACACATGACAGAACAAAACATTTTTCCAGTCGCATGAACGTTTCACATGGAAATAGGTTATTTGAATTACACTGGCTAGCTAGCAGAGCTAAATAACTATCCTCCACTAAAGCGTAGCATCGCTCTACTCCAAACAAAAAATCGTTAGCTGGCTAGCACTCACATAGCTTTCGCGATATCGCTTTTACTTCGATTTAAACATATCGCTGCCTCGGCTTCTTATCCATACGAACGTTGTGTATACCACTGCGTTACCTCAGAACCCAATCATGACAATTCACCTAAAATGAGAAACGGGTAGCGTGAAGTTAAAACGGGTTAAACTACACTACACGACTGAGCTAGTTAGCTCGCTAGCGTTAGCTCCAGTTCAGAGCGCTGAAGTTGTCTCAAACTGAGCGGCGGCCGTTATTATTTCCAATGAACTTCGCTAACTAAGCATCCAAACCTTCACCGTAAAACAGTCCAAATGCTCTTCTTTTAATAACATGTACTTTCCCTTAACGTCTTTTTACCAAGTTTTCAACAGTGCGGGGACATGATGTGTTCTTTGCACAGCCTCTCTGTGTGAATTTACGATAAAGTTAGCTGAACTGGTGAATCGTTCGCCGCCATTTTCAAATCGTCATAAAAACTCCGCCAGCCCTCCAAGAAGGACACGCCCACTAGCCACAATGGCCCAATGAGAAGCAAATGCGACACGCCACGCGCGGTTCTGATAGGTCGACACAGATGTCAATCATCGTGCGGGCTTCGGCCACCACAAGAACCAATAGCTGAGCAAGTCGACAAAACAACTGCGTTCTCATTGAGGGACGACGCACGTCATTCAATACAACATGCAGCTATTGGTTTTGTTGAAAAATTCTAAAGGACAGCACTGAAACGCGTGGAGTTGAACTTTACGAACAGCATATATAAACTGAAGTTTAATGACATCAGACCCAGACTGTATAAAACTGTCTTTGGATATTTACCTTCCCTCTCGCAGGGCTTGACACCTCATTGTTCGCAGTCATCGAGTCCATGTTCGCGTCTGAGGGTTAACTGGAGTCCAGTCTATTGTGAAACTCCATTTACACGAGCCGAATCACAAAGAGCCCGCGTGGGCACCATCGTATTCTCTCAGCCGCTGGTGTAGTACAGACCCGTTAAAGAAAATCTACTCCCTTTGTAACTGCTGTAAGTCCGCATGGTCAGACTTCTCCCACACCAATGGGAGTTTATAACGAGGAAGTGACTCGCGATTGGTCCGCCATGGGAAAGTCAGCGTTGATTGGCTTAGAGGTCTCTCCGCAGGTTAACGTTGAAATCACAATATAATTACTTATAGCCAGAGGTGGATAGAGAAGTATAAACCTATTGTCGAATAAAATATATTGTTACTTTATTGAAATGAAGACTCAAGTTAAAGTCAAAGTACCTTTCCAAAAACAACTCGAGTGGAAGCAGAAAAAAACTATATACTGAGCAACTTATAGAACTGCAGTGGGACACCAAAGCACACCTAAAGTACACCCAGTATTTATCATCATAGGAACTTAAGTTTATTAGGCTATATTAATCGCTTTTTGATGCACTCTCTGACTAAATAGAATGATCAACCTCAAAAATCAGAAGTGTAATCAACCACAAAGCAGTGTAGATGCTCTCACCAATCTAACAGTAAAAAAAGGACTAAATATACTTATATAAATATACATATACTAAATATACTTGAGTAAAAATAAAAGTAGGCCTATTATCATTTTAAAATATTCAGGAAAGTAGAAATCCATCAAATCCCTACTGAACAATGAGCTATTTTGTTGTAGAAGTCATTATTTCATGACCTGAGGAGCACTTAATAGGGAGTAAGGACACATTTGTAATTCAGCCGGTAATTTATAGAGTGGCATATGTTAACAATAAGAAATGTATTTTGTTGCTTTCCCATATGAGTGTATTGTCAATTGACCGTAGACCTTATCCTTGTTTGATAAACAAGTTGTCTTACATTCATTTTGCCTACATAGTGTTTACAACAGCTTATCACTACTTTGGCTTACATCAGGTCCAGACTGTAGTTTAGTGAGATTGGACACACATTGACCTAAACAAATTACCTAGTTTCTATCTTTAACCCTACAGAAATGTAGAAAATGTGTCTACATAGATTTGTCCCATCCCAATAACAACCAAAGTTAAAACAGTTACATGTATCCTTTTAATTATACAGTGACTTTGAACTAAGAGCTTACAAATAAGCAGTTTTACAACATCTACAGACATACATGAGTTTTACATAAAAATGTAATGTATGGAAATTGCCTACAGACCCCTTTATCTTGATATAAAAGGACTTGCTATGTAAGACAAACTCCAAACAGCCGTGAGCCATTTCTGTATATAACTATACTAGTCTTCCATTTCAGTCTTCTTCGTTCTTTCAGTTCTGTTTAATAGTTTTTGGTATAAGTTGAAAGGAATGACTGCATTAAAAATAGTGTGGCCCACAGGAGTGGATGTTTTGGAACAGTGCATTCATTTTGGATTACCACTAAAGATGAGACGTAAGCGCCTTAGAGACAAACAAAACTGCTTTAGAGACAAACAAAACTGTGGTTCTACATTTAACTCCCTGAGCTTACAACTTGTGCTAACATGTTAACAAATCAGTCAAAATTATGCATGGAGATTACGCTAGGCTACCATAATGATGACAAACTGATTGTTCACAAAAGAGCAGATGCGCTGCACATGACAAACTAAGTCAGGACAAAGTCAATCAAAATTTTACGACAACAAAAAATGCAAACAAGAAAAAAAAACAGTTTGAAGAAAATTTCAAGATAAAAAAGAGGGAAGGGACAGAGAGCCTGTCAGCCTGCGGTACCGTCTCTTGATTGATGACTCAGACTTCAGAACAGTTGGATTTTTGGGGCAGCTGACTTCTTCACCTGAAGGAATTAAGTGAGAGTAAATGTAACAGTTATATATATTCACCATACATTGTAATCATAATCTATCTCTAATGTCCCTTTGAATGCTCTAATATCAAACTTCTTTCACAACTCTACATTTAGTCTTTTGTACAGTCTAAAAAGGCTCAAAGTGGACTGATTCACAATTTCTAAAAACACATACTATCACACACTACAGAAACATACTACTAATTTCTCTATTTACATGTAAAACTCCAATTCCAGAAAAGTTGTGGCGCTGTGTAAAAAGTAAATAAATGTGAATAAAAACAGAATGCAATGTTTTGCATCTTGATCTTATAGACCCAATTTTGTTCACAATAGAACATAGAACACATATCAGATATTGAAAGTAAGACATTTTACCATTTCATAAAAAAACATTAACTCATTTAGAACTTGATGGCAGCAACACATCTCAAAAAAGTTGGGACGGGGCAACAAAAGGCTGGAAAAGTAAGTGGTACTAATAAAAAACAGCTAAAGGAGCAATTTGCAACTAACTCACTTTACAGGGTATAAAAAGAGCATTTTAGAGAGGCAGAGTCCACCAATCTGTGAAAAACTGCGTCTAAAAATTGTGGAACAATTTCTGGAAAATGTTCCTCAACATAAAATATATCCCACCATCTACAGTACATCATATCATCAAAAGATTCAGAGTATCTGGAGAAATGTCTGTACATAAGGGACAAGGCCGACGGTCAATATAGGATGCTCGTTATCTTTGGGCCCTCAGGCAGCACTGCATTGAAAACAGGCATGATTCTGTACTGGAAATCACTGCATGGGCTCAGGAACACTTCCAGAAATCACTGTCTGTGAAAACAGTTCGCTGTGCAATCCACAAATGCAACTTAAATCTGTATCATGCAAAGAAGAAGCCATATGTCAACATGATCCAGAAACGCCGCCGTCTTCTCTGGGCCAAAGCTCATGTAAAATGGACTGAGGCAAAATGGAAAACTGTTCCGTGGTCAGATGAATCAAAATTTGAAAATTCTTTTTGGAAACCACAGATGCCACGTCCTGCAGACTTAAGAGGAGAGGGACCATCCAGCTTGTTGTCAGCACACAGTTCAAAAGCCTGCATCTCTGATGGTATGGGGTTGCATTAGTGCCTCTGGTGTGGGCAACTGGAAGGCACTATCAATGCTGTTGATGTATGTATAGGTTTTAGAACAACATATGCTCCCATCCAGACAACATCTCTTTCAGAGAAGGCCTGAAATGCTAAACCACGTACTGCATCCATCACAACAGCATGACTCTGCAGAAGAAAAGTCTGGGTGCTGAACTGGCCTGGCCTGCAGTCCAGAGCTTTCACCAATAGAAAACATTTGGCGCATCATGAAATGAAAAATCTGGCAAAGAAGACCCAGGACTGTTGAGCAGCTAGAATCTTACATCAGACAAGAATGGGACAACACTCCTCTCCCAAAACTCCAGCAATTGGTCTCCTCACTTTCCAGACGTTTACAGACTGTTGTTAAAAGAAGAGGGGATGCTACACAATGGTAGACATGGCCCTGTCCCAACTTTTTTTAAGATGCGTTGCTGCCATCAAGTTCTAAATGAGTTAATGTTTTTGATGAAATGGTAAAATGTCTCACTTCCAAAATCTGATATGTATTCTACGTTCTATTGTGAATAAAATATGGGTCAATGAGATTTGCAAATCATTGCATTCTGTTTTTATTTACATTTATTTACTCTTTATACAGCGTCCCAACTTTTTTGGAACTGAGGTTGTAGATGTTTGTTTTAATGTGCTAAAGTAGACAAATATCCTATGCTTTAACACCCGAGAAACAGCAGTGTTAGCATTTTATTAGCAGAATTCCTACTTCAACCAGCTGTACACAAGGGCACCAACGATGACAGCGAGAATGACACAACACAACGTGATCATCATTTGTTTCTATAGTGCATCATGAGAGGAAAGAGAAGGAGAGGGTACAGAGGATTGGAAAATTGTTGGAGAAAAACATAGGAATTTGACAAGAGGGGAAGAGAGGGACCAGCAGAGCATGTTAGAGAAAGAGAGAGAGAGAGAGAGAGAGAGAGAGAGAGAGAGAGAGAGAGAGAGAGATGACAAAGAACGGAGAACAGATACAGGGGGATTTTGATTTTGGACATAAATGCAAGGAGGATATCAAAGGAATGGAAGACAGGAAGGAGGGAGAGAAAAAACAAAATTCAGAACAATGAAAAAGAAAACAAACAAACTGTACAGTCAGAGACTAAAGCCTAATGTAATTTCATTCATTTAAGTATCAAAAGCAAAGTCATTTAGAATATTTGAGTAATTTTGGCTGTGCAAAGGCATCCAAAGAAAGAAAGCATTGATAAAGAAGCCACTTTTCAATGACACAGCCTCAGCATTAATATAATTTTGAACTATATTATTTTGGTTTTAAATCACAAATTAAAGGCTAGTAGAATTAAATGAATGAGGTAAACCTGTCAGAAACTGTTATTTCCTAACTTACCCTGCGTGCTTCCTGCTGGAACTTGGCTGCCTTTTTGGTGTCTGCCACTGCTCGCTCCACAAAGCCCACTGACTGGTCCATGTTGCTCTCAATCCTGTCAATCATGCTGCCCTGGAGGTAAAGAATGGTCAAAAATTTTAAAACAAAAATTATAAAACATTATAAAATTTAATATCACAGACTTGAATTAAAACACTCACAAAGTGAGTCACTGTAAAGTGGCCATACAAAAGTCTAAAGAATGTCACTTAAATGGCTCACACGCTTCAGATGTCTGTGTTTCTGTCAGATCTGCCTTAAGTAGCATCAAACCCAGGCTGAATCTCAATTATATCATACTCTAAAGGAACTACATTTCTTGGGGAATACTTGTTAATGCCAATAACTATTAATAATAATAAATTATTTAAAAATTGTGTATTTTATCATCTTTTATCTTGGCTGGCATTTTATAAAAGCAGTAAGCCACTCGATGCCATGTGTTACAGCAATCGTATCACAGGGAAGGGGTTTCTAGGCACTAGCCTAACAGCTAATATAGAAATATTTCTAAAGTAGGCCTGTCATGAAAGTTTAACAGACAAATAATTGCCATACATGTTCTTTGTAAGCAACTATTAAAGTACAAGCTTAAAGATGCCAAATTGGCTGGTTAGTTGTCTTTCTTCCTATCTGTCGACACGTATAGTGCTGTGAAACAATATTTGCCCCTTCCCAATTTCTTCTTTTTTTGCATTTGTCTCACTTGGATATTTCAGATAATCAAACTACCAATAATATTAGACACATAACACAAGTAAACACAAAATGCTGTTTTTAAATGATGGTTTCATTTCTTGAAGGAAAAATGCTGTTCGGCCTTACCTGACCCTATGTGAAAAAGTAATTGCCTCTTAGCTACTAGATCAAGTTAACCAAATTTAATTGATTATTGGGTTCATTTTCACTAGCCACACCCAGGCAAGATTACAGCTGGAACTGCTGAGTCTAAACATCACTTAAATAGAACTTGTCTAGAAATTCACTAAGAGCGCATCAATGACTCATCCAGGAGGTCACAAATAAACCCAGATGAACATCTAAACAACTGCAGGCCTCGTATGCTTCAGCTAAAGTCAATGTACACGATTTCACAATCAGAAAGACACTGGACAAAAATGGCATCCATGGGAGAGTTGCAGGGTGCAAACTACTGCTGACCAAAAAAGAACCAAGGTTCACCTTGCACTTGCCAAAAAACATCTAGATGACCCCCGAGACTTTTGGGATAACATTCTGTGGACTGAGGAGGTGTAACTTTTTGGAAGACATGGGTCCTGTTACATCTGGCGTAAAACATTCCACCGTAAGAACATCATATCAACAGTCAAACATGGTGGTGGTAGTATGATGGTCTGGGGCTGCTTTGCTTCTGCAGGAACGACATGTCATGATTAATGGAACCATGAATTCTGCTCTCTCTCAGAAAATCCTGAAGAAGAATGTCTGTCCGTCACTGCATGACCTAAAGCTCAAGCGCAGTTGGGTTATGCAGCAGGACAATGATCCTAAGCACACAAGCAAGTCCAACTCAAAAGAAACAAAATTAAGGTTTTGGAGTGGCTGAGTCAAAGTCCTGACTTGAATCTCACTGAGATGGTGTGGCAAGACCTTAAAGATCTTCATGCTTGAAAACCCTCCAATACAGCTGAATTTGAACAATTCCACAAAGAAGAGTGGGCCAAAATTCCTCCAAAGCAATGTAAAAGATTCATCACAAGTTGTCATAAACGTTTGATTGCAGTTGTTCCTGCCAAGGGTGCCACAACCAGTTATTAGGTTCAGTGGGGCAATTACTTTTTCACATGGGTGATATAGATTTTGAATAAATTTTTGTCTTTGATAAATGGAATGATCATTTTGTGTTTCCTCATTTTGTCTTTATCTAATATTAAACGTAATTGGATGGTCTGTCACATTTAAATGTGACAAATCAGTAAAAATAGAAGAAATCAGGTAAGGGGCAAATACTTGTTCACAGCACTGCAGCTCCCAATTGACAACAGACACATTTTGAGTTTAAATACTAAACATTTTTGTTGTTTTCTAAGACTCATGAGATCTGAATGTTTTTTGCTACCTTTATTTACAGGCATTTGCTTCAACCCAATTGATGAAAACACCCTAATTCACATTCTGTTTGTTTTAACATACTGTAAATATATGATTGTCGAAGCTAGCAGTAATTCTATTCTAATTACATTCTAGCAAAAAGATCATTGAAGACAGATCAAGTGTCAGTTTGAAATGTCTCACTAAAAGTGAAGATGATCAGAGCACCTTGTTTGTTATAAAACTGAGAGTTCCAGTTCTAAACTCTGATGGGCTGAACCACATTCTAAGCTGTAAAATAATTCATATACACACATTTGGCAGTACATAACCGTTTTGTATTAAAACACCAGGTTATTAAAACCATTGTGTCGGGAAATTGGGAGTTCAAACCCTGGCGATGCCACAGCCATCCGTGGCCGGGAGGCCATAGAGAGCGTAACTGGCTTCAGTCTCTCAGGGTGGGTAGAATGGCCATCACTCTCCCCATCACTCAGCGGTATGCTAGTCAACGCCAGGATCTGTTAGCCGACATAACAGTTAGTGTTCTCCGCTAAGCACATTCAGCCGTCCAATGACGCTGCATTAGCTTCACATGACTCGGAGGAAGCCTCTGCTTGCCTCCACCCTCCCAGCACTGGTGGTATTGTGTAACAGGGTGGCCCAAGTAACTGGTGGAATTGGACATGACTAAACTGGGGAGAAATTGGGGAGAAATTTGGGAGAAATGGTGAAATCACTGTGCTGTTAATGGAGTAATCTTTGACCGTTAAGTTGCTCACTGTTAACAAACAACATTGCTGGATGGAACAAATGTTTATTGCAATTATAATTACCAATTTATTTTATGATGACTAGTGTATATCATAATATTGTATTTTATCACCATTTTATAAAAGCAGTAAGCCACATGTGCTTAACCCCCCACCTTTTTACCATGGCAAAATCACTATTTTGCACTGACTCTTATGGTACATTGCCTTATTTAAACAGCTAGATCAACTCTAGCTCCAGGCTACCTGATTCTCCACCAGCATGGCGATGTCCACAAACATGTCATGCAGCTCCTTAATGCTGCTCTCCAGCCGCATGATGTCTTTATGTCTCGCTTCAATTTCACTCAAGGCCTGCTTGGAGATGCCTGAGTCCATGATCTGCATACAGTGAAGGAAAGTTATATGATTATCTAACTCAATAAGTCTGCAAGCACAACCATGAAAATCAAAATGCACCCATTAAATAGTAGCGTAGGATAAAGATACTGTGACATTTAGGTTAAAAAAGTACACACCCCTGCTGTGAAAACGGCTGCATTTCCACCATCCAGCATCTCCTCCAGCTCCTCATCAGTAGTGGTTTTACCCGCTGTTGGAGAGCGGAAAGAAATTTCCATCACATTTGTCACTTAGAAAAGCCTTTGGCCCTGTGTTCATGTTTGTACATATCTTTACATACATCACTAGGTGCATATTTGTTTGGAAGAGCGTGACTCACTGATCTCTAGCTGTCTCTGAATGCGTCCCTTGCTCTTCTCTCTGAACTCCACTTGAGCTTCATTGTACTTGGTCATGACTTCCACAAACTTTCTTGCTAGGATAGCATGCTGAAACAAAAAAAAACATGAATTATTTATTTTTAAATGGACAGACAGACTAAACAGTGGTCTGCACAAAGGGGGCATTAACCTCATCCTCAACTGCCAGGCAAAGGGATTTTTATTATCATTAATTGATAAGGATTAATTAATTCAGGGGTGGCCAATCCTGCTCCTGGAAATTTACCACCCTGCAGAGTTTAGCTCCAATCCTATTTTACCACACCTGATACAGGTAATAAAGGTCTTTAGGGGCATCTGGATAGTAGAGCCAGGTGTGAACTAGCCAGGGTGGTAGATCTCCAGGACCAGGATTGGGCACCCCAGGATTAATCATTAATCTTCAATTTATTTGTTTTATCTAACATTAAATTTTGAATGTTTCTTGTGATCTGCTATAAGTACTTTTCAGGCGTCTTCAGGCATCATCACTGAACACTGCTAATGTTAAAAGAACATTATTAACCATTTTATCTTAAGTTATGATGCAAAATAAACCTTCTCCATTGTTGCCTCACTTATTCAGTCAGTAACCATGGTCCTATCAGAAGACGGGCAAGTTTCTAAATTACCTGAGACTTCTTTATTCTCATGTCAGCTGAAACTCTGTCTTCTGCATTGGACTCCAAACTTCTTTCAATGCCTGATCACAAGATCAAATTTGCATTATCGTGCGTGGACTACATATTTCAACATATATCATTAAGGACAAAAAATTACTGAATTTTTAAAAATTGCAGGTAAATTATTGAGTTACATCCCTTTTTACATATTCCTCTAGGTGAACATGACACTAGGAGTGGGCAGTATGGCAAAAATATTATATCAAGATAAAAACATTATTTCACGATACAGAATGCATAACGATGTTTAGTTTTTTCTGAGATGTAATAAGATAGGACAGACAAAATTGAACCTGTGGTGCTACATCTAAAAATACAACAACAACAACAATAATAATAAAATAATAATAATAATAATAATAATAATAATAATAACTTTACAACAATGATTTTTATTCAATGTTTTACAAACTACATGGCACTAAATCCAACTTAATAGGCCTAATTATGCTCACTTTGTAATGAAACTTTACAAAAATGATAAAAAATCATCAGATTGCCCACCCCTACAAGAAACTCACTTTTGAGCTTGTTGCGAGCATTGTTGGCTAGTTTCTTGATCTCATTGGTGATGGCTTCCATGTCATCTTGTGTCTCTGAGAGAGCGGAGAGACAGGTCAGCCAGAAAATGAATGAAAAAAAAGAAAAATACAACGAGTAGCCTATACATGAACTAAAATGAAGTAGTACATGAAGTAGTAAATAAAAAACAGAAGCAATGGACTAAATTCACAAAATGCAAAAGACAGAATGAAAATAAGAGATGGTGAAAATGAAAAAGTAGATTTACTCTGATCTGATGTAGGTGCAGAGAGGATGACAGAATACAGGTGCTTTATCTCAGTCACATTCTCATCAATCTTATCAATACTGGTGCGAATCTCTTCGATCTGATGAAAGCGCACACACATAATGAAAAAGAGAGTGAAAATGAGGGTAATGTTCCACAGAAAAGCCCAATACTGTTCATGCTGACGTACCTGAGAAAAGAACTCATCCATAAATTCTTTATTTTCCACCTGGATCTCCACATCGTCGGGCCCTGTATCCGTCTTCTGTTAGGATACACAAGAATGCATGGTCAAATTAATACACAGGCCCACCAAAATACAAGTCCTCATTTAAAGTAATGAAAGTAAAAAACCCTCAAAAATGTGTGCAGTGCTACTTCCTTTAGAATACCCAAGAAATATCAGAGAAACCTCTCACAGAGTGTCAGTGGTGGATAAGCTGGTGAGGTGACCATATGCTGTTGGGTGGCAAAGGAACTGAAGAGGGGGAAAAGCCATCTCCCCCTTAATCTCTAATGGCTAAAACCCTTCCTCCCCCTTAGAGGCCCTCTACTCCAGCTCTAAGGGGAGGAGTGTTTGTAAATAATGGATGTATAAATTAATAAATTTAATGTTTGTGGTAGTGTTCATTTTTATTAATGTCATTGTGAAATGTAATAATAATAATAACAATTACTAATAATTTAATACATAAATATTGTGGCAGTGTGTGAATGTTCTATTGAATACCATCTTGCAATTCAAAAATGTTAATAACAAATAATCCAATAATAATACTTCATCAGATAAATGTGGTAATGTATGTTTCGTTTTATTGAATGTGATCTATAAATTAATTAAAGTGTTCTGAAGGGGAATTCAATTAAATGTTCTGCATACTTAAATCACTGAGTTGTAAACACAGTCAGTGAGAGGTTTTTGGTGTGAAATGGTGCACTGTGGAGAAGCTCATCACCTATGATTTCTTTACAGTGGTAAAGATAGAAATCAGCGGTCATGATATCTACAACACAGTTATGGCCATTTTATTTACTATACAAAACCACCAGTCGTCTGAGTTTTTATATATAGTTAATGTTGAAAGGTAAAATTGTGGAAATATGAGAAAAGGTTTTCTTGTTTTGCCACACAACACCCAGTATGTATCTCTCCGCCATGTATGTCACTTATAATACATTTAAGCCCAAAAGCTTATCTCAAAACCACCATAAACAATAAATCAGGCATCAGACGACAAACATGCAACCATTTCTTATAACAGCTCTCTGTGAGGGAGCTTTTAGGTGAAACAGTTCAGGCGTCTGGTTCCTATCACCACCACTGTGAACAATTCCAAGCCTTTAAGTTTCTCTAGCACGGAACATTTCACACCAAACCACTGTGAATGACTCTGCTTTCATCTAAACAAGTTAACTGTGCAGAATTTTTTAAAAAATCGACTAAACTGTCTTTTAATTGAACTTTTTCGTGGATCCTCGCGACGCTGATGCGGCGCCATTCATAACCCGTTACGTCAGCGTGTGTGCTGCGCAATGAATGCGCATCCTCTAATGTTTGCGTAAAAATGCGCAGCGCCTATAAGCGTGGCTGGGTCCGGTTCAACCTTGAGATTTCACTGTAAATGTATCTTTAAAATACTTAATTATTCCTGCTATGCTTTATACTGTGATACATTTATACGATGCCGTCCTTAGAATATAGCCTGATATGTAGTCAATAATGTATGTCAATAATGCACAGTCAATGTAATAATGTAATGTAACGACCACAATGGATTTTTATTAGACATCCCATAATTAATAAATGTATGGTTCAGACACAACATACATCATTTACAGGTTATATAATTTTGGGTAAAGGGGGAGGAAACAGCTCGCAGTAACTCTGGCCCTCTTTAGCACAGTAACTCATTTTGAACAGTACATTAGGAAGACTCCAGCTATTCTGAGAGGAATAGCTCTCTTACCTCTTTCAGCTGGGCCAGGCGGTCCTTCATCCTGCCGCACTGTGTTGGTGGGCCTACTACCGTTCAAATAGGTGGGCTTTCAGTTAATACAAAATGTTCAAGATGGCAAGAGCGCTCCGTCGTCAGACGGGGACACCGATGATGAGAATAAAACACATATCCTTAATGAGCCAAACCTCAGCTGGGCATTAGCAGGGCTTCTCTTCTTATCCCTCACTGGTTCGACTATTTCAGACTGCTAAGTAATATTTTAACGTATAAACAGGTATAAAAGCACAATCAATATGGCAGTGTCTTGTCAGACTCGTAGTTTTGCTAAGCCTATCCTCTCAGGACGGATTAGAGCAACAGTTGTGTGCTGGAGAGTTAATCTCCCTCTTTCACCGCCACACTCATCGCGCATGCTCAATACATTCACCGCAGTTCTCACTGCACAGCCCCTGTGAGTGCTCTCACACTATCAAAGACCCAGGGGTGGATTCAGTGAGTGTGAGGCTCTGTAGGCCCAAGACAGGAATGGGGCCCCTGGATGCTCATTTTTTAATTAGCTGTAGCGCTGAGCCATAGCCGCATACACTGCAAAAAATGACAATGGCAAGTGAAATTATCTTAAATGTAGTCAATATATCTAATATTTCTCATTTGTGACTGTATATCTAATATTTCTCATTTGTGACTGCTGTTTAAACAGTCTGTTTTGGTTATGGCGCTTTTAAGACTGATATATGTAAATGAGCGAATCTGACTGGCTACCGTGTTATGTGCTTTGTTAAAAAGCAGTCTGGGCTGAAACACTCCTTATAACTTCAGATTTGAATGGGCGGGGCTAGATTGTTGTAGGCTGAATAGGCAGGTAAATGTAAACGTTTGGTTTTTCATTACATAGCAACAATGAATTAAAGATGTCAGCTGTTTTTTGCAGCTAAGTTTCAGTATATGAACTAAATGGACTAGAGATCAAACAGTGTTTTGAAACATTAAACGTGTTTACATAGTACATTAATTTCTTTTATTTCAAGAAAAGCAAGGAAAATTTAGTTTTCTACGACATGGGCCCTTTAACTTTTTCTAGACACATTTTACTTGTTTAAAGTAACTTTATGAAGTGAAATTTATTCAGAATAGGTTATTTAACATCAACACATACAGTATACCTATATTTGTATCTTTATGGGGCCCTTATTGGCTCATGGGCAGCAGCCTACCTTTGCCTTCTGCCCCTGCAAAGACAAAATTGCAAAAATTGCAAAAAAAGAATCTAGTCAATATGACGTCTTATTTTGAGATTATTATACAATAAATAAATTATTTCCCATTATTTATTACTAGATTTAAGTGATTTTATATAGAGAAATTGTATTATTCTTTTGGCAGATTATTTTGCTTGTTTCAAGAAATAATGCTTGAAACACACGTATTAACAGAACAAGACAATTTATCTATATAAAATCACTTAAAAGACCTATTTCTTACATTTTTCTTTGCACTTTATTTTGCATCCACTTATAACATTTAAACATAGTTTAAATAACAAAAAACAGTTCTAATTCATTTTTATGACCATTTTCCACCCTCTTTTTCTCCCTTAGAATTCAACAGGCTTCCCCAAGGTTACAAGAGTCCTGATGGAATTTCATAAATTTTCAAATTTAAGTCAGGAGACTGGCTTAGCCATACAAACACATTCACCTTCTTTTTAGAAACCAGTGTTGTTCATCTTTCAAATTCATTTTCACTTTTTGAAATCACACAAGATAATTAAGGGGCTGCAGGATGGTTACCAAAAGTAAATAGTACATAAGCATACTTTGTTTACACAGGTTTACATTCAAATTGCTGTATGTGAACTGTAGCCCCCCCGCCCACACACACACACACTCTTAAAAAAAGATGATTCTTCAAGGGTTCTTTAGAAAATGACTCTATATAGAACCAAGAACACTCAAAGAACCCTTTGCATGATAAAAACGTTCTTTGCACTGTAAAAACCGTTCTTCAGATTGATGGGGAATGTGTTTCATATGGTTTTAAACAGAACCTTTTTGAAAAGGGTTCTTTTATTGTTACAGGCCTGGCATCATAACAATATAAGAACCCTTCTTGGTGCTATATAAAACCACCTACAACACATTCTCCATTAGTCTGAAAATCCCTTTAATCATGCAAAGGGTTCTTTAATTGTTCATGGTTCTATACAGAACCATTTATTAAGGAACGCTTGAAGAACCATCATTTTTAAGATTGTACTTATCAGATCAAATTTGCAAGCCTGGGCTGTAGAAATGGAGGTAAATGTGGTGTAGATCAGTGCTTCTTGTTCTGTGTAACTGCTTTCAGGTCGTTCTGCAACTGTTTTATGAGTGACTGTGGGGTTCTCTTACCTTCTTGTGTGTGCACCTGTCCCAGGACGATTATTTGTGGATCCAGGATCTTTCTACAATTTACACATCTCGGTTTAGGCTTGTGAACGCATCCTTTTTGTTCATATTTGTAAATACAAAGTCAAAATACATTTTGTCAAATGTGAAGTGGACATATGCACCGGAAATGTATCAAATGACAAACAACAGTCTGAACACTTGTTTCCACTCAGTGCATATGCAGTCCTGGCTGCCTTGTTCTCAATATTTTAGTACAGGAATGCATGTTCAAATTATCAGGTCTAAACAGCCTAAATGTGGAGACATGTGAGACCAACTGAGTAGCAAATATGAAAATGCCTGGTTAATGTCAAATACTATGAACGTATACAATCTAGAATATAAAGTATAGAACAGTACATTTAATACTACTTAAGCCCATTAAAGTCTGTGTTTAAATTCTTATAACATCACTATCACCACAACACTGACAGTCAACATTAGAAAAAAGACATCACATGAGACTAGAAGCAACGCTTGGACAGAGCATTAATTTATTCATTATTTAGGGTCCACAAGTATTTATACAGTTCTCAATGACACACAAACCCATCTGTCTTTGTATATGGCATAATGCAAGAGTAACTCAACTCGCGTGTCGAATGGTTTCATACTGCAACACATCTTATGTTGGTTTTATCCTCCAGATGGACAGACTGAAGGGGAAGAAAACAAAGGGACAGAGATGGCAGGAAGTGTTGGTTGTATTGAAATGAAAAGCTCACTTTTCGACCAAGCAGTGGTGCATCACCCATTTTTGTACAACTACCTGTCTGGTTTGTAGTCTTTGTACTTCATGTACATTTTTGTATTAAAGGAACAGTTTGGTCATGTTTCTAACAGTGAATAAAAGAAAATGATGTAAATGACAAGGTAACAGGCATCTACCAGATTCCACTCACCATTAGCCATGTTAGCATGTGTGGTCAAACTGTTCCTTTAAAACATGCTGACTCGCTGGAGTAAAAGGAAGTGTTTAAAATTTCAGCCTATAATAAACGTCTCATTTGATGTCTCACTCCGAGACGAGCTTATGGCAGAGTGTGTATGCCGCATGTGTCTGTGTCTGTGAGGTCAGTGAGCACATCTGGACAGTAAGGGCGAGGGTGTATGTGAGTCAGTCAGTCAGTCAGTCAGTCAGTGTGTCTTGGTTTTGTACTGATGTGCAGTACACAAGTGCCATGGTTTTATCAGATTTCACAACGTGGAAGAATTAACTGATAAGACATGTAGTACTTTGAAGGTGGAGTGTCCCAAAAGTACTGCAGCATTAAGTCTTAAACCATTAGTGTATTTAAAATGATGAATCACACCACAATGGAATACGTGTTACAATACTTTTGGGCCACTCAACACTGATCCACAGATTTCTAAAGCTGAAGGTGAGTCAGTCCAGGTTCAGTCAGTCAATGTTTATACAAAAGAAAGACAGTCTGTCTATCTATAGAGGTAGTCAGCCTGAATATTGGCAGCGATCTCAGCCTCCCATTTGTCTCCATTATTGAGCAGCTTCTCCTTGTTATAGAGCAGCTCCTCATGGGTCTCTGTGGAGAACTCAAAATTAGGCCCCTGAGAGAAGGAAAGAGAGATAGACAGGGAAGAAATAAACACCGTTGTCATACTGTTTAACCATATCTGAAAATATGTGTAGCCTCTCTCATGACCACAGCATACACCATAAGCATATAGCCAGTATTAATAATGTTTTAACAAATCTGCCAGTAGCACATAAAGTGACTAATGATTCACTACAGCTCACCTCTACGATGGCGTCCACAGGGCAGGCCTCCTGACAGAACCCACAGTAGATACATTTTGTCATATCGATGTCATAACGTGTTGTCCGCCTGCTGCCGTCAGCACGAGGCTCTGCCTCAATTGTGATGGCCTGATGAAGGAGAGCAGATAAGTCTGTGTGCACATGTGGTTACCCCAGGGTAATATGATATGTTATTGTTACGATTGTTGCTATAATAAAAATGACAACAACAACAATAACACCATTAAATAAGTTTACATAATTTCATTATGTAATCACAATAACTATGTAAATAAAAAAGATTGTCATAACTTATTATAATGCAGTGCAATCAAATATAAAAACTGATTCAATTTGACATTAAAATAGGCTGTTATTTGCTGAAAAATCTGTTTGGTAAAAAATGCAATAACTAGAAATTATCTGACATACTAATTATACATTTTGTAAAACTTGGATGACAAACAGCAGAAAGGGCAGCCTAGACACAGTGGTATGAACAACCACATTATTGCAGTCAGAAACTACTAGAAGTATGTAAGATACACCTTGGATGAATGTTTAACACTTCACTTGGATTTTTCATTGCTTTGTTGCCTTGTGAAAAATCTGTTCTCCCATGTGACCAGAAGTCTGATATTAAATTTATAAATGAAGTGATAAAAACTCACAGCTTAGCCATACCCTTTAAATGATTTGAATCTGTGTTCAGACAAGCTTAGAAAACACATGGGTCAAAGGAAAAGTAAAACTTTAGATATGGACATTAATAGGAGAAAGTGTGCATACCTGAGCCGGGCAGATGGCCTCACACAGCTTGCAGGCGATGCAGCGCTCCTCTCCAGAGGGGTATCTACGCAGGGCATGCTCTCCACGAAAACGTGGGGACAGTGGGCCCTTTTCAAATGGGTAGTTAATCGTGGCCGGCTCACGGAATAAATAACTCATGGTCATTCCCAAACCTACAACATGACATGGCATGGCATGATTTTCAAGCACTTGTACAAGACAGAAGGCTGTAACTTCAAAAGAATGATGCTACTGTAGATCTGTGAAATCTGTGAAAAAAGATGAAAATCGAAAAGGTCAGAGAAGTAAGCTGACCTCGAAACAACTCCGTCCACAGTAGAGTCTGGGCAGCTCGGTCTGTGATGGACTTCATATCTGTGGGGAGTTCCTGAGCATTCACATATTCTACAGAGAAAGAGATAGAAAGATTATTTATTAATACTATATAATACTAGAAAGGGTATACTTTGAGTCTATCTACACATGTGCTACACTTACTGAACCCCTCCCTGTGAGCAGATAAACTGAGAGGACGCACAAGGTTGTGGCCAGCTATGAAAGAGCCTGCAGAGAAAAAAGAAGATGCAATATGAGGCAAAAAAATCTGCAACCAACAAAATTATTTCAGAATGACAGTATTAGCACCAGTAATACTGAGCATAACCAGTTGGAGCAACAACTAAAATTTGATTTAAATCTGATTTCTGTATGGGAAGCTCATATGTATCAAAGGAATGTACTATTTTCAGATGTGGATACTGATGGTTTAAATCTATTTTCCACTAAGGATACGTAATCTATGTATCTGATGAGAGTACCTGGCCGGGACACTGAGTAGAGGACACGTAGCGCCGCAGACATCCCGCCTGAACCTGTGCGCTGTGGAAGAAGAGATATAGTTAACCTACTAAGCGCAGATGCAGTGAACAGTAACAGGCTTTATTTCTTTATATTGCACAGCCGTGAGTTCTGGTGGCCCTAGATGACCAGCTACAAACAATACTTTCCCCAACCAAGCCTAGTCTACGGGTATGGATACGAGAATTAAAACAAAGAGCAAAGCATTTTCTCTCCATGAACTCTCCAACCAGTTTCCATCTCCAACTGCTCGGCGAAGGTTTAACTTGTAGGGAAGGAAACACAAACACAACATTGGTTCCGCTGGACACGATTTACTGCTGTCTGATTCAATCGTGCTCCTGAGTGGTATTTTAAATCAACTGTAAATATTTTAAGTTACTAAAGCCTGTCAGTGAGTCACGGAGTAACGTATTTTGTTTAGCTGAAGTTGGGATCCAAATGTCTGCTGCATCTGCGAGGACGGGTGTTCAATACTGTGTAAGCTAACAGCTAATATAGCTGTGAATATATGACCTATGAAACTTATGAGCAGTGCAGTGGCCTCTCTAGTGGAAATGACGATAATTCGAGTGAAAAACAGCCCTCAAGTCATAAATAAGGACCCAGTTATCTGCCTTTAAGTTTGTAAAGCAGTGAACTGCATTAGCCGCTGAGCAGCTACTGCACTCTCAAGGACTTTCAATGTCTGCCGTGCTGCTGCACTCACACACTAAAATATTCAGTTTACTCAGACCGGACGCTGCATAACTACCTGTTACCAACACATTTGACCGGGCGACCATTTAAAAAGTCCCAAAGTCAAAGCAGGACATGTTGAATTAATCTCGTTGACACTCACCGAGTTGTCGCTATTTGGCCTTCTAAACCAGAACAGCGGACGATTTAAGAAACGCACATTCGCAACGCCGGAAGAACGAGGCATGATCACGTGACCTACAGTTAAAAAAAGCTTCTTGGTGCTTTAGTAACGAAAACGGTTCTTTATAGAACCCTAAATACCCAAAGAGCCCTTCGCGTGATTAAAGAGTTTTGCGTCGTCAAAGGGTCCTTCAGCTTGATGGAGAATGTGATGTATATGTGATGTATCTTTTTTTGAAAATGGCCCTGTATAACACCAAAAAGGGTTCTTCTATTATTACAAACTTGACATCGTGACAATAGCAATAATTATATATATATATATATATATACATATATAATTATCTCCAGATAATTAATTTGAGAAAAAAACAACTCTAGTCATTTTGCAGGCAAAAGTGTGTTTTTACCAATCATAGAAAAACCCATGGGGGCTCTGTATCCATCTGTATTAGCTCTACTTTAAAGTACATGATATACAAATTATAAGCACGTATTTTGATCATATATTTTAGATATTAGTTTATATATATAGTATATATAGTTTGTAGTGAACTATGTTTCTGTTGGTTTGTGGTTTTCAGAGAGAGAGAGAGGAGAGAGAGAGAGAGGAGAGAGAGGAGAGAGAGAGGGAGGGAGGGAGGGAGGTGTGTGTGACGTGTGATGTGTGTGCACACGATGAGGCAGGACAAGCTGAATAAGGAGTTTATAGCTTATGCTTAATGAAGCAGGATAAGTTTAATGAAAGGCAGGGCTGGTGTTTATTCCATCTGCGTAAATGTGTGCGTAGTTTAACTCACTCTTCTAACGTCTGAGTTCTTTACTGTTTTCCTGACTGTCAGACTGGTTCTTTATTAATAAAGTAAGTAATTGATTTTTCTTTTTCTTTTTATTTCTTTTTTTTAATTAATTGCAAAATATATTTACAACATATATGGTAAATTAATCACATTTAGATCATCTTTCTTGGGCAGCACTGTAGATAGTTCTAGGAAGAATAGTGCAGCTGTCATTGATAAAAGTTTAATTGCAGGATGTCATCTGTAAAAGTACAATAAAATGACTGCATGTTTAATAGTTTCAGCTTTTCCTCAGTTTTAATGTCGTTCTTTTTGTTCTCTGTCTGCATTAGTGAATTGGACAGCTAATATAACGGAATCAGAGCCGGGGCCATGGGCCAGGATTGAGAAGCCCTTGCTCGTGGTCATTCTCAGCATTGAGATGGTGTTGGGTGTTCTGGGAAATGGCTTGGTTCTGTGTGTTAAAGCTGTAGTAAGAACAATGGCTACTTTTACCAAGCTTTCAGGGAAATCCTTCTGTGTTGTTCCACTAATTTAGGGCTTGTCTGTTCACATTCTAAATTTTCATGAGAAAATTCAAGCCAAAACTACAATTTACAAATAGCTGTAATTTTCAAAAATATAACTCACTCGACTATACATTTCATTTAAACATTGAGTTTAATTGCAAACAAAATGATTAAACAAATACGAAATATTAACTGGATGTAAATGTAAAACTAAGCAAAGTATTTAACTTTAAATCAACTGGTTTATTTATTGGAAATGTACTTTTTATGCCAGATTTCATATGCAATATTTTATCTATGAAATGTAATATTTTAGTCAGTTTCAAGCAGATTTTTGCAAAATGAAGGGATGATGTAATATTTGTGCATGTCTAGCAAATGTATAAGTTATGAAGTTCTGCGTGTAATATTTGAAGCTTCACCATGAGTTCAAGATGGCTTCACAACTAAATATCTATTTTGTAGGTTTTCATTCTGAAACTTTTTCCTGAGGCAGAGCAGTAATCTGATTTACATTATAAATACAGATGTGCTGTGACTCCTTCATGGTTTAACACTTATTTGACTAAGATAAACAATATAATCAAATACTACAGGCTAAGTTTGTTGTTGGGGCATCTATTATGAATCTCCTGTGGAAGTACCAAGTGTCCTGTCTTGTTGGCCATCAAAATAAATTTTCTGGTCATTTACAATTTCTGGAATAAACTCTTTCCATTAGACCAAGAAGGCAATGTGCTTCCCTGGGATTCGCTGCTTCTGCTAATTTTGCTACAGGTTCTGCTGCTGGTGTCACCATTAATTTTCAAACCCTGCATAATGTAGAAGTTTTCTCTCCTGATATTGTCATAACTTTACTGCCACTACAAAGCCTGAGGATCATTTTAATTGCCAGACATAACAGGTCTTGTTCATGACAAAGGAGATGGATTAGAAGGAAATAGGATTAATCCCTTTGTGAGAGATGTAGGGTCAAAAAGTTTTGCCTACTTCAGACTTCAACTTTTGTGAGGCTGCAGGTAAGGTTTCCTTCAGATTATTCTTCCATGCAGATCATGTTTGGGCAAGCAATGCTGCACAGTAAACTCCTGTGTCAGCTAAACCTTCCTGCTGGTCCTTTGCTGTCATATGGGGGTTTTGCTTTGCCTTTTTGGCAGCATACAAGCAGTTCTAATAGTTTTCCTGGTTTTTCAGATTTTGCCTTGACTTCCACAGTTCCCCTTAACTTCCATTTTTTTTTTCAGACAGTGGGAATTGTGAACTGGTAGCATTTTTGATATCTTTTTTATAGCCTTCCACTGCTTTGTAGACATCAATTGGCTTTTTTCAGATGCTTAGCCAGCTGCTTATAGAAGCCCATGGTTGTTGACTGTTAGCACAAAGTTTGAAAGGTCAGAAAATTTATTATGCTCTTGAATTCTTATCAGCTAACAATTCCTAATACAATCATTGACTTACCTAGCTATTCCTCACTATTCAATTAAAAACTTGCATTATCTTTTATGGAAAATATAAGTATTTGCATGTAACTGTAATACATAATACATACCTAGAAAAGTAACTGAAGCACAGCTTCATTTTCACAGCATCAAATTTTTTCATGGTTGCATAAATTAAATTGAAGATTTGCTTGAAATTTTGAAGGCAGAGTTTTGTGTCACTTTAAATAACATTTTCTCTTTCCCTCTCTCACACAGTGTAGGGACCAGTTTCAGTGTGTTCACTGGGTGCCGTTTGTCAGTCTCACTCTGTCTGACTTCTTCTGTGCCGTGCTGATCATAAATGGTTCCTTACTGGCCATCTTAAATGGGGGTCAGAGGTCTCCATGGTGTGAAGTGGTCAGCCTGTTTAAATTCACCTTTATCACATCGTCCATCGGAAGCATAGGTGTGAACTGAAGCACTTCATTACAGTGTGCATAGTATTACTGTCCATAGATCTTAGCCAGGTCACTCTGGGCATCTCCACAACATGTATTTCTGGATTCTAAATTTATGGTCACAGCAGAATGAACAGAAATGTATATGGACCATTTACTGAATTAGTTTAAACTGCAGACCTGCAGTAAAATTAGAAAAACAATTACTTGTATATTTACAAGGATTATGTTATGATCTATTTAAACTCAAGGCAATTTTCAACTTAATAATACTTGAAAAAAACAATACTTAGATCTGTTGTATTTCTTTTTGATTTCTTTTGAAGTGAAGTTGAAAACTTAAGATTTATCATAAGAGTTTAATTTTAAAATGAAAAAACTGTATTCAAAAAATACTGTCCCATGTTTTCATGTCACTACTGAAATGGAGAGTTTTAGCACATAGGTGGTAGCCACACCCCTGCATTTTAGAGCAGGAAGTGAGACTGCATCCCTGTCTCACATGCAGTTACTTCCCATTATTTTGAAGTAAATGTGTCCTGAAGTCTGAAAATCAGTGTGTAACATTAAGAATTGTCACTACCGAAACACATATTTTCTGCAATTTAGATTTTTTTTTGCATTTTTATGAAAAATATTATTTTATGTGTGTACAACTGTTCAAAACTGTGTTTGCTAGTCATGTACTGATTAGCATTTTTTAGTTCTGCTCAAAATAATCTAAAATTGTCACTCCTAAACATTTGGTAAAGTTTAATATTACTGTATTGGTAGTGAAAAAATGGAATGTTCGCCTTCGCCCTCCTAGCGTTGATAGTATCGTGTGATTGGGGGAGTCCTAACTAGCGGGTGGAATTGGCAATGACTAAATTGGGGAGAAAATTGGGTTAAAAATCCAAAAAAAAAAAAGAGAGAGATCCATATACAGGAAATCAGTGTCTCTTGTCCAGATTCACACAATATTTACTCCATCTGTTAATTAATGAATCTTGTTTTTGTCCTTCTCGTTTGAATGACAGCACTTCTCTGTGTCCAGCCATTTCTGGACATGGACTCCAGAGGTAAACACTTGTCTGTCATCATGGCAATGGTATGCTTGGCTTCATGGTTGATGGGTGTCATGTTTGGGATGGTGCCAGTGATCTACGATTGGGTCAGGTGAGATCAATGAATGATTTGGATCAACTCAGGTCAGAAAAAAGTGTGAGTTATTAAATAACCCCTGAACATTAGGTATGATCCTTCGGAGATGCTGTGTGCTGTGTTCTGGGAGAGCAGTTACTCGGACATGTTGGTCTACATCCTCTGTGCGTTCTCCATCTCCATCTTCCCCCAAGTCCTCATCATCCTCACCTGCTCCTTCTTGACCTCTGCTGGATATAGGAGGAACTCTATCAGGTGTGCTGTGAAAGAATTGCTTTTGTAAGAACTTTACAGAAATGAAAACATTCTTGACTTTAAAGGGCCCAAATATTTTATTTTTCTTAGTTTAGTTTTTCCCCTGAGTTGCATTTTATAACAGTTCTGTGGGTTTATATGCCAAAATAATTCATTTTTACATGTCCTCTCTTCATCCCATAAACAATTATTATTACGGAGGCTTTAAGACTGATATATGTTAATGAGCTCTGGTTTGACTGGCAGCACTGTATTGTGCCTCAATCAAAAAGCAGTTGATTGGGTGGATCTAAACAGCTGTAGGCCAAAAAAGTGAATATATGTAAATGAATTGTTTTTTCTTGACATCATACACTCTTTAAAAAGGTGGTTCTTCAAGGGTTTTTAGTAAAGGCAATGGTTCTATATAGAACTATGAACACTCAAAGAACCCTTTGCATGAAGAAAGGGTTCTTCTATTGTTACAATGCCAAGCTTGTTACAATAGAAGAACACTTTTTGGTGCTATAGAGCCCTTTTCAAAAAGGTTCTCTATAGAACCATCTACAGCACATTCTCCATCAATCTAAAGAACCCTTTCATTATGCAAAGTACCCTTTCTTCATGCAAAGGGTTCTTTGAGTGTTCATGGTTCTATATCGAACAGTTTTCTTTACTAAAAACAGTTGAAGAACCATCTACCTACCAAGTGGGTAGAGTCAGTAAATTCAAAATGCATTTTTTTCCCAACACTTTTGCAGCACAATTTCTGTAAATGGGCTGCATAGACTGTGGCGTGAACGGTACATTTTGAAATTTGTGCAATGTGCACACTACATCACAATCTTCACATCAATATTTTTTTTCCTGATAAGGGCCCTTTAATGTAACTTAATGTAACTAGATTTTTCAAGTAATTTGTTTCTATTGGTCCATCTGTCATTAAATGTTTACATAATGTAAAGGGCAGCAGGCATTTTTTTAACACACACTATCTAATCTGCTTATCCTCCTGGGTTGCGGGGGGTGCCGGAGCTTATCCCAGCGGTAGCACACATTTTCAAATGGCTTATAAAAATAAAAGCTTAAGCTTTGTTTTGACAGTGAACTGTTATGAAATCAATTTTATATTCTGTCTTACTGTGATTTAATGTTATTGATTCACATTGTTCCTACATCAGTTTTAAATGCTCTTTATAAAGAAGAAATTATTCAGAGAAAACTTTAAAGTGAGCTAGTACCTTTCTTTATCTACATGCTCAATGTTAGACTGATTAGAGAGCACTGCATGCTGCTGAGAGTGAAAACCCTCTCCTCATCCTCCTTCTCCTGTCTGTAGCCCGGCAGATCTATCTTCCGTCACTCCTCTGCTGGTGGTGTCCTATCTGCTCTGCTACACTCCCTTCGCTGTGTCAGAGGTAAGAATCTCTCACATTAAACAGGAGAAGATTCCTTGCTGTGACAGAAACACAGATCATCAACATGTTGTAGTTGCATTATAATTTATTATTTGGTCATAATAATAGTGAACATTGCTTTTTTACGTTACATAGTGGTTAAAACTGGTGTTGAGTTCCACTGATTTTTCAACACTTCTACATAATTCAATATTTAAGACATAAACAAAGTAATTCAGAGAGGTTTGATGTAAAATGTTCCATTCTAGAAAACTAGCAGAGAAAGAATTGTTAACAGTGGTGCTGATAGGAACCAGATGTCCAAAGTGTTTAATGCCTCAAAGTTCCCTTGCAGAAAGTTGTGAGAAATAAGCTGCCTCATGCCTGAGACACTGTTTTACAATAGTTCTGATATAGGTGCGGCACGAAATGAATTTTTTAGATCCATTCATGGCGAAGAGGTACAGGCAGGGAATTATGAGGCAAAATAGTCCCCCAAATAAAACTTAGTTTTTTTTTTGATATAACACTATTTTACCACTATCAACATTACTAAAACTGAGAAGACAGGTGTACATTCACTAAACACTGCTGATAGTAAATAAAATGGCTATATTTACCTTGTAGACATTGCCCAATTTTTCCAGTTGTTCCTATCACCTCTACTGTAAAGAAATCACCCTTCCTATATACAGTCTGTTTTCTTGAGGTCATTGTGCAAACATTCAGTTGGTACAGACAGGATGTTTTTACATTACACAGAGTGGAATAAATTAAGATATGTTTGGAAAGATTGTGTAAAAATCTGTGCATTCTGAGCTTCACCAGAATAACCATGATCCTTGCAGGGCCTAAATCTCAGCTATTCCAGCACATCCCTATTTTATATTTGTTCATATAAACAACATAAGTTAAAGATCTTTCATCTTAAATTTAATGTATGAAAAACAGGAATCTGGAATGTGCATTTGAAGTGATTATTTCATTAAGGGGAGCTAAATCTATATCAGTGTCAGAGAGTGCCACCTAGTGGAGCCCAAGCAGGCATAATAACCCTATAGGTTGACTCTGCACACAGAAAAATACTGACTTTGCTCTGTTGCTTCTCATTGTTACCTAACAGTTTTATCACAATGCTAAAGTTAACTGTAAATGTACTTCAGATGATTCTTCTAGGAAGGCTGGAGCTGTCACCATCTCCTGAGTGGCTGAGGACACTTGCATCAATAATGGCGTATCTGGACTGCAGTTTGAACCCTATCATCTACTGCACCAACCAAGGCTTCCGAGAGGCACTACTTGCGCTGCTGTGGAATAACAGAAAGTCAAGCTTCCCTGAGCCTGTACTGACTTGCATAAAAAAGCTAGAGATATAAAACTGACAAGAAATGCTTGTGAAAAATGGCACATTTTCTTTTCCTTTGTGTCCGTGTACATATTGGTGTCAAAATATATTGCCATCAATGCTACATGGTGAGACATCTGCCCCTTCACTTGCACACACATACATATCTGAAGTAAATTAAGTGAGAGGGGAAAAAATTGCAGTTAATTCAAATGCAATCATGCTAACATCATGTTAACCATCTGTTGGCTGCCCACTGGAGGTTAGTATATTAGCTGATGAATCCAACACAGAGAATAAAAAAGCCAGACCCCTCCTGGGCCTTCTTAAAAAATAGAAGAAGGTAACTGACAGCTTTTCAAGACAGCTTAAGGGGGATAACTATATTGCAGGGAAACAAGATTGCTATACAACTAGCTAGCTAGACTAGCAGGTTACACAGTGGAAAACAGAGATTGCTATAGCTCACATGACTTTTTTTGGTCAAAATCAATTATTCCACTGACAAACAGTGTCTTTAGCTGCTGTAATGATGTTGATGGAATATATTTATATAAGTTTTTGTTGTCCCTCAGAATTCCACTACAAAATAGCTCGCAAAAGTGAACTATGTACAAAATTTCCGCATAATTACATGGTTAACGTAAATAAAGGCTTTAAGGTTTGATGGGAAATACTTTGTCCTAAAGTCAGAATTGTTCACAGACCTGGTGATAGGACCCAGACGTCTGAAGTGCATAATGCCTCTAAAAGCTACCTCGCAGAAAGGTATTCCATTAAACGGTTTACAAATATACTGCCTGTTCTCTGAGACCTTGTTTTGCACTGGTTTATCCTGCTGTAAATAACAGCATAGACTATACCAGTCTAAGCTGGTTTATGCTGGTTGGTGCTGGTTTAGCAGTAGTGTGGTCATGCTGGTTGACCACCATACCAGCATCCAAAACACAATATGTACTGGTGTTTGTAGCAGGGTAGAGATACCATTTTGGCCTAAAACATATTTTTAAAATAATTTCCTGTTGGACAAGTACATGCAGGACATTGTAAGGAAAAAAGTGTTTTTTTCAGATTTACTGTTATTTTATTATCATCTACATTACATATAAAAACTCAGACACATGTAGGTTTGCTGGTTGTCATGGGTAGTAAATAAAATACCTATATTTGCACTGTAGACATTACAACCCCTGATTCCTATCACCACCACTGTAAAGAAATCAGAGTCAATAAGTATCAGTAATGTCCCATTTTATATTAAAGCATTTTGACTTTCACATCTTACTGAAAGAATCACTGGAAGTATCCTTAACATAGCAAAGATAGTGGTGCAAAAAAGATTAGTATGTATATAGTACGGCATCACTATATTCAAGTCTGTAACAACACTTTCTTTTTCTTGTTATGCTTGTACTTTATTCTTACTCAAGTTTTTTTTTATAGCTTCTTGAAGTGGAAGTCATGGCACTTTGGTTGGGTTCAGACTGCTCTACCCATGCATTCTTAAAGGGACACTCTGGCCAGATCAGGAAAACCCTTATCTGATGACGTATCTTGAAGGTGGGAAGAACTTGTGCTTTTGGTTGGGCTTTTTCGGGGCCAGACTGTTGCAGCACTTGTGGTAGTTACTATTTATAATCCCCCACAAAATAATCCTGTTTTGCAGTTGTTCAAGAACAATATACACTTGAAATCATTTAATTTTTTGGGACACCCGAGTAATTATTTCATTGAAGCACTACTTTGAATATTATTCACTACATTACTGAATAATCTCTGTGACGTTCAAGCCGTGTGTACACGCTTTTCTTTAATCAAATCTTCTGATTATTCGAGTCTTCGCAATAGCAGCGCTTTGTCCGCTGCTCTGTCCAGCCGGCGGTCATGATGTCCGTTTGTGCGCAGTTCTCTGCGAAATGTCCGTGAGGAAGCAGAAGCTGTAGTGAAACTGCAGAATGTCGCACACTTTGGACCAGAAGTGACCCGTGAGGCGCTGGAAGGGCCACCACTGCGCCAGCTCGTGGTCCAGCAGCTTCAGCAGCACGAAGCCCGCGCACGCCAGCGCCGCGAGCGCGAAGAAGCGCAGCGACGCGGAGTCCCCGTGCGCGCGCTGCAGGGTGGCGGCCGCGTGCACGGCAGCGGCAATGTGGGCGGCGAGCGCGAGCTCGAAGCCTCGCTCGTGCAGCAGCGCCAGCGCGTAGCTGAGGACCGAGCAGGCTTCGATGGCGAGCGCGCGAGGGGTGGACCAGCCACGCGCCACCACGCCACACCAAACGGGCACCCACGCGAAGATAGGTAGCGTAAACCACTGGTCCAGGACGGCGGGCGCGCGGCGCAGCGTGGCCAGGCGCGTCCACTGCACGGGCCCGTAGAGCAGCGCCATGAGCGCGAACACGTCCTTGGCGTAGCAGAGCGCGCGCTCGTGCTCGAGCCCTGGAGCGCGCAGCCAGTAGATGCCCACGAACGCGTAGCCCGCGTTCACGAGGCAGTTGAACGGCATGGCGAGGAAGCCGGGAAGCTGCGGAAGCGCGCGCTCAGCGTAGTGCTCGTAGCTTGTGTCCACCGGCACCTGATCGAAGACCCCCGTGTTGGCGACAGCCACGCAGAGCAGGAACGGGACGAGCACGTGCACGAGCGCAGACATCCCACCTGCTTCATAAACAGCAAGCAGTGAAGTCCAGCAGCGTTTGGAAAGCAGAGGGGAATGCTGCACGTGGAAGCGCGCGACAGGAACGCGCACTTTCTCCCGCAGATGTGGCTTCAATATGTGTACAGTCGAGAAGTCAAGGAGCCACAATAATGCATGTCTTAATTTGTACAGATCAAACCAGCACAACTGGAGTGGACACAGCCTGCTTCTGTGTTTTTCACCACACCTCTGACTTCTTCATTAGCAGGAAGTTTTATTTAGGGCTTATTAGAGCCACAAAGCACGTGACTGCCACCTGCCGGAGGCCAAGTGAAGCGAAAAAAAAATGCAGTCTGATGATAAATAGGCAAGGCAGCTTTATTTACATACATTTATATACAGGCCGTTCACTGTGCTTTACATAAATAAAAGCAAAATGAACATCGAAAGGAAAAATCAAGATGAAGTGCTTAAGAGTAAAAAACAATAAAAGATAAAAATCTTAAAACAACCGTAATTAAAAGAAAGTAGAAAATACATGAAGTAGAATAAAAACATTTAGAGAATTAAAACAAAGGACTTGTGTGTTCTTAAAATGAGCTTCTTAATTGTAAAATGCAGTATGAATAGAGTGAAAGTTTTAGAGCTCAGTAGTAGGCACACAAAAAGAGAAATGTTTTTAACCTAGATCTAAAAAATAGTACATACACCTGTGCAGGTGCATTTTTCTATGATCAAGGTACAAATAGTGTAAATGTAATCTCTATGGCACAGCAATGGCTTCAAGGTCCAACTGTGTACCATGATTAGGTTTTTCTCAGGGCAAAGGTACATATTTGTACCTTTTCATAAACTAATGTTTTAAAACAGAACAATAAAATAAAAAGCCTGGAGACAAGATATGGTGTGTGGAGTCAATGCAACTTTAAAAATATATATTATTTCAATAGATTATGGTACAATTATGTTTCCCAACTAAAGGCATTGAGGATGTACCCTTGAGGGTACACCCCAAGGACAGTTCTGTACCAGACAGTGTAAGAGTGCACCATAGGACCAGGGGTGTCCAAAGGACTGGTGTGGCTGAAAGTTCTCATTTCTCAAACCTGCAGCCGCTCCAGCCGTTTGCAGATAAGGTTGGACCCCTGCAATAGACATTGGGAAACATAAAAAATGGTCTGAAGTATGTACACTATATGGCCAAAAGTATGTTCAGGTCTTTTAGCCACAGCCATTGCTAACAGGTGAATAAAATTTAGCTCATAGACTCGATAGGCAAACATTGGGAACAAAATGGGTCACACTGAAGAGCTCAGTAACTTTAAGCATGGCATTGTCCTAAGATCAGATAAGATCTGTCAGTTTGTGAAATTTGTGTCCAGCAACCGTAAGTGCTATCACTGTGAAGTGGAGACGAAGTAAACTCAGAGAGCGGGGCCGCCGAGGGCTGAAGCACGTAGCACATGTCCTCTGTTGAAACACTCACTATAGAGTTCCAAAGTGCCTCTGGAAGTGACATTAGCAAAAGAACTGTGCCTTGGCAGCTTCATAAAATGGGTTTCAGTAGCTGAGCAACTACAAACAAGCCTAAGATCAAAATGCGCAAGTCCAAGCGTCAGGGGTGAGTGGTCTAAAGCACGGCACTACTGGATTCTGGAAATGTGTTCTCTGGAGTGATGAATTTTGCTTCACCATCTGGCAGTCTGATGGACAAATCTGGGTTTGTCAGATGCCAGGAGAACAGTACCTACCAAAACGCACAGTGCAAACAGTAAGGTTTGGTGGATGAGGGATAATGGTCTGGGGCTGTTTTTGAGGGTATAGACTCGACCCCTTAGGCTTTGTGGCAGCAGTTTGGGAAACACAGAGCCCTGACCTCCAACTTGGAATGGAATATGTAGGTGTTAACAAACCTCTGGCAATGTAGTGTATGTAAAACTGCAATTTCTCTGTATGTGTGTGTGTGTTAAAGAGAAAGAGAGTGAAAGAGAGAGTAGTGGAGAATGCTGGCGGCAAATCCTCAGTGACTTTTGTTCTGATTTACCTACGTGTCAGATTTGTTTGTCTGTGTACTTTGCCCCTGATCGACGGGTCAGTGTCCAGAATTCTCTTACAACTGATTTTTCTCGTTATCTATCTACCTATATCAGTGTAAAATAAAATACATATGCTATTTTGTCTTTGTGTGAGGACAAATATCACTGATTAGTGGCAACACCACAGGAAAGAAAAAACTTTTAATTTTACCCGTTGATTTGCTATGTTTTTGGCTCTACGCTTCCACTTTAAACTGCATAAGATTTCAACACAATACCCAAACTTGCTCCGTACTTTTACACCCCTGCTAATCAGAGCACTTGAGACCAGTAACAGTAGTCACAGCAGTGCTCATAACCTGAAGTAGTTTACAGTCAGGAAATAAAATGCCATTTGTACAGAAAACCAACTGGTATGGGCAGTTTCACAAGGCAGGTGAGGCACTCAGAGGCGGGAGTGAGACAGAGGGAGGGGAAAAAACCCTGGTTACCAGGTAGGAGACAGAAAAGCATTAGAATGAACGAGAAAGAGCAAGCTCAATAAGTGATAAGGAAGGGAACCAAATTCATAACATGAGAAGCCGAAAAGGAGACCGAGGGAAGCAGGACACTGAAAAAACAACAACAGAGGTAAGAAAAGCACAAAAAGGGAAAGGTTTAAGATATCTACAGTTGTGTGCAAAAGTTTGAACACCCTTGCTCAAATTACATTGTTTTGTTGATTGTCTAAGTAAAAAGCACATCTGCTACAAGGCAGAAACTTAAATATATTTTCTGCTCATTTTATTGCACAATATCTATTTATTTGCTGAGTTTAACATCTTGGGAAAAATAAAACAGAAATATAAACTTTTACCAGGTGTTTACTTTTTTCTGACATGTTAAACTCAACATATAAACACTAATTGTGCCTCAGATGTGCACGTGTAGAGGATGTGTACATATGTTCACATTAAATCGACAAAACATGTGCCCAAACTTTTTCATTTGACTGTATGCAGTTGTTAACTGTTTTAAAAAGACTCTTTGTGTTATCACTATGTTAACATTTGTTTGAAAATAATTTGTTAATTGATTTCTTCACATACTGCGCTGCACTTAATCCAATTAAACAGGACTAATTATGCTCTTTGTAATGAAACACACAGTTGGTCAGTGTTCTTTAAGAACTACTGATATCTATGATATGCCCAGAAAAGCATGGTGTGGCATACTGTAACAATTTAACAAGATACGATACAATATTGTCATGTCGCCTACCCTCTCTTTCTGTTTTCACATTCAGATGACTGAAGGAAGACAGGCAATCCACACTAGCTCTGTGCTTCAGTCTATGCTGAACAGACTCAAGTCTAATGAGAAGGTCAAGCCTCCCGGCCTAAACACGTCTAAATGGTATATCCACCCAAAGGACACAGATCAGAGCACGTGTGAAGTTACTGTGGACAAACTGGAATCAGATTTTCCAAGGAGAGATTGTTCAGAGACCACAAACGATCCTCAAAGTTTAGAGAGCACAGTCAGGAATGCTGCTGATGAAGAAATTACAAGAAATGACACACTAGGAACTGACTGTCAAGAGTCTAGATCTTCTCCAAGCGTATTGCCCGAATACGAGAGAAGGAAATACACATCTAATCATTTGCACGATCTGATGAAGGAGGAACAAGATCCAGAGACCAATAAAGGTCAGCTTGAGCGGGAAAATGTGAGGGCGGAGCCTGGGCCGGAGGAGGAAACTTCTGGAGCGGAATCACATTTCAATAGTGTGAAGGACAGTCTGACTCAGGAACTGTCATTAAGCCATGGCCCCAAACAGCTCTCCCTTCCTTTCCTAGGCCCAAGTGTTACCAAAGGAAAAACAGTGTCAATGACAGAACCTGGACCAACCCCCTCAACACCACCCCTATCCAATGAATGCCACCTTAGCTTTGAAAGGGATGGAAAACCTAAGACTCAAGAACCTTCAGTCAAGGACAAACACGTGGCTGAACAAGGTCTGGACTCATGCAAGACCTTTGAGAATCCAATCAGTAGGCCAGCACGATCTGTTTCTGATCCAATAAGGAGTGAAATGAGAAGTGATAGATATCTCTCAGTTCCAAACAGCTGCTCTATGGCAGATATGGACAAAGCTGACATGCATTTTGCCCAAGCAAATCAAATTCCAAAACAGACAGCCATGCTAAAGGCAGATATACTAGAGCCAGTGGACTATGATGGCTCTAAAACGCAAAAGAAGGTGAAGACGGAGAACATCATTCAAAAATTAGCGGCAAGGTTGAAAGAGAAAAACAGTCAGGAGCAAAATAGTAGCAGTAGGACCAACCACGATGATGAAGAGGAGGCACGATCTGTAAGTCAGTCTACTCAAGCAGTATTATGTAATTACTAACTATTCTCTAGCAAAATTGGCGTATGTCATTTATTTTCACAAATTCTGTTTAAACAGCAGAATTGTATATTCTGATATGTTCCTTTATTTTCAATCACACAAATAAATTATGAATCAGGTTACTTCTATGGAACAAGCAGAGCCACCAGTGAAGTTTCAGCCTAGCCCACCACTCTCCCCAAAAGAGGAGAACTCCACTGCAGTGCATGTCAGACTACAAAGGCAAGTTACAAAAAAGGTCAAAATATATTTTCAAAAAAGTAGTTCCTTTTTAAACAATAGCATAGCTTACATTGGCATATTTTTCTCTTTGTCTTTTTTTGTTGTTCTGCTTTAGCCGTACATCATGAATTAATTTTGTCTAGCTCTAATAAGTCAGTTTAATCTGATACAGTCTGATTAATAATAATAAATAAATCTGGCCAATCAACATGGATATGAATGACACATAAAAGATAAAATGTAGAGCTTGTGAGTAAAGCAGTGAAAATAAGTAAATAAATAAATAAATAATCTGGCCCTGTATTTTTCAAGGTCTTGACTAATGCCCAGGCAAGTCAGTGCATTAAATCGCTCCTGTCTGACCCCTTGAATATATTATTATAGAAGCTTACTAATCAGTAATTACTATAATAATTACTATTAGTAATCACTATAATACTAAAATGTATGTTATGTAAAGAATGGAAGTTTTTAAGCACCCATTCTCCTTCAGAGTTTAAGGGGTTAAGGAGGAGCTGTAAGGTTCTCAATCCAAGCTTCAGGGTCCACTCATCCAAACGTAATTTCCAGACCAGCTCTAAAAACACTTGAACACTTGATGTGCAGGGTGCTATGATATGCTGTGATACGATGAAAATGCTCCCTGAATTAGGGCCCTGGGGACTGTGAATAAGTTCAAATAATTTGAGCAAAGCATGATAGTGGTAATATGAAAGGTGGAGTCTTGACCATGTGTTATCTATTACATTATTTTAAAGACTCATCTGCTGTATAGCCAAAAGGATTTTACCCAACGTGACATTTGCATACCAGGCGTAACTGTTTCCAGTTCAGTGACATTCCAGCATTCCTTTGAAAGAATGGCTCCCTTACTATCGCAAGCAAAATGCCCTTTCAGTATGAGACTGAAAAGGCCCCAATGATGAGATATTTATTAATAATGACACAGTGTGATGTATTGTAGACTATATAATGGACATGACTTGTGGTGTGTAGAATAATAGTATGCCATTATTCCTCATGCTTATCTAAACTGTTTCACTGTATAGGCCCTAGGCCCTATTTCTCTAAAGCCAACCACAGCATCTTACTTCCTTGTTACTACATAGTGTAAAGTCTTGGCGTGTCCAAAAGATGCTGTTTTCATGCAGGTGAAAATTACAAAAGCTTTGCACAAAAGGCCTGGGGAGGAATAGAAATCCACAGCTCCGGAATGGTATGGAGCATCAGATTGGAGTATTGCGAGGATGACATCATACATACATCATCAAAGGGTGGAACTGGTTGGGACACACTACATGCAAGCCTCCAGCTGAATAAGTTAATAGGTTTAAATAGGCTGCACGTTTCCATAGTACAAAATTACAAAAGCACACTTAGTGCAGTGAACACTGATATGTTACAGTGCTACGCTTAAAACTCAACATGAAAATAGGGCCATGATGTTACGTGGGACTGGTCTTCAGTGCTATCCAAACTAAGCTGGTGAAATATTTTGTTTATTGTCTGTCGATTAGTTCCTTTAATGACTTTGTAACTACGTGTTGATTGGTCAGAGACAGGGTGGATTCTCCCTTGGAGTCATAATCAGCTTTTTGTTTTATATTAAGGATTCTTCCTAATAATATTTTAAAGTGCTTTTTTGCTTGCTCTAAAAACATGTTTAAGTAAATAAGTTTATATTAGATTAATTGGTCCTTACATAGGCTTTTTAACATTTGTATAAAAAAACTTCACAACACTGTTGTATATATCAAGCAAGCAAGCAAAGTTTATTTATATAGCGCTTTTTACCACAGGTGTTGTCACAAAGCAGCTTTACAGAAAAATCAGCATTAAAGAAAGAAATCCAGGTCCAAATCCCCATGAGCAAGCCAGTGGCGACAGTGTCAAGGAAAAACTCCCTAAGAGCAGGAGGAAGAAACCTTGAGAGGAACCAAGACTCAGAAGGGGAACCCATCCTCATCTGGTCGACACCGGGTAGCAAAACATTGTTAGTATAAGGTATTGTAGTACACAACGGGAAAACAGGTGGAGCAATGGTTAAATTGATTAGTTTAGTTTAAGCAGCAGCATCATCGGGAGGGCAAAAGTGTTTGATAATAACCAGCTTAGACCAGCATGGAATTCGTTTTTTTCAGCAAGGAACAGCCCACTTCTGTTCTTAAAATGCCCGCTTCCTGCTTATTCTATTGTACCAAAATATGACTGTAAAATGCTAGAGAGTGCATGTGAGAGAGTCCTCAATGAATGGGAGTAAATAAAATGGATAAAAACGTATGTATGTATTCCAGTCATTCGCAAAGAAACGTTAATTTTAGGAAAGTATAGGAAATAGCTTTTGAACAATAGGACACTGGCATTACTGCTAGTCAGTGGTGACTGGTTTGCGAGCTTGGAGTTTCCTGCTGTACAAAGCTGTGCAAACCTCACCTGCATGAACTGACCCTCCTGATGCTGCTGCTGCATAAACTCAAACTATCTAATTAACCATTGCTCCACCTGTTTTTCCCAGTTTTGCATTCTAATAATTTATACTAATGCTGTTTGCTATCCGGTGTCGACCAGAGGAGGATGGTTTCCCCTTTTGAGTCTTGGTTCCTCTCAAGGTTTCATCCTCTTGCTCTTAGGGAGTTTTTTTCTTGAGTTTTTTCCTTGTTGTAAAAAGCATTATATAAATAAACTTTGACTTGACTGGTTTGAGAGGTGACTCATCCATTATGTTTCAGAGCATTTTTAACATGCCCTAGCCAATTTTGACTCGCTACTCGGAAGTGTATATTACAAAATGAGGGGACAGTCAGCAGGTGATTTTTCAATCAAACACTTTTGCCCTCAGCTAGGTTAACCTTAATGACGTAAATAGCTAGCCATTCGGACTTTGCAATGACAAACAAGAAGTTTTCAGAAGTTTGAACATAGCATCCATTACTTGTGACGAATTGCTTTATCTGACTAGAAAACTGTTATGTATTGGCTGTCTTTGTTGTTGCTAGTTGCATAGTCTTTAGCTTGCTAACTACCAAGCTAGCAGACTAATGAAGTCATATCAGCAGTCATGAATAACATATGGAGTAGTCTGCTACTGTAAACCTAGTGTGAACATAGAGAACTGTATGTTATAGTTTTTAAATATTAAGTATTCAAACTATTTGTTGTGGCTTATAAACAGTTCCTTGCTGAAAAACACCAAATGAATCCCATGCTGGTCCAAGCTGGTTAATGCTGGTCTGATGCTGGTCACCCAGCATGTTTGGACTGGTTGACCATCACACCAGCACCCAAAACACAACAAATTCTGGTTTTGCTGGTGACCAGTTATTTTGGTCTATGCTGTTTTTTTCTAATAGGGTTTTATCTACCATTTTTTCAGTTTGAAAAGAGAAAGGCATCAGGTCACATGATTTCTGGGCAAGTTCTGCTGTCGAAGTCGACACTCCTTCAAAGGCTAATCTAATACACGTCACTTAATCTAATGAAGTAATGTAACAGCATCTAAAATGGCCTTGGGGATTCTTAGAGAGGAAATGGTGAGGCCAGCTGGATGAGGGCTTTGAAACCGGAAGACTGACTGAAGTGGTTTACATTCCCTGATGTCATCATTACAATTAAAGCATTGTCACAAATTCCTGTAACTAGAGATGAAAAGCATTGAACAGTATAACAGCAGTGTTGAAACATGTTATGCTGATCTGTGCTGTGAAAATGCATTTGTGCATTTAAAAAAATGATTAACCATTTACAAATGACAAGTTGTAAATGTCCATCTGGCTGGAAATGACCACTGAGTGAGTGTTCTACATAACTAGAAATGCTGTATTACACCTGCCAGAAATGAAATTCTAACATTTCACATTGTTGACACAGGACTTTTACGCTTCGAGACTTCACGCTCAACCTGGAGCCCATCAACTTACTGGAGGAGGTCCTTACAGGAGAAGAATGGGCAAGGTTCCTGTCTGCCAAAGAAAGCCCACCACAAGCTGAAACCAATGCCCAATTACAGACAGAGAGCTCTGGTCAATCAGATGATGTCCAGTCTCACGGTTTGGTCATAAAGCAGAAACTATCAACAAAGAAAGATGAAAGTCATTCAGACGTAGATGAGATTAGTGTTAGTGACATCCCTTTAGATAAGGGCAGCCAGTCACGTCAAAGACAAGACAAGCCACACTCAGTCATTTTTGCTGTACCAAAGGCGCTAATAACTAATGCTGCAGTAAAACAAAGAAGATCCGAAGTACCACAATATGAACCCTCCAATGACGATGATGTTTATGACTTTGTGGAGGTGTATATGCTTCCAAAGGAGGAGCCATTAAACAAGTCAAAGGCAAAGGATCTACCACTTGATGTGTCTGCAGTTAAGGTGAGGACCACTTCTAAACTTGTCACAGCAGTTTAGTTAATATTCATACTATTACAGTACAGGGCAAAAGGCAGAGACCATCATTTCATTTATTTGATTTCTAGTTAAAACAGCCATTGAGAACATTTTTTTTTTTTGTCAGCGCCAGTGAAAAAAGACATATTGTCACATGCATAATCATTGTCACATACGCTGATCAGGCATAACATTATGACCACCTCCTTGTTTCTAAGCTCATTGTCCATTTTATCAGCTCCACTTACTATATAGGTGCACTTTGTAGTTCTACAATTACAGACTGTAGTCCATCTGTTTCTCTGCATACTTTGTTAGCCCCCTTTTACCCTGTTCATCAGTGGTCAGGACCCCCATGGACCCTCACAGAGCAGGTACTATTTGGGTGGTGGATCATTCTCAACACTGCAGTAACACCGATGCGGTGGTGGTGTGTTAGTGTGTGTTGTGCTGGTCTGAGTGGATCAAACACAGCAGTGCTGCTGGAGTTTTTAAACACCTCAGTGTCACTGCTGGACTGAGAATAGTCCATTAACCAAAAATATTCAGTCAACAGCGTCCTGTGACCACTGATGAAGGACTAGAGGATGATTAGCTCATACTGTACAGCAAGAGATGAGCTATCGTCTCTGGCTTTACATCTACAGGGTGGACCAACAATGCAGGTGCGTCTAATAGAGTGGACTGTGAGTGGACACAGTGTTTAAAAACTCCAGCAGCACTGCTGTGTCTGATCCACTTGTTCCAGCACAACACACACTAACACACCACCACCACATCAGCGTTACTGCAGTGCTGAGAATGATCCATCAACCAAATAGTATCTCCTCTGTGTGTATATACTATACTATACAACATGGAGCCTATCCCAGCGATCACTGGGCGGAAGGCAGGAAACGCCCTGGACACCCTATATTAATATTAGTATAAGATAATACAAAGATATTTAATTCCAAGCAATTCTGAAGCATTTCTATTGGTCCATTCATCATAAAATATTTGCACAATGTAAAGGGCAGCTGCTCTGCTCAACTGACGTAGGCATCTCAGATGTCCAGTTTTGGTGCTCTAGTGCAAGTCAAGTCAAAGGTTATTTATGTAGCGCTTTTTACAGCAGGCATGTCACAAAGCAGCTTTACAGAAAACCAAAGACTTGCTTTAGGTTTAGCTTGGGTCCAAACCCCAGTGAGCAGACCAAGAGTGACAGTGGCAAGGAAAAACTCCCTAAAGTCAAGAAGATAAAGCCCTCCTTTTGTCTATTTCCATTTTCTTCACAGCTACACATCCTTTCAGACCCATTGTTTTGAGTTGCCATCTTACAGTGGAAGAATGAATAGAAACACCTATGGATTTTTTCAGATCTGAAGCAAGAGTGGAGCTTGATTTTCTGCTGATTTCTCAAGGATGAAAGCTTTAAGGGCTGTTTATCTGATGAGGCTGGTGTTGTTGCTCTAGCAGTTCTTTATTGTTAGGAGTGTTTTTGAACTCCAGTTTTAGAAACTCCTGTTATTTCACTTATTTTCCTTTGACTTTCTTCTTCCTTATGCAAGTGGATTGTCTTATATGTAATCTCCTCAGAAACATCTCTACACACCATTTTAGAGACACGTGAGAAAGAAATTTGTAAGGAAGTTAAGATAAGTTTGGGTAGCTGCTTGTGTGAATGTTATTGTCATTTTGAAGAGGAATACAATGTCCTTGTAGCTGTAGCTTGTTGGTGTTAAGGTTGGAAGGATGGCAGTGAGTGCACAAGACTGGACACATTAAATACAGAAAAATCTGATATTAAACTTGGTGTAAATGAAATATGCCTTAAAAATGCCTCTTTCTCTCTTCTCTGTTTTACAAAGTCATTGGGAGTCTTAGACAATTCTGCACTTAAAAGTCGAATCCACTTGAACAAAAAGAGGATGCATCGACCACCAAAAAAGAGGAAAAAGGGTGAGAAAGTGAAGAGTTGCCTCCAAAGTACAGCACAATATTGCAACGTGTGTGTTTGTGGGGGGTGTTTAGATGACGACAATAAAATAATGTTCTCTCTGTCCCTTGTCTCCATATTCCAGAGAAGCCAGAAGAGTTTTCCAAATTCTATACATCCTGCACACCTGTGGACCTTCCGCACCACTTCCGTGCCTCTACAACCTCATCCTCCATTCAGTCGTTCACCACTTCAACTTCTTCTGCCATTGCCTCTTCTGTATTTTACACTAATTTCACAAATCGGACACCATCCTGTGACTCTGAAGCTCCAATAGCATCTACGCCTGCTGATGAGAAGGTCAGTCAGAGCAAGAGTGTAACAATGTCTGACTACGGAAACTGAAAACTGGAGTCTCACTGAATTTTTAGATATCAAAATTATCACGAATTTTCAAGGGTCCATGTCATAGAAAGCCAATTTTACCCCATTTTTCAAAGTAAATAGTCTGATGTATTGTTTAAAACTTATTATATTTAAAAATGTATTGTTAACTAACCAGTCCATACCATCCATATATGAAAACTAAGCTGCAAATACAGTCCATTTTAAATTCACTGATTTGTTATGTCAAGTAAACTAAAGTATTTACATACCGTACTGTGAAAAAGTATTTGCCCCTTCCCAATTTCTTCTATTTTTTCATATTTGTCACGCATGAATATTTCAGATCATCAAACTACTTTTAATATTAGACACAGATAACTAAGTAAATAGAAATGCTGTTTTTAAATGATGATTTCATTTATTGAAAGAATTTTTTTTTTGCTACTAAATCAACCATTTAACCACATTCACTTGACTATTGGGTTAAATTTCACTAGCAACACCCAGGCATGATTACTGCCAGACCTGTTGAAACAAAACATCACTTAAATAGAAACTGTCTGACAATGTGAAGCAGGCTAGAAAGTCTCAAAATGCAGCACATGATGCGACGTTCTAAAGAGATTCAAATACAGATGCATAATACTGTCATTAAAATCTACCAGTCTGGAAAAGATTACAAATCCATTGCTAAGGCTCTGGGACTCCAGCAAACCCCAGTGAGAACCGGAAAGACTTTGGATATTATTCTGTGGACTGACTCGTCAACAGTGCAACTTTTTGGAAGACATGGGTCCCGTTACATCTGGTGTAAAGATAACACTGCATTCCACCATAAGAACATCATACCAACAGTCAAACATGGTGGTGATGGTGTGATGGTCTGGGGCTGCTTTGCTTCTGCAGGACCTGTCCTAGTTAATGGAACCATAAATTCTGCTCTCTCTAAATCCTGAAGGAGAATGTCTGCCTGTCAACTTGTGACCTAAAGCTTGAGTGCAGTTTGATAATGCAACAGGACAACAATCTAAAGCACACAAGCAAGTCCAACTCTGAATGGCTCAAAAGAAACAAAATTAAGTTTTTTTAGAGTGGCAGAGTCAAAGTCCTGACTTGAATCCCATTGAGATGCTGTGGCAAGACCTTAAACGGGCAGTTTATGCTCAAAAGCCCTCCAATGTAGCCAAATTAAAACAATTCTGCAAAGAAGAGTGGGCCAAAATTTCTCCACAGTGATGTAAAAGACTCACCGCAAGTTATCGCAAACATTTGATTGCAGATGTTACTGACAAGTATGGTACAACCAGTTATTAGGTTTAGGGGGGCAATCACGTTTTGACACGGGTGATATAGATTTTGAATAAATCTTTATCTTTAATAAATGGAATGATCATTGAAAGCCTGCATTTTGCGTTTACTTGTGTATCAGTATCAATGTGTATCATGTATCAGTTTTAAGCCACAGTAACATAAACAGCCTGTTTCATTCTAAAAAAATAAAGAGTGGGTGGACATTGTCATGTGAAAATGAATTATAGATGTTTTTTGAACATAAAATGACACAAATGTCAAAAGTGGACCTCATGAAAAAATAAAAAATAAAAAAATGGATATGGCTCTTAATTATTCCACAAAACGTGAAGAATATGGTCACCCTTCAAACGTTTCAAAGTCTTTTTGGTGCTTTCTGTTAAACATTCTGCTAAAGGGCTCAGTGCTGTAATCATAGCCGCTTTCACAATTGCTATAATTTATAAACGCTGTAATTTGTGTTTCTTTCTGTTTTCTTTTCTCTGCAGCAAAAAGCCAAAGAAAAGGTCTTGAAACCAAAGCTGTGGAGGCTGAAGACTTAATAAATTAATTTAGACAGGAACCTGAGATGCGGAAAGGAAGTTCATCAAAAGTTGCTTTATAAATATGAATATACATAGAATACTGTCCAATGACTCAAACTGTACACAAACTGACTCTGTGACTAAATGCATCATGTCCACCAAAAGATCAGACATGCCTCATAAGACTGCTAAATAAACAACTACAATATACACACCTACAGCTGAAAGCAATAAATGGATTCAGTTCAGTAATTCTAATCATCCTCGATTATGTTGGATATTTTATCTTTCTGTCTATCAGGATGCATCTCTCTATATATACATTTCTCTCCTTTCTTGTCTAATGGACAGGTTTTTATAAAGCACTGATTAACGCTACTTTTTATATATTGATTTTTCTATATTACACTACAAGGGCTGGTATGAACCAATGATACAGTTTACTGTAAACATGTTTATTGTTGGTTGCCTTTATCATAATCATTTACACTCATAGATAAATTATCACAGCTTGCAAACTCTGATAACATTGAACTTCTCAAGTTTATTAGAGTCAACATCCACTAATGAACTCATTCACTACACACCTACATAGCACTGTTTAGTGCTGTAGTGAATTCACTGGAGAAGAACCATGGAAATGCCCAGGAGCTTCTGACTATCAGAGGCCTTGGGGGGCCTCAGACCACACGGAGGCTCAAAGACTCAAGAAAGTCTCCACTATAGTGCTACCTTGTAGTAAAGTCTTTACAAAATAGCAATTCCAAAAATACCAATCAAAACATTAACACACTACTCTAGTCCACATTCCAGTGCACTTAGTGGTGAATTAATAGTGCTTAGTGACTTTATCGTCACTTCAAACAGTAAAAGATTCACTGAAATGTCATTGGCTTTAGCAAGTGTTACCAAATCCCACCGTTTTGAAGTAAATGTGTCCCAAAGTCTGAAAATCAATGTGTAACATTAAGGATTGTCACAATCCCTACACATATTTTCTGTAAGTAACTTTTATGTGTGTTAATGAAAAAATATTGTGATTTTTACATGTGTACAGCTGTTAAAAGCTGTGTTTGCTAGTCATGTACTGGCATTTTTGAGTTCTGCTCAAAGTTAGCTAAAATTTTTACTACTGAAACATTTGGTAAAGATTTGGTAGAGTTATGATTGTTTTGGTTGTTACAAAGTGAAATGTTCCATCATTTGTTTTAACAAAATAAACATAATTAAGGTGTAGGGTCACTTAAAACAAAAAGATTTTAATCTAAAGTCCAAGTCAGTTAAAAGTCAGAAATGTGATTTGACCTCAAATTTTGAACTTGACTCTGGACCTATTTGGTAAAATGACGCTACTATGAAACAAATCTTATTTTTTATTAAGTAGTGGTTTCACATCTCCCTCTAGTGGTGAAAATCTTTACTGTGCACTCTGCAGAAAAGGCTCTGTATTTCTCACATTTGACACAAATCTTATCTCAGCAAGCGCAAACAATCAATAAAAAATCCCAGTCGGCTTGCATTTATACAGTTTTATATAACATTGTGATTTCAGTTCAATGCATACAGTTAAAGGGATCTACCTGAAATATCCACTTCATTTGTTCGTTCTCTCCCTCAGCTCAAACTTTTTACTTGAGGTTCTATTAATACGTAAACATCTGTAATACTTGAATATATACAGTGGGGTCCAAAAGTCTGAAAATCTGGAATTACTCACTTTATTTAAACCCAGAACTAAACTATAGAAAGTTTTAGAATTTTGAAAATTCTAAAACAAAGACAAGTTATGATTAGAACAGTGAAGAAGAAATATTTAGGATATTTAAGATACACTTTACACTTTAAAAAAAGGTAGTACCTCAAAGGTTCTTTAGTATAGACAATGGTTCTATATGGACTCAAACAATCATTTGCATGCTTAAAGTGTTCTTTACATTGTGAAATTGTTCTTCATATTGGTGGAGAATGTGTTTTATATAGTTCTACATAGAAAAATGAATTGAAAATGGTTCTAAATAGCACCAAAAAGGGTTCTATTGTTACAATGTCAAGCATGTAAAAATAGAAGAAGCCTAGAAGAACATACATAGAACCATTTCAGCATGTAAATAGTTCTATATAGTTCTAGAACCATTGTCTTTACTAAAAACTTATGATGAAGCAGCTAAAGTGTAGGTCACTATTCAAATGTAAGCAAATTTGTGGCACCGATCATGTTAAGGAATTTGTCCAAAAAATTTTTTTGGTCTTATTTGTCTGATTGAAGCTCGTGTTCAGACGACTCTCAGGTGGATCTGATGTACGCATCACACAATTCTCCACATAACCACCACAACTGTGGAGTGCAAGCTGTCATTAAAGCAAAGAGGACAGAATACTGAAGAAATACTGAAATTCTTATGCTGGCAATATAATTTGCAATGAAGCATTAAGCATTAAATTACAAAATAATGCAAAATAGAGGCATTTTCACTAGTGGTCTCAGACTTTTGGACTCCACTGTAAAGGAAAAAAAAATGATAAACTATAAAGAATTGTATAAATGTGAACATGCAGATGTGCTTCTAATAACAAAGCTGCTTTCTTTCATCTTCTATTGCTGTAGGCCTGAAAATGACCATGCAAATATTACATCTGGTGCAGAAATATGTCAATATGTCTAACTCAGTGCTAGAATCTGATACCTTACAGCTTATATTACATTTGGTATTGAGAGGTATTGAGACGCATTAAACGCAGTTGAACATTTGTTCAAATATTACAAAACAGTTGCTGTTAACCATACTGGCCAATGGAAAAGGCCCCGGAATCGTTAGAGAACTTGTCCTCAGGTCTGATTGACAACTGACTGTGATCCCGTGTCCGATACATTGCGCTGATATAGGAGCCAGTTCTTTCAATATGTGCATCTGACACCTAGAAAGAGGCAGGAAGCAGAAGAGAATGTGCACACATTTGAATTAAGTCAGCTGAACGCTTTACATTTTTCAGCACAAAACTACGATGAACGTCTGCGAAAATCATACCTCTTCAAATTTCTTTGCCTTGTACTGGTCAGCTCCTTTCAGGAAATTCAGAAGGATTATATCACAAAGAACTGCCCCCTAAAACAAATGCATCTTAGTTTAATCCTATACCATAAAACATGCAAAAACTCTCTAACTGTATTTATGTCATGCATACAACAATTCAACAGCCACCATGATGTAGCAATACAATCTGAGAACACGCAAAGGCTGAATTGCGAATGGTCAAATTCAGTAATTGACTGCTTACATATGAACAAAACATCCAACAGAATGTAGAACTAAAGAGAGAAACTGTAGTAGATGGCAGGACTGCACTCTTACCACACCCACAGAAGTAAAAGCTGCCACCATATTGATCAGAGTTGGGATCATATTAAATTTTCCTGCCTGCAAAGATGCCACAAAGTAGCATGAGTCACTGATAATTTTGTTAATGGAAGTATTGTGGAAGCATTGTGGTAGTTCAGTGGTAACTCACATCTCCGTTGACCATCACATCGAATCTGATAGCATAAGCCTTCAGCAGAGTGCGGTACTCAGTCCCATTCTCCGCTTTAAAATACTTGGCAAACCTTACATCAAATAAAGAATTTCAGTCTTTAAAGCAATATTCCAACATTCTCTGCCACACATGTAGTGTACTGCCCATTACAGTAGCCTATTGGCTTCTATTATAAGTGTATTTTAAGTCAATGAATTTCTGTTCTTTTCTAAGTACATGTGTCAAAACATATGCAGTTGAGTCTGTTGAACCTACTTTAACCCCTTAACAGTAGCCATAAAATCCCATTTCTTTATTATAGAACTTTGTTAACATATCATTGGTGAGCAAGCAAGCGGACATTTATAAAAGTGTTTTTAATTTGTTCAAAAGCTTTTTTTACTGTTGTCCTTTCCACATGATTGTTTGATATACAGGAAGCTGCGATTGTGCAGTCCATTTTATCTCGGTGTCTTTATGGAGAGGTGTGAATTGCTTTCGCAGTAGAGGGTCTCCTCCCTCCCATTTCATCCATCATTGCTCATTAGCAGCTCAACGCAGAATCACATGTCACACACAGAGCCAGCAGTGACCTTGTTAATCTGATGTAATGTCTACAGGGAGAATATTCTATTTGATAATTTTAATTAAAAATATCCGTGTTGACCCTAACACCTTGTACTGACAGCAAGTGAAGCGAGCTAGTGACAATGACAAAACGAAAATGCTCCCATTATAATCAATGTGGTGCGATGTGATGTGATGTTTTTTAGTGGATTCCCCGTCACATCGCATCTCTGCTATTACACCTGAAAAGCGATGAAGAGAAACTCATGGATGTGTATGACTCTTCCAGTAAAAAAAAATATAAAGAAATTGCCACAGTGTTGGATTTAGAGGTGAATACCATTTGTTTTGTGTCACTGATTGACAAGAGTACTTAGCTAGTTAGACTTAGCAGTTACAAGTTAGCAGATAAAACTAAGCTGCCCAACACCAGGGTGGTATAGTGTTTTTTTAACCCTCTAAAATCCCAGGCTCATTACATACTAAGACTTATTATTCAGTAACTACAGGGACTTCAGTGCAAACTGGCTGACCTATTCTCAGGTTATAGAAGTGTGTAATAAAACTTGGGGCCTGCTGCTGGGTCTTAGTTATTGAAGGGGTTAACATTGTTATTTAGCACACTATGTTAAACTTAAACAACATAACCCTTTATACACTCTATTTAATCAGCATCCCAAAGCTGGACAGCTCCACCAGTAAAGCAACTATTTTCTGATTGGTTTGCTTACATTTTGACTTAATGCGCACACAAAGGTTTTGTGACGTGATGTGATACACATTTGGATGCTCATTTGCCATTAGGACACAGTGTAAGGCTCTATATACGGCCCCATACTTTAGTTCCTCTCTCTTAAATCTGCATAACATGCATATAAGTTACTGAACTACACCAAGCTGAAAGCTGAAGGTTTAAGGTAGGTGAACAGGTCAGCACCTGAAGTTGTATCCTGGTGACACGCTGTTTTTCTCAGACATGGCGTCCAGACGAGTGAAAGAATATGCAGGCTTGCATTCTTCCTCTGATTTATCCAAATCACACACCCAGGCTATCTTTATGCCTATCACTCCACCCTGAGAAACAGAGAGACTGAGACTTGTTGCACAGTTGAATGTAAATACGGTAAAAATATCCAAACCATCTGAAAAAAATGAAGTGAAATGAACGCTCGGTTAACTTTACCAGGTGCCAAGACTTGATTACTGTGGGCCTGTTTACACCTCGCATTAACGTGTGATTTTGGTGACTGGATCACGTTTGGACTTCACTTGACAGCATGAAAAGTCAGATGTAAACACACCCAAGACGCACCGTGATTGGATTACGATCAGATCACTCAAACTACTTTTCAGAGGAGGTCAGAAATGGATCTTGACCACATTTAACACAAGTGTAAACGAATGTGTTTTCGTTATCTGTATACAATTAAATGAGCGGAAATGTGTCTGTTGAGTGCTGACTAGCAGCGTGAGAAGATAAACAAGGAAACCAAAGAAGGAGGATGAGTGAGGCTGGTTTTATTCCCAAACTAAGAGCCTTCTTGCACTCTGGACTGATGAAAGTGTCCAAGCTGATCTTGTCAATTTGTATTGTAAAGGGGGGTAAAGTAAACAAAAGTACAACTAAAACAACAACTTGTGTTGATGTGCTTTTTTGGGTCTCATCTGGCCACACTGGGAACACATTTTAGTGAAAAGTGTGAATGGAATCTGGCCAAAGTTGATCCAGATGTGATCCAGACATGAAATGCATGTTAATGCAAGGTGTAAACAGGCTCAAAGAGGACTTGTGACTCGATCTTGACTTGGTCATGTTCTCATTTACTCTCAGGTCTTGGTCTTTTGATTTGATCTTCACTAGTCATAGTCTTGGACTTTTCTTGGACTAGACCAAAGTGGTTTTGACTACAGCTATAACTCGAATATTAGAGTGATTGCCTAAAAGAGAACAGAGAAGAGAAATATAACTGACTTTGTTAGCGAGTGTGGTGAAGTTCTGGTGGGCTAAGCGGACAACATCTCCCACTTTGAATATCGGGCAGTAGGTATTCTTCTCAAAGTCAAAATTGCACTTCTTTATATAGCTACTGTTGATGGTGGGCAAGAAGTTTCCTCTGTGAGACAGAAAGTGAGAGAGAGAGAGAATGAGAGAGCATAAGAGTCAGACAGTGCATAATAATAATAATAATAATAATAATAATGATGATAATAATAAGGCATTTAACATATGACTCTATGGAAGCTATTCTGTTACTCCTGATTCATGTTTGGGGTCTCACTTTGTGAAGTTGAAGCGGGGAAAGCGAATGCTGTTTTTGATGAATATTGTGAAATTCTCCACCTCCATCATGGGTTTACTGAGAAAGAACAGAGAGAAAAAGAAGTCTGTTCATCAGTGTATTCATTCTTCAGTGGGACCATTTATATACTGTACCATTAAAACTTATCCACCACTCCTAATACCACTCATCCACCCACCCATATACTCACATTGGGACATCATCTATCTCTGCTGGGCACCAGCCTTTGATCTGACATGTTTTGAGAGTACTGTTGAATTCCACACACTCTCCAGTCAACAAACCTAACAGGCACAGAGTCATGGATGCCATTTCATTCTTATTATATCATTTGGTTAAACTAGTTGAAAAGTAATACAGTAGCACTCAAAGGCTTGAAATTGCTGCTCAAGAGTTTTTCAATCATTGAGTGTGTTTGAATGCACTCAATAATCCGATCATAATCGGATTTCTGCAGTTATCTGATTATTCAAATTGTCATGTAAACACCATACTCCAATCTAAAAATCCAATTAAGAAACACGATAAAGAGAGCTGGATTTTAGCTCAGTAATCAGATTTCTCAGTGCATGTATACTTACACTCTGATTTCTTTCAGATTTTTAGTCTGCATATGCGCGGAACAGACTGCTGTACGTAAATGAGCAAGCAGTGCTGTCGCGAGATGGCAGCAAAACACTTTTGAAGCGATGCTGAAACCAACTACATGCTTGATGAAATGAAGTATTTAAATATTCTTCATCTTCTAGATGACGTACATTAATTTTTCAGGTACAATGGCGCAACATTTAAAAAAAAAATAGTCGTGGCATGAAGTTTAAGTTTTACATTATGTTTACGTCATGTCTTCTTCTGTGAGTTTATTGGCTGGTTGCAAAGAAGAAATCCAATAACTGTCCCGACTCATGTAGACCTGGAGTTTCCCCATTATCTCATTACTCAAGTGTATATAAACACGTTGATCGGATTACTGACAAAATCCGATTTTCTGCAGTTATCCGATTATTAAGTGCATGTTAATGCTCTTTTTTATATATATATATTTTTTTTTATATATTGTTTGATTCGCTTCTTGTATACATTTTTACTGTATATAAAATAACAAGAAATATTAATATGGCATGTGCTTTCAAACTTTTGAATGCTAGTGTAGCCAATATAAAAGGAGAAATGATAAAATTAGTACTTATAATAGCAGAGAGGAAACAACAGCAGAATTAGGATGATTTAACCATCTTACCATTTGAACCCGGCCTTGTCATTAATTTTGTGCAGTTATCATTATGTTCACATTTAAACTTCGTCTCACTCTGAAACACAAACATGCAAACATGGACACAATTTATTAAAAGTTAAATAAGTATCTCCAAATGAGTAACCAGTACTCAGTATTTTGTTCTGTGAGTATGGCACAAACTAAGATTCAGTGGTTGTTCAGTACTGTGCAAAAGTCAGAGACCATCCTACATTTATTTCATGTCCAATAAAAAGAACCATTACGTTATTCATTTTTTCTGGCCTGGGAGACCAAAACAAATGTCACCATCAGTTAAACAGCGTTTGAAGCTTTCATCTTTGAGAGATAATCAAGCTCCACTATTGCTTCAGATCTCAAAAACCCACAGGTGTTTCTGTCCATCCTACCACTGTGAGAAGAAAACTCAACACTCTCAACAGCCTAATTGATGTGTAGCTGTCGAGAAGCCTTTACTGAAAGAAAAATAGACAAAAAAGAACATATGCAGATCAAACAAAGAAGCTGCTGGTGTTCTCAGAACAATGGACTGACCACCCCAGAGTCCAGACCTCAACATAACTGAATGTGTTTGGGATTGTTTGGATTGTGAGAAGCAGAAAATGCAACCAACTTCTAAGACTGAACTTTGCAGGTGTGGAAAAATATCCCTGCAGATTTCTTTGAAGAACTGAAAACCTCCTGAAAAGAATGAGAACTGTATTGAAGACATGGACAAATGGACACCCTAAAAACAGAAAATAATGATATTATATTAAGGTTTTGAGGTTTCTGTGTAGTTTTATCTTAAATATATTGTCAAGGTATCCCATTTTTTCAAGTTTTTTTTTTCATCATTTGAACACCGCGGTTGTTTTTTACATTAATGAAGGAAGGCCCAATAGAAATGTTCCCAAATTACTTGGAATAAAATGTCTTTACATAAACTTACATTAAAAGTTAAGTTAAATAATTGCATTCTCCTTTAAAGTTAGCATTTTGGAGATACATGTGTTTTTGTGATGATTCTGTTTTTTTCTGAACTTGTACTTAATGACCATTTTGTCTGGAAAGCGCAAAAATGAAGGGAGGTCTCAGACGTTTGCATAATATTTTATATCTATTCAAATCACATTTAATGTTTAGATATTAGAATGATAAAGCTGTGCTTGACTGACCTCAGGACATTTGCCCTGCACCTGGTTCTCGGTGGAGATGAGTTTGGTAATGATACAGAACACTGAAGCCCCCTGATTGACAAGTAAACACACATACACACACACACACACACACACACAGTTAATTTCCATGTTCTACAGCAGGACACAGTTCTTAAACCTTGTGCTTTTACAGCTTCAGGGAGTTAAATTAATTAAACTAGACAAAGTGCTAGCACATGATTTACCTGTGTAGGAGTGACGTAGTCTGCTACATCCATGGTCTTGTTATGGTGCTCGCCAAATCCTTTTACTTTAGTCATGACCGATGATTCTATAGCGGTGTCTCTCTCCTGATAGGCCTTTTCATACAAAAACACCCAACTGTGAGGAAGAGTGAGAGAAGCAAACGTTAAAGAGTAGAATTGAATCATATTAGTCTTATCACTAGATACACTGAGTCACCAGTTTAGGTTTTGCAACCTTGCACCTACTCACACTGGCTGTTTTACCAGGCACATTTTGTAGCTTTACAATTACTGACTGTAGATATGTCAAACTGGGGACCTTCAGGGCCAAAATGCTGCAGAGACTAGAATTTACCCTCATCTAACGCTCTGAATTCAGTCCATGAAGGCCTTGCTAATTAGCTAATGAGCTGAATCAGGTGTGTTTAATGAAGCAGTGTGCTGAAGTCTGCAGTGAAGTTGTACAGCTTGTGAGGATTGGACCCTGACACATGTGCTATAAAAAATAACAACAGTGGGCCGCTTTCAGCAAAGCAGTGACATCAACATTAGTAAAGGTGAGTTAGTGGGAGCTGCATCAAGTGTATTTAAAAATCTCAGTGTATGTGCATAATATGCTCACTCTAAATGGCTGAAATGAATAAATAAATAAATAAATTAATTAATTAATTATCATACAGTGTTAAAAACGTATGTAGTAATTTTTTTTTACAGAAGGTGTTTTTGCTAAGGTAAGTAAAGTAGCACAGAGAAACTGTTTCTGCTTAGAACCACAAAAATAATATCCTGGGGTTAGCATGTGATTCTGAATGAGTACTATAACAGGCTTGCTGAGAAGTTTTTGCATAAAATCCTTGCTTAGTTAACAATCAGCTTGATAACGTATTTAACGGCACTTTTTTATGTTCTTTTTTCCAATATGTTAACCCCTTAAAATCCCAGACTTATTTTATACTAAGGCTTATTATTCAGTAACTACAGGGACTTCAATGCAAACAGGCTGACTATTCCTAGGCTACAGAAGTGTGTAATAAACCCTTGGAACCCCTGGCGCACCCATGGTCATGTAAGAGGTTAAACTCACAAAAAAGAGACAATGTGAACTAAAATTTACAGAAAAATGCCATATTTAAGTTTATTTGCTTTTTTTTTAATCAATAAAACGTCATTTGTCCAGGGTGTTCAAATTTCTGCATGCGACTGTATGTGAAGTTTTAAAAATATGAAGTATGTGCCAATATACATGTATATATGTATATCATATATGTATTTATACATACATACATACACACACACACACATAAACTTGACACATATTTTGAAAAATATGTGTAAATGTATAACTAAATATTTAAGGTTAACCAAATTCACTGGTCAATCATTTATATATAAACCTAAAACTACCACAATGATGAGTAACATTAATTATTATAAACAAGCTGCTGGGCTTTAATGCTTTTACACTCTACTGCTGTGATTCCTCTCTCCCATGAAAATAGTAGTCTCTCTCTCTCTCTCTCTCTCTCTCTCTCTCTCTCTCTCTCTGAACTGAACTGTCAGCCAACATACTATAGTCCATACAACAATCATTACCCTCAACGTTCAAACAAGTGTGAACTGGTAAAACAGTCCCAGAAAAGTTCTCAGATGATGTGTTTTCTGTTCTTTATCAAATCTTACTGTGAGATGAACATAATAGCACTGCTGTGACAGAACACTGATTTGCTGCATTAGCAATATATTAGAGTTTCTAAAAGCAATTTTGATGCCTTGTTCTATGCCCTGCAGAAGACTGCTGGACACATCTCATAAGAAACACTAGAATCATTAAGAAAAAAATAAACTAGAACAAATGGCTTTTGTTTTGTTTATAGGGTTAAAATGTTGGACTATTACAAAGACACAGATATACACAATGACAGGATTTCAGTCACAGACACGCAGTTTGTTTACTCACGCCTGCTTGCCTTACCCAATAAAGTAAGAGATGATGAGCAGCTGAACAACTCGGTTGATGATGCCGATGGTCCAGCTCTTGACCACAACAGACTTTGTTGTCTCGTAGGTGAAGAAGTCTGTTATACAGCTCCACATCTCTCATACACACTGCAACAACTGCACAAAAATATCAGTGTGCGATTGTGAATCAGTGTGTTTTCCTTTGGCGTAAAAGTGAAAATGGCAGAGTTACGTTCTTTGAGTCTTAACTTTGTCTAAATCATGAAAACGCAAAAAGGAACACAAAAATGCAATAGAGGAAGAAAGAGGGTGTAAAATAAAGAAATCTGTATGTGTGCTGCAGATTGTCTGTGCTGGGGAACCTCCCTCACTCACTCCAGCACTTTCCCCTCTCTTTATATTCCCCTCCTCTTCTTTCAGCCTCACACACACTCACTGGATGTGGCTGGTACATCCTGTTGTTCACACAGGACTGATAAACAGATCATCTTCATCGTCACCTTTATTTTTATATAGTGCCTTCCCCCTGCTCAAAGACCCTTCATGGAATAAGGACCATAGAATAGAGAACACATAAATGACAGAGGACTTTAAGCAAGACTAGACAGTCAATATTAAACAAACCTCAATTCCAAAAAGGTTGAGACAGTATATGAATAAAAAAAAATAAAAAAATCAGTGATTTTTACAGCTACTTTAACCTGAATCTGAACAAAGACAATCCAAAGATATGATATGTAATATTGTACCCTTTCAATTTGATTGTTTCTTTCAGAGCAAGGATGGGTCGAGATTTGCCACTTTGCCAAAAATTCATCAGCAAAAAATTTAAGTTTAAGAACGTGACTCAATGAGTGATTGGAAGGGGAATCCAGAGAAATGTCTGTGAATAAAGTGCCAAAAAACACACTTAAATGCCAGTGCCTTTCGACTCCACACATGGCACTAAAATAGCCTTAAAGCAGCATTAAAAAACAGCATGCTTCTGTGATGGACATCACAATGGATTCAGGAAAACAGAAAACTGTTGTCAGTAAACACCGTTCATTGTTGCATCCAAGTTAAATGCAAATTATAACTGTACTGTGCACAGTTGAAGTCATATGTCAACAAACTAACGCTACTCACTTCTCTGGGCTCGAGCTTAACTGAAATGGACTGATGTTCACTGGAAACGTGTATTGTCAACCTTTCAGGTTGTTTACGTAGATAACGGAGGTTGTGTTCTCCAAAGAAGTAAAGAATCATCCAGATTGTTACCAGTGTACAGTTCCACAGCCAGGGTCTGTCCTAGCAGGGGTGGGGGAAATAGTGGATAACTTGCACATCTGTGAAAGCAGCATTAACACTAAAAACATTTTGAAACAGTGTATGCTGCCTTCAAGAAGACTTCTTGTGTCATCTTGGACATTGTCATGTCCCAACTTTTTTGAAATGTATTGCAGACATCAAATTTGCAATGATCATATATTTACAAAAACCATAAAGTTCATAAGGTAAAATATCAAATGTTGTGTTTTTGTTTTAAAGTTATTACAGGTCAAACAGTCACTGCTTAGTCACTAATCACTGCTTTTTATTGTTTTTATTAGTATTTCACAATACTGTCCCAAATGTTCTGGAATTGGGTTTGTACATAACAGCACATTTAGCAACAGCACATTACAATACCTGAAAAGACTTACAATGTTCATAGGAAACTGGAAGAGAGAAAACGTGAGTCTTCAGTAGAGATTTGAATGGTAAAGAAGAGACATGCTGAATGTTGTATGAGAGTTGTACAATTTTCTAAAATGGGGGAATATATGAATCATTTTAATCAATTAAAAATTCATGTTTTGTTTTTTTTATTTTTAGTGATTTTTTTTTTATTTTCACGTAACACATGCTCTACAGAGAACAAATTTAGATAAGACACTTAATAAAACATATGAAATGTGCTATAACTTTTACACAGGCCACAGGTCTTTTTCCCCAAATAGGTAAAAAAGATAAACAGTAATTGTGCTTTAAATTGTGCAGAAGTGTGTTCTCTGAAGAGGATGTGTACAAATTGTTTTTTGTAGAAAATCAACAAAATTGATTAGAGGTGCCCTAACCTCTGCCTACAGCTGTCTATACCTTATATGTCATCAACACTACAGAACAACAGGTTACATCCAAGGAATCCTTTTGTTTTCTTGCAACTAAATCAAGGTATTAATAGAGATTCAAGACTTTTGAAATTTTAGACAATTTCATACTCAGACCAACTAAACCGCTCAGTCTCTCATCTGCCATGGTGGACCAAGTATGAGCTTTAGTGTGGAGAAACTGTTCACATGAAGCAGTGCTGACTGGGTTCGCTGTCTTCATCGCAAAATAAATGGCATTATTTTGGTATTAGTGAATGAATAATGACAGTCATGCTCTGCATGGCATTTTGGCAAAACAGAGAAGCCCAGTCAGTACAGCAAATCGTATCAGTGGCTAATAAGTCATTCACCAGTAAATGGGAAAATGTAATTATTAATACGATATTGGAATTTAATATAACTTAATTAATAATTTAACACACACATGCCACTAAACTATACTGAGATGAGCATAAGATGTAATCATTCTTTTCCCATATGGAAGAAAGAAGTTAGTCATGCCACAATCCCCAAATCACTGTAGGAAAAAGAAGTGGGCAAGAGAACTGGTTTAATCCTGCTTGCTTCGGCAGGTCAAATGAGAGGCAAGAAAAAAGAAGAAAAATACATAGAAATACAACTGCAAGTGGCTTTATAGCATTAATGGAGTGAAAAGCAGCAGCACATCTAACCCTATTACACAATTAATGTATGAGAAAAGACAGAGTGGCTGCTGTTAACTATGTTACGATGATGGAAAATCCATTAATTACAACACTATAGACACTATTGTGAAAGAAATTAAAGGAATGTACTTTTCTCAAGAGACTTCCTTTCCCAAACGACAAGAATGACCATACATGACCATACACACACACACACAGGTCATTTTGGGCTGATTGTTTTGGTCTTGAAACGTACATAAAATGTAAATGACAACAACCTTTTTTTCAAATTATGTCAAAAACTGAAAAAGACAATAATTGAGATTTGAGGTTTTGTTCCGACTACCCATGATGGTAATCTTTTAACATGGACAGTAGATGGGCCATTAAGCTTGTGGTTTCCCCTTCATGTAGAGGCACTCTTCTCTGTCAAAAGCATGCAGAATAACACACACTGCAAGACCAAAACACAACATACGAGCAGAGTCAAGATGTCAGTGCAGTGGGGTGGGGTGAGAGAGTAAGATTACGATCATTAGAGAGTGATGCTGAGTGCCGGATGTCCAATTTGATTCTCTTGAAACAGGAGCTTGAGAAGAGAGAGGGGGAATGGGCGAGCAATATATATGTAATGAAAGAGCGAGGGGGGAGAGACTGACAGCGGGCGAGAAAATGGACTGGACTCAATATAAATGGATAAATAAGACTGCAGCAAATGCGATAAAGAGCTAACTAGATTGAGAGAAAATGGACAGAAAAAAGAGAGGAGGTTCATGATGCACATAGGATGAGAGACACCACTGCATCTCGCAGGACGGTCAGCTTTAAGACCACAAACTTTGGCAAAATGCTGGACGCTGGAACAATTTCATCGAATCATTTATGTGATACATTGCATAGGTAAATACTACAAGACCCAGAATTCAATTAGTCACACAAGCAGCACAGAGAGATTAAATTCACCAATAAACTGTAAATGGGGAGAACATTGTAGAACAGTGTGAAAGAGGATAAATATTCTAGAACAGTGTTAATGGGGTACAGTATTCTAGAATGCTTTTCAATTGTGAGGATGTGGAGAACCCTCTAGAACAGGGTGAATCAGGATAACATTCTAGATCAGTGTGAACAGGGAAGAACATTCTAGAACAGCGTGAATGGGGCAAAAAACAATTTCGAACTGTGTGAACAAACGTTATTCATGCTTGTGCACAACTGGCACATGCAAAGTTAGAGGGTAACGTGGAACAGGTTACAGTAATAAAACTACTTTTTCCTGTGACAAAGTAGTGTAATGCACTACAGCTACTGTCTTAGTAAGACCTTTATTACTTGTTACTGATATATAAGAGAACAATATTAATTCCATGTGATGCGTTTAAGTAATAAATTTTATCCTACAGGGATCATTCCACTGAACTGGTTCAAAGTCAGAGTTAAAAACCCATTTCAGACATAAAACATTTGCTTTGAATGACTCTATACCTTACTTATGTTTATTAAAATAAATGACTGGACATTCCATTTTATCAGTACAAAAACAATATTAACATCTCCAAAACTTGACCAAAAGTTTTGGTAGTGACAATTGTAGCTAATTTTAAGCAACTCAAAAAATGCTACCCAGTACATGACTAGCAAACAAAGCTTTAAACAGTTGTACACAATAAATCATAATATTTTTCACTAAAACACAAAAAAGTTTATTTAACTGCAGGGAATGTGTTTCAGTGGCGAGATTTCTTAAGACATGAAAACATGGAACAGCATTTTTTGAATAATTTTTTTTTTTATTTCAAATTTAAGCTCATGATAAACCTTAATCTTTCAACTTCACTTTAAAAAAATGAAAATGGTCTTAAACAGTGAAAAGAAAATCACAAAAAAATGTAAGCATTATTTTTACAAGTTGAAATTTAGGGGTTAGAGTGTGGGACAGACACCACCCAATAGAAAGTACCGTATAAATGATTGTGCATATATTTATTTTATTACTATCACAATCATCATAACATAATCCTTGTAGACATCTCAGGTCTGAATACTAATTCAATAGAATGGTCCATATAGATTATCTGTGCCCATCCTTATGTGTAATAACTGGCTGTGTGTTCTTCAGAGTAGAGTCCTTTTAAATAATGCTTACTATTATTGGCTATCTTTCTAAATAATCCTTGTAAGTTTCCTTTGTACTTACCAACTGCTACAGATTTGTAAGCATCTTAGAAAGTAACATCAAAATAAAGTAATTAATAGAGAGACAACTTTTTCTCAAGGAGTAATAAGTAACGTAATCCTATTACAATGTGAAAGAAGTAATTAGTCATTTATAATGGATTACTTTTTTTGTGTAAATAGCCCAACACTGGCTCATCAGTAAAAGCAGAGAAGGACAGTTAAAAGCCAAAAAATACAATAATAAAAACAATACAATGCAGCTTCTGCAGAGAGAACGGACTGTCACTGAACTGATGGGGTGATACAAGTCAGAATGGAGCAATCAGACACAGTTAGTGTGCACTAAAATGTCTGTCTGTGTGTTTATGAATCTCGTTTCGAATTACACTCACTTGAACACTAAAAGGGTCTCCTTCGTCAGACTCTTTTAACTCCAGCATGGTTTCTTTCGCTCCACTCTGAAACCACATCATAAACAGGCTAAGCTTAAAATCAATGCACTTTTGTGACCATCACCTCACTTGCATCCTTTCCCTCTTTCTCCCTCTTTCACAAACCACACCTGGGAAGAACAGGCTTTTGTTATAACCACAGGTTCTTTCTCTTTCTCTGTCAGAAACCACACAAGGTTTCCACTTAGTGATGTTATGCTTCAGATGCAATTGTGTATGTACGGTTGTCTGAAACACAGAGCTAAAGAAAAACAGGAGATTTAAGTCATGAAAACAAATACAGAATTAGGAACCAAAACAAAATTAAAAAGGGAGAAATGATCAGTAACTTGCATAAAATAGGACTTTCATGGCAATTTTTATACTCAGAGTCTGCTGCCCAGAGACTGCAGGGAAGTATAGTGTACTAGGACAAGCAACTGTAACACGCAGGCTCGGACTAAACATGACATTAACAACCATCCCTAAAAGGCCTTTACCAGATAATACTAAACAGCCATAATACCTGATTGTGGCTTGATAATAGCTTTGATGAAAACTGGAACAATGAGGTTGTATTAAATACGCATCGTTTTTACAGTGACTGAACACTGAAATGTTCAATGTCAGTCAACAACAATGATGTAAAAGTGCGTTTGGGGTGTTAGTAAAATGCTTTGGTATGAATTAACGTAAAAAGCACTATGACTGTGATTTGACATTAGATTAGATACATTAGATACACATCATATTAAACCTACAAGACATATTTACACAAATCATCTTTACATGTCAGAAACTGTAGAGTCAAAGTTAAAATCCTTTAGCTTGAATTATGTAATGTGGCAAAGAATCATATCCAAATCATATACAAGTAAATTGGATAAAACAGTAAACTGATTGAGAGGCTGAAAAAAGCAGGCAATAGTGTGGATACAGAATGTCACATAAAAAGAACAGTAAAGAATGACTCATTATGCTGTTTCTCTCTCACGCTCTCTGTCTGTTCCATCAGGTCTTTCTCTCAGTCTGAACCTGACTCCTCTGAGCTGGGTGGAGTGCTGACTGCCTCCTCTTCAACATCTGAGCCCTGTGCCAGAGACAGAGAGAAAAAAGAGGGAGAGACAGGTGAGAAATTAAAGCATTTAGGATCATTAGTCATCCAGTATTCTCACCATGATAAAAGTTATAAAAGGGTCTATCTTTCACTGTGATCCATCTGCCTTGAATTTAAAGGATAATACCAAAGATTGTTCTAAATTTCTACAATATTAAATGGTTAAGATGTAAACAAGGTCATTCAGAGTGATTTAATGTGAACGTACTGAGTCAGAATTGCTTACAGCAGTGGTGATAGGAACCAGACATTTGAAGAGTTTAATGCCTCCAAAAGCTCCTTCACAGTTTCATTAAAATAAAATGGTTATATGTGTGTTGCAGATATTGTGACCCCTGGTTCCTATCACCACTGTAAAGAAATCAGTAAAGAACTCTGTTAGTTTCTCTACAATGCACCATTTCACATCAAAGCACTCTGAATGACTTTATTTACATCTCAAAGTCTGATTCCCTTTAAGTAGAGACATTCAAAGCCACAGCACAGTATGTTCTGTTTTTATTCAGAATCTTAACCTAGTAGCAAGTCATATAGCTTTTTGTATGCTTTTGTTTTAGTGCAACATATGTCGTGCCCTAAAAAAAGTACATAAAATGAACATTTTAAAAAGCCAGTGAGGTGGATGCGGAAGCAGATGTAGTCATAGCGTGTGTGTTGAAGCTTAAACTTTGTGAAATAAAGGAATGTAATAAAAGTGCACTCCAGTAAAAGTTGTAGTTATTGTATACTGTTGTCCTTAATCTGGACACAGAACTGTAACTGGTAACTGTAACTATTAATAAAGAACAGAATTGAAGTTCACATGAACTTTACCGTCTGAGGCTTAGACTAAGGCCTTCTCCTGTGAAGCCATTTTATCTGAAGCTGTTTGAAACATTTTCAGTTTTGCCTGATGTATGAGAACTGAGACATGAAATTTTCCCGAGACCCGAAGCTGTTTTGCTTGATGTGTTAATAAACTCAACCGTTATATATGAGTTTTTACCATCACTGGGGCTGTTACCATGGTAACTGAACTGTCACCAGGCACAGGCCTGCATGTAGGTGTGTCTGTGTGTCTGTTTGTACTTTGCGTTTGCGTCCTTTGCCCCGGTCAGACTCAGATGAACTCTCTTCACTGGAGATGAACTCTCGACTCTTAAAGCTGTCGTTCCCAGCTGGCCTTTCCTTCTCTCGCTCCCTCCCTGCCCCAGGCTTCTTCTTCTTTTTCTTCTCACTCTTCCCTCCCTTCTTCCTTTCCCTTTCAGGAAGAGAAAGACAGAGAAAAATGAACACAAAATATCAAAAATGCCTAACAGCTGTTTTCCCATTATAGTCATTACAGTCAGTATAAGACTCCAGAAAGTAGTGACAGCATTTTTCATTCCAGCAGTATATAAAAGTCAAATTATTCTCATCTATTATCAGGTGTTTCCACCTGGACTGGGGGATTATCTGATGCAAATATGCAATATGCAAATAAACATTTTAGGAGCAAAGGTAATTTTGCCTTTTGCCATGGCCTTGACTGATCGCCAATTTACACGTGTGACCATATTTTGAGCTAACCTACAACCATATGAGGAAACAAATATTTTAATAGTACAAGTATTGCATAGTACTTCTTTGAGGATCCTGATGTGCCTCCACCACTCTCTCTGTATTCCTTCATTGCTCGCTCATACTCTTTCTTAGCCTCCTCTGCTTTCCCTTCCCACTCCTGTGAATGAGAGAAAGAGAGAGAAGTGGGCGTGAGAGAAAGAGTAAAATAGAGAGAAACAGAAAAAGACTTCGGCAATCTATTTCAACTAAACACAGGCACACAGTAACCTCATGACATGCTTCATAGCCAATAATTGTGCTGTGAAAGAGGATTGATAGAGAACTAGAGAGGACAAATTTTATTTTAAACAGCCTGTTAAACAACATTAAATGGTCCATGTTATAAATTTTTCTTGCATTTTATATTTCTCTCTGAGGTCCACTGATAATATTATATACACAAAACAGTCATGATTCATTTTTACATGATCTTTTTTCTATTCTCTCTTGATCCTTTAGAATTAAACAGGCTATTTTTGTTATTGTACCTTTAAGACTGATATATGTAAAAGAGCTCTGACTGTAAAAGAGTTTTGACTGGCCTTATCTAAAGTGGAATAACACTTCATTTTTTTGAATAAAAAATATATTATTAATATTATAATAACAAGAAAATATTTTAGACGTTGTCTATGCCTGGGTACAATAGATAAAGAGGAGTATGTGCAAAAGAAAAGAGAAATCGATCACCTCCTTCTTGTCTTTGCTCAGTTGCTTCCACATCTCGCCTGCCTTCTTTGAAATCTCTGTTACAGAGATTCCAGGGTTTTCTGCCTTGATGCGCTCTCTACTAGAGTTCAGCCAAAGCATGTATGCGCTCATTGGCCTCTTGGGGGCGCTGCTGTCCTTCATCTTCTTCTGCACACATCACAGGTACACACAGACGCGTAAAGATAAATTATTCCATAACACACCACTAGTAAGATTACAGTTGTGTTTACTCAGCAGAATTCTGATTTGCTTACTGGGACTGTCATGATCATTAAAGTTTAGCTGACAATTAATTGTCTTATCAATAATGAATGATTTCTTGATCTTTGTTGTTTGCAACTATTAAATACAAGTCTTAAGTGACCAAACTGGCTGATTAGCTACTTTACTTAGTAGCTATGTTTTCTACTGTCAAATCAATACTGTACTCACTCACACAACTGTCTACAGTCACAAAGAATTAGAGTGAAGGGGCTCTGCAGTCGTGCAACTGGCTAACAGAAATGTATTCCATCAATCTGACAATAACACTGCCATATGTGACTTCATGGGGCCCAAGGAGCAAAATCTCTGCAAATTCTGTATGATACCTCATTTCATTAGGTCAACTGGTTGTATGTTTAATCACATACATCTAAAACACAAACATAACTCACTAAATCAACTGAACAATCAGGTGCGGATCACATTACTTCAATAAACAAATGTTACAATTCTGTTTCTGTTTATTATTCATAACAATATAAAAATAATCTTCTTGTTGGTATATTCAAACACAAAACAATTCTGGTACTCAAACAGCACAATAGTAAACATACCCATCAATATGCTCTAACTCTCTGAATACCCCTCCCCCTCTCACCTCTTTCTTGCGTGGTTTTTTCTCTTTCACTATTTTGGCCTTCTTAGATGGTTTCTTCTTCTTTTCTTCTTCACTGTCTGCATCATCACCGCTACTCTCGCTGGCCGAGGCTTTGCTGTCATATCTGACACACACACACACACACACATACACCATGGAAACACGCAACAGATTATCTACACAATAACACAATATGAACATCATCAATGAGAACACTGTTCAAGTAGGGTAAAAGATTTTAATCAAAGCCCCTTACTCTTCTGCAATGTCATCATCTTCCTCTCCAGGGTTAAATGATTCATCTGTGAAGGGAGAATGAGTTGGCATTACAAACTGCTAGAGAGTATGATAGATTTCATCGCTCACTTCAACAAAGGGACATCTACTTTGACAGGAAACAGTTAGCTGACTGACATGCGAAACAACCAACCACAGTTATTTTTGTGAGATGTGAAGGAGCAGGTAATTGCCAAAGTCGTGCTACAACAAAAACAAACATAAGTGAAACACAGTAGTAAATAGTGGCTCCTGGGAAATGCTGTGTTGGCAACAAAAGAAAGCATTAGAAAACTCTTGAATAACTTTTAAAGACGGGGTCACAAACTTTTTTCAATTCAGCAACTACATTGAAGGCTGTTGTCATATTGGTATAAGAGCAGACAATTGCTTGCTATTGGTGACTAAGTAGTTTTTAGCTTGGTAAACAACAGTTCATTCTAGTTAATGATGGTGGATCATTTTTAGCACTGCAGTGACACTGACGTGGTGGTGGCATGTTAGTGTGTGTTGCGCTGGTACAAGTGGATCAGACACAGCAGTGCTGCTGGAGTTAAACACCTCAGTGTCCCCGCTGGAATGAGTTTACTCCACTGAGCTACTGTCTCTGACTTTACATCTACAAGGTGGACCAACAAAGTAGGAGTGTTTACTAGAGTGGAATGACTGAGAATGATCCACCACCCAAATAATACCTGGAAAACCTCCAATAATTGTCTATAGAAATTAAAAAAATAATAAAATAATCTAATATAAAGTAACTGTGCATCAACATTTGCAAGAAATAAATAAAGTTTTGCTGCAAAGTTTATATCTGACACGTAACTCTTGGCAGAGCTTTTGAGACTGATTCTACTATGACTTTTGTCGCTCCTCTGATTGGCTGAGCGAGCTGCCACTTACCGCTGCCAGCCTCCGAGTCGTCACTGTCGTTGGCCTCCTCACGGATCTTGCCCTCCTGTTTCATGCGCTCTAAGTAGGCATCATGCTGGTCATCATCTGAGTCACTGTACATGTCATCGCTGGCCTTCATTCCCTGTGTTATGGGAAATATAACAATTAGATCACAACCACACAAATACTGTGAAATGCACTAAACTGCTATTGAGCAATGATTTTTGAAAAAGTCATGTTTTACAATTTCTAGACAACCAAGACATGTTATATGATGACTGTATGATTATAAGAGATGCACCACATACATACACATGCTCATCTGACTCCAACTTTCACAGGGTTAGTGATTCTAACTCCATAAACCCTCACCTTGGGCAATAACAGTAGTGACTGTAGTAAAATCATTCTTCTTATTAAAACAAACACACACACACAATCAGATCAATAAAAATTTACCTAATCTCTTTAAAAATCATCTTGCAATGGTTGTGGTCATATCATACATAATTGATAATTACTCGCACAGATTCCTTGATATCTAAATGGCTGCCATGGTTTAAAGTGCAAAACAGAGGAAAGTATGAACTGAACACAACCATTGCTTTGCATGGCTGTTAAAACCAGACCCAGCAAGTCGAGAGCCTTTGTGCTTGAGAAAAGCGAGCACATTTAGCCCAAGCAATAACAGACATCGGAACATAGAGTCTGCAGTTTGTGACTTAGTCAAAAGGCATTATATTTACTCTTACAGCAAGTAAGTAATCACACAGCAAGCATGCAATTGAAAGAGCACCCAAACCACTCCAAATCACAAGGTCCATACCAACCTTTTTCTACAGGAACACACACATACACAGAGCACAGAGACACAGAGGAGAATGAGCGTTTGTCTTCTAAGGAAAACAGACATCTATGGGATTCACAGTCTGAAGATAAGACTACTACCATACTGAAATGAAAGCATGTGACAGATAAACTGAACTCCAAATGATGTACCTCTTTGAAGCCTCTGTTCTTGATGCTGAGCTTTTTAGCATTGACAAAGTCAAACAGCTTCCCATACTCTTCTCTACAGAAGGAAGAGAGTGGCAGAGAGAAGTTTCTTGAGTACCAACACAGTGAAAGGCTGTATGTTCGATACCAATTAGCATTGCACAAACCTAATGCCTAATCAAGTTTTTTTTTAATTAGCTTCAACCATCAAGTTTTAAGAAATTTTAAATAGACGTACTTATGTGATTTCTAACATACTGTTATCTATAAAAATGGAAAAAGTAGAAATATAATTAAAGCTTCAAGGTAGCTGTTGCTTCTGTTTTTGGGTCTTGGTTAGCTATTTTGGCTTTAGCTAATTTGTGGAATTCTTCCTAATTGTGAATGAACGCTGTAACCTTGAATACTGAAGCACTTTCGCAGCTTAAGTAACAACTCTCATCAGTGAAAAAAGGCATCTTTCACAAACATTAAAACAATAAGTTACAGAGTGCTTCTAGCTTCTTAAGAACCAGAAAGACCCCATCTTTTTAACCTCTTACACCCTAATGTATGTTGCCCACACTTCAGTTCCTCACTCTCATAACTACAGAACCTACATATTAGTCATTAAATAGTTACTAGAATTTACCTGTCCACTATATTCCAGACGTTACCTGTACCAGTAATTACTACATACTAAGCCTTAATATTAATAGTTAACTAACAAGACTTGGGTCTGAGGAGCTAAACTTCCATTTGTAAAGATACATGTAACTGTAATTGGAATGTAGTTCTTACCTCTCTATACTGCTGAAAGTGTACTGGTTACCCTGTTTGGTCTCAATTTCAAAGTCAAAGGAGCGTGTGGTGGTAGTGCCTCTTGCAAAGTTCACACAAGAGATCTCCTCAAAGCGCAGGTGGACTGGAGGCTTGTGAACATAGATGAAGCCTCTCTCCAGAGGATACAGCAGCCCAGAGCTGGCCTTATAGGAGCATGTAATACATTGAGCCCCAGAGTGACTGCAGAGAGAAAAGCATGAGAAAAGGCAAATTGATAAGAAAATGTGTGAATATTGTGAAAGAACACTGAACAGTTGTGGTATGTGTGTGTGTTACCCCTGGAAGTTTCCAGGTACTGTGATCTTCCTGTTGACCAGAGCCTTCATAACCCTGCTGACCATCTCATAGAGAGAGCCAGACATGTTTTTATTCAGCTTTCCCTCAAAGCGCCTTTCCACCTCCTCCCTGCAGGGGGTGCAACAAACAGGAACGAAACCATGAGAGCACATAAGACTCAGCAATAAATAAGTAAACAGAGACTGAACACTTCTAATTGCACCTCTTTTAGCTAAATGTTTTACAACCATTGCATCTACTGTCTATGTCATGACCGCTTTGTCTCTATTCATTTCCAAGCAAAAATTCCTTTTATGGTTCTCCCCTTTCAGCTTTGGACATTCAGGTTTATCATCTCTCTTACTCTTTCCTCTTTCCCTGGCTCACTCACTCGCTCATGTTGAGGGTGAGGTTGATGTCCTCTTCCTTTGAAAAGAGCAGGATGAGAAAGTGATAGCGGGTTTGACCCTGTTTAATGGGAGGATCCAGACTGATCTAAAGGAGAAGAAATGAGAAAAAGCAGAACTGAAAAAAGATCAGACAGAAAGATTTGCAGGTCAGTTGAAGAAGTTCATATCAAAATTATGGATTTCCATAAAATTTTCAAGGAACCACCAGGGAGCAGTACAATAGTTTAAATAAAAAAAAAAACAATACACATTATAGTTTCCAAGTTACATACTACAGATGTGTGGCACCAGCCTGGGATGGGCCAGCGCACACTGACTGGAAAACCCAATGAGAGCTCAGAGACATGACACACACAAACACCAGCACAAATGAACCAGAGTGCTTTATCTTCACACACGTGACCTATAACTCAAATGTCTACTCAAAAGCTTACTAATTGAGTCCCTTTTACAGTTCCTTTTGCTCTCTCAGTGCGTGTGGCCGGGGGGCCAGCATCCTTTCTCTCACACCTAAATGAGTTGCAGCACGATCAGGGGAGGAGCACTCACCATGTACTAGCAGGAAAGATGGTGACTCCGCCTCTCCACCTCCACAGTTGTAATACAATGCTGTTGAATTACTTTTACTGCTTTGTTCATTAGCTGTTAATGATCATTTTTAAGTGTATGCATCTGTGAACTTGCCTTTTGAAGTGAGACAGAATCTACATAAAGAAATGTAATGCCAATATCTGAGAGCCTGTTTTGCAGTACCTTCAGTCGCCTGTTTTTTGTGGCAATTGAGAGGTCCATATAAGGGAGACTCCTCTAATATTACATAATTCAGTATGTTGCATTCTTTAAAATAACCAGAAAACACAAAAAGAATTTACACAAAATTTATAGAATATTTCTTAAATTCCTTTCTTATCAAAGCAGTGTCCCAAGAAAATAGAAAATAAAAGATTTTTATCAGAAAAGCAAAACTGTCACTCACCACAAAGAACATCTGTCTCTGATCTTTGTGGGGGAGCAGGAAGAGCCGCAGCACCGTGGTGTAAGGGATCTTATAGTCAAACGTCTTACCGTGCAGATGCAGGAAGGTGGGGTAAATACGGATATCATACCTGCCAAAAAGACAATCAAGAAGACGTACATGAAATCAGTTCACCCTTTAAACACTTTATTTAAATTACTTACATTGCTGAGTGTCTTACATCAAAACACGTAACGCACTGAATTTACCTGATTCAAATGTCTACACTATTTGCACATGTATAAAAATATGACACAAATATGTCTTTATCCATGTATAAATATGACATTTTATCCATGTGCAAACGATGGACATACTTCAGTCAAGCATTGCTCAAGGCATTCCTTCTTTCAGGGCAGTCAGCCTGTCAATGTGACCAAGAGCAGTTTGTATGCAACAGCACTATCAAGCTGAATCATGAAATCAAAATGAATCATGAACTCAAAACTGAATCATCACTACTAACATATCTGAAGATTAGGTAACTTTTTCATAAACTGATGGTTAATCAATTCTGTTACTGTAACCCTGGGCTGATAATTGATATGGAATATTGTGCTAATATACTGATATTATCAAATCAAATCAAATCACATTTATTGTAACATCACATTTACACAGGTGCGAAGGTGAGTGAAAATCTTAGGTGCGTAGCCCCCTTGTAGAACTTAAGAACTTAAATACAAAAAAATAAGGATATATATATATATATATATATACATATATATATATATATATACACACACACACACACACACACACACACATATATATATATATATACATATATACATATATATATATATACATATATATGCGTATATATATATGTATATATATATATATATGTGTTTGACTCTAAGTATATACACATATACATATACACAATTATACACATAATTATACCACATGTAGTGCTATGCAAATTATCATCCTTTTTGTTCTCTTTCATATTTTGCATGATTTTTTTAATGTTTTGCCCTTTATTGAACTGTTCCCTTTGTGCATTCACTCTGAGCTATGGTAAGTTTGTAATGTTATGAAACAGAAATGAGTGCACTTTATTATAGGCTATACAAACAGAACATCACCAACTAATTACCTAAACACTACATACTTTGAATGCTACTTGAAACAATTTTGTATATTTTCAGTCTGGTTGAAAAGATTGCTGGGAAAGAAGCAAAATGAACAAAAACTCCAGCTGCACTCTGGTAGAGAGTAAAATGGATGAGCTTGTTTAGATAAAAGGTGGCAGTTTGTTGACTGCCTTTTGGATGGACCCTCTCCTGCCCTTGAGACCAGACCAGATGATGTATTCTAAAATGTGCTTGTACATTGATAGTTCTACCACCATTGCTATTAATTTTCTGCACAGATGGCATGTAACACTGTTAACATGTGGTGGTTCTCTGGATTTGTTTGGTTCGAAACCAAAATATTGTCAAACTGGCATGTAATGTTAGAAGCTAGCCCAGACAGTAATTATACGGTAATTAAATTACTATCAAGGAAAATGCAAGTTGCAGAGTAAGGCTCAACGCCTATGTGTGGTACTTCATCACTGAATTTGGATCACAATAATATTGTTTATCAAGGTAATTACACACACAATAATGCTTTGTCTAAATTTACATTATCTCACATTAAATCACAAAATGTGATGAAAATATGAAATTGTACCATCAGTGGAAAGGGAGATGAATTACATATCCTAAAACAGTGAATAACTTAGTTAAATAATAACTGATTTTAAAGAACAGTTTAGCAGATAGCTATGATGTTATTCATATGAAAGTGAGAACATTTATATTTAACGTTTAATTATGAACAACTACTGATTTCAATTCATCATACTTATTTCTAAGAAAGCATAACTTTTTGTTTTAAATTCACTGGAATCACTTATCACATCTTCCATTGTTTGTGTGATAAAACTTTGTAAACTGTTCATAAGATTTTTATGGGCCAATATGTTTTGCTGCAAATCATATACATCCTTTTTTCAATAGAAAATAAAAAGTGGAAAGGTAACATTGTAAACATGCATTATATTATGTCAAAAAGTCACCCATAAGGAATAATGACCCATTGGTATATGTACCTGCCCCTGGGTGTAAGACACTGCAGCTCTCTGAAGATGCACACAGCATCTCCTGTAGCCTGGATCACGTCTGCCTTAGAAAGAACGTTCTGAGCAAATGCCTGAAACAGCAACACATTAAAACATTCAGTGCCTGGTACTAAGAGTATTATAGTGTTAAGGACATCTTTATTGTTCCTATCTGCTCAGCTCTTGCTAGAAGACGTGCTTAAAGTGATACAAGCTGTGCAATAATGCTTTAGGGAAAATAGACCAAGACTGACTGCTACAATAGTTATCATTACTAACAGTCTCTTACCCTTGCTTTAGATTGTTCCCACCAGATGCTTTTGGTGGAAAATGTACCACCTACTGGTCACACTGAGAAAATGTTTTTTTTTAAATAGTAAAAATTACTGTCTCATAGTGTGGCTTTAATAGGCTGTAAGACAACCTGGTGCACACATCTCACCTCATTAAATAAACACGCATATGACAACAATGAAGAAAAGGCTTTGAATTAAAATGTGTCAAAAGCAGTAAACTAAAAGACAGCAATTTTGTTGATGTAACATATTTTCTTTGTGTGCAACGACTTGAAACAATAAAATTCTGAACCCTTTTTTATTTACATTTATAAGTGATAAGAATTTTCTAAACCTAACCCTAAACCTAACTCTAACCTCTAAAACTCTGACCAGCCTAGACGACCAGCACATCCTCTTTTTCTGGCTTGAGACTTTAACGCCAGACAAAGTGTGCCAGACTGCCAGTCAGTTGTGGTTGTGATGTCATATGCAAAGTACATGGGTGTTCGGTTGCATCTGATTTCTGATTGGTCTAATTCATTTACAAGCAGTTCACAAGCTCCATGTTATTGGGTTAAATTTCCCCACTTAAAACCTAAGACAGCAGTGTTTAAAATAAAGACTGTAATTAAAATAGCAGCTCTTGCATTTTGAAAATTGCACTCTTTTTTTTTTAAATCTTCACTTTTTCAAATCTTTCTGTTCTTACTCCAGGAACCAAAAAGAAACAGTTTTCCCTTTCAGTTTTAAAAAGAAAGATTTACCAAAGTGCTGGATAAAGTGTTTCTTCTCTACTTTTCTTATGAAGTCAAAGCATTTTTTTCAAACACAAACTCTCTCACCTCCACAGGGTCAGCCCCTTCATCTCCTGTAGTGGGTGGGACGTAAAACCGCACTTCCATGAGTGACACCTCTGTGTCGTCATTCTGATGAAACTCAACAGTGACCTCGTTTTTTCCAGTTGCACACTGTGATACGCTGGCGAGCGGAATCTCAAACACAGGGCTGTCACTCACCTCAAACGACAGCAGGGGGCCTAGAGATCACATACACAGCTAAATTAACATTTACAGAGAGTCTTTCTTTTAAGGACACCTGAAGTTTCACTGTAAACCCCAGTGTTGAAATTAATTAAATGATCAGAATGGTAACGATTTTGGACCACATTGTACATTTTTACGTATTAACGTTAGATGCAGATGCTCAAAAAGAAGGTCAGGCTCAATATTTAGGTCTTAAATGCAACAATTATTCTGATGAAGATATGATGACAGATAACACACTTACATGCACGGCTGACACGTCCTCAGTTTTAACTGAGTTCTCTTTCAATTCTCTCTTAACTCATTTGCAAATGTCAAATTCGTCTGGCTGGGGGCAGCTGAGGCACAACCGACCCGACTTTTTCCACACATTGCATGCAATTCCACATTCTCACCAGAGAGGTCTCCAAATACCCAAAACGTACATTGTGCAGCTTTAAGTGTTCGGGTACTGCTGTCATCAGTCAAGGGTTTGTTTATGTAAGTTAATATCACTGAAATGTGTTCACTGTATGTCCATTCATAAAATGTATCTTTTGAGTTAATGGTGCTCATTTCATTTAAACAATCGGTTGCCACAAAATATTTAGGTACTCATGTAATTTTGAGTTTTAATTACTATAAATGCTTAATTACTTTGACTTAATTACACTGAATGATGGGAATAAAGTTGCATCAACTGAAATATTTGTGTCATTTTTCTCAATAATTTCAATGTTCTGCAATCAAAATATATATATGTCTAACTTACACTAAATCTGTGTGTTCTGTAAACTTTTAACTTTTGATTTTATAAACTCTGCTAATTTATCTCGGTGTGCAATTTATTTGATGAGCTAACTTCAACTATAATATGATTTGTGGTCTTAACATCAGACCAAAATAATTTAGTCATAAAACATTAGTTTGCAATATTCTGCAAATCATTTCATGTTATGAACTTCCACTGACCATTGAATTTAGCAGTGCCCCAGTTCCAGCCTTTCACACACATGTCTTTCTCGGTCAGCTCTACTTTGTAATTGGCTTTGAAGTATTCTGAGATTTTCTCAAAGTCCTGGGGGAACCATAAAGAAAAAAAAAGTTAAATTAAGACAACAGACTGGTTCGGCAGGTTTCTACCTGCACAATATAAACAACACGTAGACCAGTGGATATAAAACCACACCTCAAGAACCCTGAGACAGTCCACATTTTGGCTCAATCCCAGCACACATAAAAACAGATAAAGCAAAACTATGGGCTGTCTGGGGGTCCCTGAAGACCAGTTTGAGAACTACTGCCTTAGACTCACTGTGTCCTTGAAGCCATCATATTTATAGACGTGTCCAGTGCTGGTGCAGAGCTTGATGCCATGACCCAAGCAGACTCTCCGCCACAGGGCCTGACTGAGCTCTGGGACAGAGATACTGTCCACCTTCCCTGTTTTACTGCTTTTGTACACCACTGTCTGCTTACTGAATCGCAGACGCCCATCATTCTGCAGTAAGACAGAGTGACACAAGTGAAGAGAGACAAGAGAAAGAGAGAGAGAGTAATCCAGTACTAGCTCACATTGTAGATGAGACAGAGATGAAAATTATAGGGTTACAACAGCAACAAAAAATACTAGAAATTGTGCACCTATATAAGTAAAAAAACTATAAACAATCTGAAGAATGATAAAGTGCAATAAGGCAGACCTCAAAAAGCAGGACTGGTCTCTACTCATATAAAAGAATGCTTATACTGTTACATATAACCATTAGAAGTCCCAGTTACTGCTGGAGATAATAATAGCACATTGTAATGTTAAATTCTACCGTGGTTCACTGGAACAAGCAGAGAAATTTTGTTGAAAGTACAGATTCTAAACTTTTAACTGATCCCATGTTTGTGTTTGTAAGTAAAACAGCGGTTGTTTTATGATGATTTGAATTTGATGAAAATTTACTGTGTTGTTTACAGTCTTGTTTTGCAGAAAGAGAAAACATCCTTTACACTTTGGCCGTGTTTTTGTTGTTTTACATTGTAACAAACATAATTCACTGTAGAGGTGGGTGATATGGCAAAAATATAAAATCGAGAAATTTTCCCAAGAATTTTTCCCAAGACACAATATGTCACAAGAAGTAATGATCTTTATTTTTCAAAAATCTGATCTGTTGGAAAAGAGAAAAAATAACCACTAGTGCTACATTTTACAAATTCTATCAAAAATCTGTGAATACAATGACTTTTATTCAATATTTTGCATACTGTGTTGCACTAAATACAGTTAAATGGGACTAACTTTCTCTTTATAATGAAACATGCGGCTGGTCAGTGTGTTTTACAAGAACTGATAATATCTATGATATGATCAAAAAGCATAATGCACTGTATTGTGACATAATTTATCACAATAACAATATATATTGCCATATTGCCCAGACCTAACTCACTGCATTATTTACTATGTAATTACATAATTAAATTTAAATAATTTAATTAATAACAATAATTAAATAATTAACAATAATTAAATAATAACAATACAGAACTACTCCTCTACACACCCCGAATTACACATTTAGTTACACTTCGCAGAATGCATTATAGACAACTTTTCCTTTTTTTCATGATATACACTGTTTGGAGTGGGCTGTAAACACCGAAGAAATAGCAATGATAATTTATGATTATTACAACCTTTATTACAGAATAAAAATGTTTTCCATTATATGCCAGCTGTTATTCTTTTCAAAAACTCTTAAAATTGATACAAATGGATTTACAGCATTTTAGAAGGAAACTCTTCGCATATAATTTAAAATGTGTCCTCCTTGAACAGAAACGTCCACTCACCCAGGACCCCTTGACCTCTTGATAAATATCATTAAACTCCAGAGTGTCACTCATGCCAGCAGCTTCCCTCTCACGTCCCAGTGATGTTCAAAATCTGTGACAGTGGGAGGAAAATGAGAATCACACAAATCACACTGCACATTAAAAATCACTTCTGTTCGTTTATCACCATCTTAATGTTTGTATGCTGCTGTTATTGGTGTTTTGTAAATTCCTAGGAACTTGGTCTGAGATTTATTTAAGCCCAGAATCATCTAGTGATCAGAAACTTCCCAAATATTAGACTAAAATGTTCGGTCTAAACGGCTGATTTGAAAAGCTGGTGGTGTTGATACAGTGTCTGGTCATGCTCTCAGCAGTCTGGGGGACTCTGAAGACATATGTGAAACAGCTCCAAAGGGGATCACTGCTAGAGGTGCAGCAGTTCAGCTGTTCTTTGTTCTCTCCGTGAGAGTCCAATGTGTGGAGCTCTGCTCCTCTTTGCTCTCTTTAAGCTGAAGTGAAGAGCTCAGTGAGCTCAAGGTGATTGAGAAACACACCTGCCACAATACAGAACAGCACAACCTGCACTAGTTGAATGTAAAGCTACACAGACAGTGTAGCACATATATTTATACAGTCACAGTCTGACAGCTCACAGCTTCGCAGTGACACCGCAAAGCCAGCGAGCTAACGGACACCGTGCGGCTAATTCATGCTAATAGCTGGTTAGCGCTGAGCTAGGTGGCTAGTGAGTTAAACCGCAGCTTAGCTAACTATGTTAACTGTGCACAGTCTACTGAGCGAGGGACACCGTCTGTCACACATCCTCACTGAAACGGTGGAACACTTTGTTGTCAGACATTTCTGCTGGTTACACAGAAATAAAGTTCAGGCTAGTAATAAACAGCATTTACTGACGTTCGGGAACGGGTACGAAAACCCTGGCGATATCCAAATCATGTATGACTGGACCTGCTGAACCGGTTCATTTAAAAAAATGATTCAGTTCAACCGATTCAAGCTTTCTGTAGCGTCTGCACAGTGTTTATCTCTGGGTTCTGGGCTGAATATTTCTAATGAAAATCAAACAGTAATGTTTTACAGTTTAGGTTTAACAAAGATCATTACATTGTACATTGTCAATATATGCAAATAATATTGAGAGGAAAAATCTCAATTAATTATTTCAATTTAACGTTCACTTAGCTTTTCCTTTTTTCATTGATTCCATCCTGCTTTTTCTATTTGCACTTTTTATAAAAAAACCTTGAGTCTTGAATAATAATAACAATAATAATAATAATAACAATAATAGTAATAATAATAATAATATCAATAATTGTAATAATAATAATAATACGATTGTCGTTGTCGTTAATGATAATAACATTATTATTATTATTATTATTATTAATGAAACATTCAATCGGTTGAATCAGACGTTAGAATCATTGAATCTTTTGAATCGATTCACTTGATCTGGTCTAGTTGGACTGGAGAGCAGGACGGGCACGTACGTCATACGTACTGAATGACCTCGCGTCAACGCAATCACGCAGTGTACGTAGCTCTGCCCCTTCCTCTTGTTTTGTAAACGTGCAATTAAATCTCCTTCTGCCGACCGACGATCCGCAGTGTTTAGCCAATTTACGCTCGTCTTCTGACACAGAGCTGCAGGTGGGTGTTATGCAGTATAGTGAAATGTGCACGCGCATGAGAGCTGAGATTGTTTTAAATATGTAAATACAGTCTAGTTTAAGACCCAGGAAACACTACGCGAGACTGGGCGTAATCCACCACAGTGTAGAGCCCACACGTAACAAGGGCCAGTTCTGGTATAATGGGACATAAGTTTATTGCAGTATATTGAGTAAAAAGAGTGTGTTATGTGAGATTTGAGAAGTCCCATTTAATGGCAATTTTGATTCATCCTAGATATGACAGCCAAACGAGGCCTCATTACTGACACGTTTAAGGTAGTGAAGAAAGCCAGGAGAGACGACAGAAGAGACAAGAAACCTCCTTCACCTGCTGCTGGTGAGATTGTGTGTGTGTGTGTAGTTAGAATCATATTATCGTTATACATGTGTGCATCAAAATGCATCAACCAAACCTTGTTGTAATATTAAGTTAGTAGTTATGTTATTACATGTGTCAACACCCCCTCAGATCCAGAACCCCCTCGCCCAACTAAAAGAGAGACAGAACTGCAGGAGCTGAGGAAGTTTGACTTGGACTGGCGTTTTGGGCCATGCACAGGTAACAGAGCTGTTCGTACCGCTGATAGTGTTCTTCTGGTCCAACGTACGTACAGAACAAGCACTCATGCAATGAAGGACTACGAAAATTATATTTACAGGCATGGGGTTGTGCCATTGATCTTTATATCCATCCTTGATTTCTGATAGACCTCAACTCTCTGCATATTTGAATAATTCACATTAGGGAGTAGGTCACAACTGGAGGCAGGGTAGTAGTTGGTGATGAGGGTAGAGGTGAGGGGGGGGTATTTAGTTACACTATAGTACACAAATAAACCCTGAACAAAGGAAAGAAACATCACTCAGATACTTTTTTCATAAAGCAAAGCCCCTTCTGCCACAGTTAAAGGCAGCAGTTGCTTGGAATGTTGCTGCACACTTATACAGTAAAAGATGACTAAATACTTTCCATTACATCACTTGTTGAAATAGGGCTCCAGATGCAGCAAAACAGAATGTTCTTTGGTAAAACCGTGGTTTGAACAGCAAAATGGTGTTTTTCAACATAACGTCAGTTTTGTTGGAGAAATTGCTTGTAACAAAATATTGCAATGAGCATGTATATAATTATGTGCATGCAAAAAAGAAAATTGTTGGTGTGCTCAGGTAAGTTATTCCAGATATACCACCAAGAGTTTGGTAACAAAGCTGGATATACCAGTACTAAAAGCTCACTTCACACTAAAGCACATATTATACAAAATTTACACATTTACAATTTGCCTTTATTTCTACAGCAAATCTATTTAGGAATGTTGGAAGAACACCAGTTTCTGCTTACTCAGGGTGTGGTCGATCAGCCAAGACGAGTTTGGAGTCCAGTTTTTGCTTCTTTAGTTCAGAATGGAAGCTGCAAGGCTAATGTTGCTAATGTACAGTAGAACTCAGTAGTCAGCTATTTAGCCCAAATTCTTCCCATGAAAATACATCAGCAAAACTTCTCTCAACCTGCTCAAACCACATCTAGATCTTAATTAAGGTCCCGCAGACTTGGCTATGTGTTTTAGGACACGGTATGACTTTAACTGTTCGTTAAAATAAAAATGAACAAAACTTCACCACTGCAGGTAACAGCAGGGCTGGGATTCACACGTTGTAACATTAGACGACTGATCTTGGATCAGATTCCTACTTATTTATGGCAGTCAGCGCCATAAAAGCAGACTGTAGGTCAGCACCCCTACACTCTTAAAAAATATGGTTCTTAGTAGTAAAGAAAATGGTTCTATATAGAACCATGAACACTCAAAGAACCCTTAGTAGTAAAGAAAATGGTTCTATAGAGAACCATGAACACTCAAAGAACCCTGTGCATGATGAAACAGTTCTTTGCATCATGAAAGAGTTCTTCAGATTGATGGAAAATATACTGTAGACGGTTCTATATAGAACATTTTTGACAATGGTTCTGTATAGCACCCAAAAGTGTTCTTCTATTGTTACAATGTCAAGCTTGTAACAATTAAAGAACCTTTTGCAAAGGGTTCTTTGAGTGTTCATGGTTCTGTGTAGAACATTTTCTTTACTGAACAACTTTTGAAGAACCAAGAGTGTATTACTGGAGTGGTTTGTGAATTCAGAGCTTTTTGTCTAAAGCGGCTGCCCGTAGCGTTCGTCTACATGTCGTAAGGTTTAGTTAATTTTTATAGTTCACATGTCAAACTGTGTCCTATATCACATCAACAAGTCTGTGCAACTTTAATTCAGTCCTGGACGCAGTATGAGGGAAGTTTTTGTGAGGTTTTATGGAGATAATTTGCGCTAATTGGGTGACTACTGAGTTGTAGTGTTTGTTCATAACGTCAGCCTCACAACTTTTGTTCTAAAATAAAGGAGCAAAATTTGAACTGCAAACATCTTGGCTGAGTGACAAGATCTACACTGCAAAAAAAGGGTTAAAACACCATTTTTACAGTGTAAAATGGTGTAGATTTGATTTTTTAGCCGAATTATACAACAGAAAAGGCTGGGGCAGAGAATGCTACATAGCGTCCATTGCAAGATTATTGTTGATTGCCTCTTTAAAGCTTTCTTACCAGACTTCATGAAGGTGTTTTGGCTTCCATCTGTGCCTCTCAGTAAAATCTCGCTTCTCATACATGCACGTGTGCAGGGATCAGTCGTTTGCAGAGGTGGGAGAGAGCAGCACTTCATGGGCTGGACCCACCACAGGAGATTAAAGACATACTGCTGGAGGAGAGCATGGACCCAGAGTACACTCATTGGTATTTTGAGCAAGTACACACAATCATGCACACACATACTTTTACCACAGGTAAAATTACACATACTCAGAAGTCTACAAATGCATGTCGATACCATGTGTATGCTTGGTATGTCTGTTACTATCCGATATCTCATAAATCCCATTGTCGCTGATATGTGCTCATGAGTATGACATTTCTATTTTTGTTCCGTTCTGTGTTTCAGCCTCTGGCGTGACTACCCCTTGTGAGGAAAGATGAGTGACACTGCTTGAGAAAAGAGGGAATTGTGAGAACAAATGATTTTCATGTTTGTTTGATTGCTCATGTTTGCCTGTTGCTGTTAACTTTTGAGCTTTCTGTTTTTTTACACTACATTTTTAATAAAACTCCTTTAACAAAAGCTGTGGTCATTAAGTCTTTTGTTCTTGACTCATAAGATATAAGCCTTAAAGTGTGGACACACACTATGTTTTTCATTGTCCATTTGTGATATATTACATTATCATCAAGTGATCTTCCCTGACTCAACACAAGCTCAGCCTTTCAGTTAGGCCAGGTACGGAACACAAATATTCAATATAAAAGATGAAAATAGTGTGCAAAACAGACTAACACAGAATACCTTGTATTTATTGGATGATATATTTAATTTCCATAGAAAATCAGTGCCAATAGAATGTGACACTGGAACAGCATCAGCCTAAGGTCACCATGCACAACGTCTGTTAGATGGGTATAAAGTCCCACAGCACTGGGCTGTGGAACAGTGGAACTGTCATCTCTGGAATGATGGAGCTCCATCCAATACCTTTGGGAAGAGTTGGGGAATTTGTGATCCAGAGCTCATCATCTGATATCAGTAGCTGACCTCACTAATGCTCTTGTGGCTGAATGCAATCAAATCCTCAAGCAATGTTCCAACCTCTAGTGTAAAGCCTTCCCAGAAGAGTAAAGGCTGTTATTGCAGCAAAAGGGGGACAGGCTGCCTGTCAATACCCTTCATTTTGTTGAATGAGCAAGTATCTACGTTTGAACATACATACATGTTACGATTTAGGGCCTGTTCACATCCTGCATTGATATCAGATCTGCCACATTTCAGCATTTACCTGCATTCTCCTTCTTATATACTGAAACACTCAGTAATACTGAATGACCTCTGAAACAAAAATGTGTTTATCAACCTACAGGAAACCTAGTAACACCGGAAGGAAGCAGGGCCTGTTATAAATTAGATAAACCACAACCACACAATTCTTCAATATGTATATAGCACTAATAATCCCAAAACCACAAACAATTAACTTTAAAAGTCATCCCATTTAAAAGTATGTGTACATTTTCATATATTTATTGCATTACTGACATACATTAAAAAAGTAATCAATATTGTTATATGCATTATATTTGGACATAATGCATTATTACTATTATATAAACATATTACAATATTCATAACAATTTGCTTTAGGTTACAGATTTGCTTTGTATATTTATAGCTCTGCACACAGATTTGAGGGTCACCTTACCTTAACCAATTCCAGCCAATCGTGGCAGGGTTACCACTTTGTGGTCACTGAATTAAAGTGTTTTGCTCCAGAAATTCAGACCAAAGTTAACCCAATGGTGCACCATTCCTCTAGCCATTTTTAAACAATTCATTAATAGTAATTAATTAGAGAGAGAGACAATGAAAAAGAGATAACCTATTCACAGGAACATGGCATCACATTGAGTCAGTGCCATGGTCAGATAAATATAGTCTCACATCTGTACAAGAATGAATTCTTTAGAGAGCACAATAGTAATTAGCAACAGATATAAGGACAGATAATTATGGCTACTTAATTGGGTCACTTTTGCCTTGGGACATCCCTTACCCACCCCCACTTATAGTTCCCACTGTGAGTGCGGGATTTTGTCAGATTACATGCAGCACCACGTGGTTCATATTTACAAATGCACGACTCCCAAGCAGATTGCAGAGTGCAAAAAGATCTGTCAGCTTGACCCCAGGGCACATATGGCACAGTCTCCTTGTCACAACCAACTTGTCACTTAGCTGTTCGGAGTGTACTTTGACACAGGGGTCTTCAAGTACAGGCCTGAGGAACCACCCCCCCTGCACAGTTTCAAATGCTCCTTAATCCGGTCCACCTGAGCCCTTCATCAGCTGGTTCAGGCATTTTTGGGGCAGGGACTATTTAAGGGAGACGTTCATCGATATTTAAAAATTTCTGTATTCTGTATCTCTATCTGTAGCTGGTAGGAACCAGATTTAAATGTTTAAATGTTTAATGCCTCTAAATAAGTTATCGCACAAAATGGTTACCAATTTGCTGCCTGATGCCTGAGATATTGTTTTACAATGTTTTTTGTGAAAAGCACTTGGCCTAAAACATGTTTATTAAAATCCATTCATGGAGGAGGGGTACATGTAGTCTGTTGTAAGAAAAAATGGTACCTTTTTTCCAGATTTACCACAATGTTACCATTATCCACTTTACATAAAACCCAGAAAACACATGTAGGTTAATTGGTCATTTCAGATAATAAATAAAATGGCTATGTTTGTGTTGTAGACACCACAACAGAGTCAGTTTCTCCACAAGGAACCATTTCATATCAAATCACTCTGAATGACTTTGTTTACATCTCCATAACTGAAATATACAGAAATGTTGAAAAACTCGGTGGAATTGCCCTTTAAAAACTGCCCGGGACAGTGGGTCTTTGGGCCCTGACAGACAGATAGATGGCGCGCCTTCATTAAAGGATTTCTATTGGCGAGCAAACGTGCTAATAAAACGAACGTGGTCTCTAAATGGTCCATACAAAAGTCAATCACTGGGACAACTACAGTCGCACAGCGTGGCTACTGGTTAAGCGCGGCAAGCTGGCGTCCCTCCCTCCTGCAGCAAACAACTGAGAGGCGGGACTATCGTAAGTGCGGTCATACGATTGGCTGGCTCGGCCCTTCAATCTGGTTTCCCGTTTGCTTCATTGGCTACAACGCGGCGTCGTGGACATCTGCGACAGAAGCTGATGCTAGTAATGCCATTCCGTGGCCTAGTATGAAATAAAGCGATGCTTATTTAGACGGGAGATAGCGGGGGAGGATTAAAGCGAACAGCACCGGTTTGTGCAGTTTTAAATAACGTTAGGAAAGTCGCGTTCAGCACGCTTGAAGTGGCCAAGCCCTGGAGGAAATGTGGGCGATTAATTCGCCTGTGGACCCCCTATAATTTGCCGGATCATGCAGAATTATTTTGGAAATACAGTAGCGTTAGCTGTGAATAAAGATTCGCCGCTGCACTGCGAGCTAGGCATCTAGCCACCACAAGTCGTCGTATTTCGAGGAAATTCGGTCGCGGTTTGGCATCTTAGATTCATCGCTGATTTGTCTGTATTGGTGTAACTGTACCCGGTTTACTGGAGACGGGATATTAACTGAACTGGTGAGTACACTTTTGCTAGCGAGATGCTAGCCGCAGCGGTCAGTGTACAGGACCGTTAGAGCCAGCTAACGTTAAACATGGTCATGCAGAGGAGAAAACGAACAAGAGCAGCGTTATGATATTAATGTCCTCCAGAACTGCAGCACTCAAGCAAAACAGAACGGGCATGCTGACCAGACTTGACCGCAAGCTGAAGTTAATTACCTCTACTGTGTTATCAGGCTAATATTTACGTTGTCAGTATCACCTGACCGTCTGATGCAATGCTCATTTAGCTAGCTAGCTGCATTTTACTTTGCTATGAACCGCAGTGCTAATAATGAGGTCACACTCATGCGCACCTCTGTGCTGCTTTCTTGGAAATGAAAAAAGCACCTGCTCAGAACGTGTTTAGCTGGATATATGTGGAAAAAAAGGGAGGCACTTCAGTCTAATCTAGTTTAACTAAAAAGGATGTTGAAGCTGCCTCAGTGAGGTGGGAGGTAACAGGTGCATGAGAGAGGCTGTAGGGAGCAGAGGAGAAGACCACTGCAGTTATCTGTGCTGTTACTGGCAACACTTGTGTAAAGAGAATATAACATATTTGCATAAATCTGTAATCTGTATTATGTGAACATTAGTGAATCTAAGGCAGCTTGACAAAGGCAGAAAAGGCATGTACCCTAAAGTGTTGTTTTAAGTCCAGCTAGAGGTTTTGCTGTAGTATTGTGTACTGTGAGCTAGAGGTGGGCAATATAACAATATTTTATCGTTGTTGTGATAAATTATGCCACAATAAGCATTTTGAGCATATCATGGATATATCGTCAGTACTGACTAACTACGTGTTTCATTACAGTGAGCATGATTAGTCCTGTTAAATTGGATTGAGTGCAGTGCAGTTTGTAAAACATTGAATAAAAATTATTGTAGTTGTAGGTTTATTATTACTATTATGTTTTTTTTTTTGTATTATCACTGCCTGAAGAAAAACGATTTCAAAACTCCAAAAACAACTCCATCTCTAAAATGGTAACTTTACAGGAAAGGGCCAAAACTTTCTTTATTTTCGATGTAAGCTAAAAAGAGATTTTATTTGAAGCCATATTGGAGGATTTTTATTGGTCCAGTCATCATGAGATTTTAACACAATGCAAAAGACAGCGACTGAGGTCAAAGTATGCAGAAATCTAAAAATGGAGATGCTTCTTTTTTTGGACAGTGACGATATGTGGCACTACAGATTCTGTTTTGTCTATTCCAACTTATTAAATCTCAGAAAAATGAAATATCACTATGCATATGTCTTGAAGTATCGTACTATAATATTTGTGGCATATCACCCACCCCTACTGTGAGCCACATCTCAGATTAAGTTGATGCACTAGGAAAAATGCACAGCACATATGCTGTGACTGTGAGGATTTCTTTTCCCTCAGGGATGGACAATGCCCATACCAAGACGGTCGAGGAGGTGTTGGGGTATTTTGGGGTGAACGAGTCCACGGGCTTGAGTAGTGAGCAGTTGAGGAAAAGCAGAGAGCGATGGGGACCCAACGGTACAGCATGTCATATACACATAAATAACATAACTGTAACAACAGACAACAGTATTGCTCTCATTTCTACATATATGCCCAACTATAATCATAGCTATAGCCATGAACATTAACATTGACCATTTCACTTCATTTCTATGCATTTCTTCTGCCTATTACCACAGTTATAATCATTATTTTTACCTAATTATTTGTGTCAAGTTTTGTCAGAAGTTATAGAATGTATAGTATAATAAATGAAGTAATCGATGTGATTAAGAGAACTCTCTTTTAACTTTTTTCTGTTTTCTCTTTTTATTGTTTTTTATCGCCATTTGTCATGCAGAATTACCAGCAGAAGAAGGTAAGAAACACAGCTCTCTGCTCCGGGTCTGTGTAATGATTAGCAGTGCTTTCATCATTCTCCGTCTGCCTCCCTGGTTTTCCTTTGTTGTACGGGAGATGCTACTTGTCTGGCTAATTAAGGTTATTATTAGGTCCCCTTGAGGGGGGGGAGGATTTGTGTGTGGGGGGGGGGTGTTTGCTGTGTGGCCTGGTTGAGTCTGAATGAATGTGCTGTAGAGATGTGTTTAAAGAGGCTGTTTGGATCAGGGCTGGCTCTGTAGATTTGATGACGAGAGAGAGAAGACTTTTGTTGATATTCGTGTAACTGAGCTGGCCTCTGTAGCATTCTCTCTGTGTTTGTATTTGCAGGGAAGTCGCTATGGGAACTGGTGCTGGAGCAGTTTGAGGATTTGCTTGTGCGGATTCTCCTTCTTGCAGCCTGTATTTCCTTTGTAAGCACTAATGAGGGACAGTCCCCCACTTAAAAACATAAAACAGCAGGGCTAAACACTATGGTGATTTCCACTCACAATTCACCCACACTTCTAATGCAGACCTCTCAGACCAGCAGACCTCTCAGACCAACACTGTCGCTATAATTAAGTTCTATTATTGCTGCTTTTCTTACTCATGTGGTGTTCTGATAAAGGCCTATAGGTGATTATATTGTGTGTCTGTGTCTCAGACCCTGGCCTGGTTTGAGGAGGGTGAGGGCACCATCACAGCCTTCGTTGAGCCTTTTGTCATTCTCCTCATCCTTATTGCCAATGCCATTGTGGGGGTGTGGCAGGTAGGTGTACATGTTTTTTTATAATATTATAAAATATTATTATCTGGGCGCTGGAAGGTATTTTGGTGACAATTTACTGAAGGGCAGCATTAACATACCTACATAAGCCTTTCATGACAGCTGACGTGTAATGTAATGTTTATGTAAACCTACATAAACTATAAAGACATATTTTCTAACAAGCGCCAGTCTTCATAAGAGCGCCATTTGTCTATTTTGATGTCAGTTCACCACTGACATTTGTAGGATTAAACCGTTATAAATGTGTATAAAAGCATATGTAAGTTTTGTAGACATATTTTTATGTGTTTTATTTAATATTTGAAGTGTAGGAGAACAAAAGGAAGCCATTAAAGGAAAAACAACATACTGCAATTATCTGTTTATGGTAATTTCCTGTAAGTTATCTGCTTTGAAATGAGATCACTATTTTCCAAATACAAGGCATTTTCGATTTTTGTTTTTTTTAGAGTATTTAAAACCCATAAAGTTGTAAAGTACTAGCATCATATTACAGTCAATATGTACATAAAACAGTGATTTTAAACTTTTGAACACTTGCATAAAGTGTAAATATGTGTCTGTGTCTGTTCACATTTACTGATAATTGTGCGTTTGTGTGCGTCTAGGAGCGAAATGCAGAAAATGCCATTGAGGCACTGAAAGAATATGAACCAGAGATGGGGAAGGTGTACAGACAGGACAGGAAGAGTGTACAGAGAGTCCGAGCAAGAGATATTGTGCCTGGAGATATAGTGGAGGTGGCAGGTAAGCAAAAAAATACACTTCCAATAAGGCCGCTGTGCTTCGCCCATTTAAAGTATACTTTATTTGGTGCCTGCTTATTTTTAGGTTAGAGATAGTTATGTGCTTGCAGGTGAACATTAATTGTAGATGTAAAAATGAGGCCTCTCATAGCAGCTGATATGTCAGACACAACTGGAAGGCATTTCAGCTGTGACGTGATCCGGCCTTTTGTTTGTTTGTAAAGGACTATCAGAGCTCCCTGCTTAGGATTACTATAATCACAACTGTCCATCTCAAAGAAACCACAAATACACTGCTTGAGAAAAAAAAACATTTTCTCAAGGAAGTGGTTAAGCATTCCCACAACTTGGCTGGCTCGTTTGGCTAGCATAAATTTCCATCTGGAGATGTATTTTTTAAAATAATATTTGAAAAAGGACAGAAGTAGACATAAGATCAAAATGAACACTACATTTTTGTGGTAGCTGTGTTGCCAGTGTAGGTCGGAAGGGTTAAGGCCTAGTCTTGTAATTCTCTTGGCACACTACTAGAACTTCTATTCTAAGAATCCCAAAGGTCATGAGTAAAAGTATGGTTGTATGGTACAGTGGCCTAATGCAGACATCTTGCGTTGTGAAATTGTTAAAAATTTCACTGTGGTTTGTGTTTGATTCCAAAAAACTTTGTCCATAAAAACACTTGACTGAGAGCACATCTGACCTGTAGTATCTGCATATTTTGGTTGGTAAATGCTTTAAAAGTAATTACCAGACCCTGCTATAAGGAAAGGCTGATGCTAGAATGGTGCAATACTAATCTTACCTGCTTTTATTGACTAAATACTGCAGCCCAAGAGGTACAAACTGGCGACCTCAAACGTCTGAAATGTTTTCTTTGACGACAAAGAGTTTTGGTTCTTTGAATTGCTGTTACAAACCACCAGTTCCAGGATTTTTAAAGTAGAAAACAGAATACATCATTAATGTGTAGGTGTATGAAGGCCATTTTAAGGACTTAGGACTGAAAAAGAAATGTAATTTACATGAAGTAATCATTCACCTGTTCCCCCTCGGGCTTCAGTTTACTTTATACTTGGCCAAATGATGTTACATAAGTCATATCACTTAATGCTGTTATTCTACAACAGTGTTTATATTTGTTCAAAGCTTTATTAACATAAGATAATAATTACAGATTATTGGTAACCCTGAAGGTCAGACTGTTCCAAGTTGCTGGATATTTAAAAGCATTTGGCTTCTCAGTATATGATAATATGCTGCTGCTCCAGACTTCACAGCAGTTTCCTCAAACAAGAATATGTTAAACCCTTTAGAGCTGAGGCACAAATTGACTTTTTCTGTCTTTTAACCTATTCATCTTGCCTTTAATAGTGTGTTTTTTGTACAGAATATGATCAAACAGCAGTGTGTAGATTTTTATTAGTTTGCACCACAAACTACCATTTGAGCAAGACAACAAATGCGTAGGAATATACACACTTTGGTCACCTTTTAGTGATGCACTGGTGAAATTAGTCAATAAGCCCTAACACTTAGCAGTCTGAATTCTGTTTTGAATGTGTGCACACGCTTGCTCTACCACAGTGTGTACAACAAATTGTGTTTTTTCTGTTGTCTTGTACTTTAGTACAAGGACAAGAGTACAAGACAATAGAAAAAACATCATTTGTTGGGAGACCAAGACCAAGACAAGTCAGAGTACAAGCACTTTGACTTTTCTTAGTCTTGGCCTTTGGCCTTGGCAAACTTAGTCTCCAGTCCCCACCAAGACCAGTTAGAGTAAAAAAAATTATGTATTTCGTTTTTCTTTCCTTCAACTGTCACAAACGCTCACTGACTCATATTCAAGCAACTGAAAACCAAACCAACTACAGTGAAAAAAAAATATATATATATTTTTTTTTCTCAACTGTCACAGTTGGAATTTCAAGTTGATTATATATGATGAATACGTATATATCTCTGTATATTTAGGAAGGGGTTCTTTGCAAAATTCTTTATAGATCACTTTTAAGATTTATCTCTTTCTATGACCTTTATGACCATGTTCTTGGGATGACCTTGGGATGACACACCCAAGGAATTATCAGTGTCATGTTATGATTAATAAAATCTTTATCACAGAAATAAAAATGTGTTTTCCATAATACGTCAGCTATTATTCTTTTCAAAACTCGTTATATCCAAAATTGTTACAAATAGATATACAGTGTTTTAGAATGATTTTAACGGGGACCAGATCAAAGTATATAAATGTTTCGTAGATTAAGGTTAGGGAGACTGTCCCAACTCAGCACTTCCATTTTCATCATTTTTCTAGGTCATGTTAATCATGTTATCTGAAGTAGAAAAGACTGGCCTCCTTTCTGAACTCTTGGCACCTTTTTTCTTCAGTGGGTGATAAGGTTCCAGCAGACATCAGGCTGACCTCCATTCGTTCCACCACTCTGAGAGTAGACCAGTCCATTTTGACGGGCGAGTCTGTCTCCGTGCTCAAACACACGGACCCCGTACCTGACCCCCGGGCGGTCAACCAGGACAAGAAGAATATGCTCTTTTCCGTAAGTGTGTACATGTGTGAACCTGATCCTTGGAATCAGCTTCTATTAATATACCAGTAGTGGTGTTTGAGTGTGTGAGATGTGTGTGAGATGTTTTACGATTTGACTGTGATGTTTTGTTAGTGTGCGTATGACAAGTGTTTATGTGCTTGTGCCCGTGTGTTTGCGTGTGTGTGTCCGGCCTACCTGTGTGCTGAATAAAACATCAGACGTATTGTTTGCTCCCATTGAGAAATGACGTCACAAGCACTTTGAGCTCTCATATGGATAATGACCAGGGTGCAGCAGCCTCAAAGACCACATGTAAACACTCACACACGCACATACGCACATACACAGAGTCTACAAAGCCTCCATTACCTCACTCCAGCTGAGGACGTCTAATGGATCTATCAGGTCATAAAAGGACAACAGTAGAGAGAGTAGTGAGTGTTCAGACCACCAACACTGCGACAGCTGATAATGCAAACCTTTAGAAACGGTCATGCACACAGATTTAGAGGGATGCTTTGGCAAAAAAAATCAAATTTTCTCTTCACTGTAAGTATGGTCAATGAGCCAAGATGTATTTAGTGTTCCAAATTTGCTTCTTTAATCCTTCTTTGGAGCTCTCACTGGAGCTAAGTAAAGGACGCTGATATCCCACTGATTAGCTGTGTTTTGTCCATTTTATGGATAATAGTAGGGCTGGTCTAAACAGCATTTTACAGGCTATCAATATGCATTGATATTTTAGTCTGTAGAGGAGACACTTCTCTGATACAGTGGAAAATACTTGATTGGGATTTTGAGTATTTTGTCACAATAAACAGATCTGCTGCAATGGTTTAATCAGAAAGGAAAAAAAGAAAAAAGCTAATATTCCTGCCTGAAGGGATTATGTGACAGAACCGGGTTAAAGGAAGATGGATTGGAAGTATGGTGGTACTCGGGTAAGGATCACTGTACTTACATTCTTGAGATTTTTGATCGAACTTGGTGTGTCTCCAAGATATACCAACGTCTTTTCGCAAATTTTGCACTGTGCATTTTTTTAATCATCTGATAAATCATTTGAAGTGCTCCCACACTCGAGATTTCTCAGGCATCTTTACTCTTTTAACTCCTTTGGTCACGTGAGAAGTGTTACAGTTTGTTGCACTCTGAAATGAGATGATGTGGATGGCTGACATGAATTTATGATGCCTTCAACTAAACCAGCTATAATTGATTTGTTTTTAACATTTTCCATATATTATCAATAACTTTTCTATTTTAAAGAGCTCATATACTACATTTGTCTTGCATTTTATTATTACTTTTGAGGTCCATTTATAATATTTGTGAGGGTTTACATACAAAAAAACAGTACTAATTCATTTTTCATGATGGTTTTCTAACCTCTTTATATCTTTTCTAATGTTATGTTACTGGGCCTTATGACTGATATATGTAAACAAGCTCTGTTCTGATTAGTTGCCCTGTATTGCGCCTTGTTCAGAAAGCAGTCTGGGCTAAAGCACTCTTTAGTGCTTTAACTTTAGTGTGAATGGGCAGAGCTAGACTGAATAGGTGGATATATGTAAATGTTTTGGTTTCCGTTACATCACAGAATTTGCAACAGACTGTTTACAGCTTGGTTTCCATATATGGACTGTATGGACTGGGGAAGGAACAGTATATTTTGAAACTTTAACAGTCTTTGTATACTACATCAAACTCCTTTATTTTAAAGAAAGTGAGTACAATTCAGTTTTCTATTATATGGAACCTTTAAGGCTACAATTTCTGTGGCTTAAAAAAGTCAAAGATGGACATAAATAGAGAAACGTAACATAACAAACAAATACTCAAAATTTTTAATTATTGAGGCCAGCCCTAGAAAACAGTACAGCATACAACAGCAGGAGACAACATAACCAAGTCTGTTTGAGATTACTTAGCAACTTTATGTAGACCAAGTCAAGTATCTGATGATTTAGGCTTGCAATTAACACAGTGCTTCCATTGCATCTTTATTTTAATAGTCTAGTAGCCCCAGTATAAGACTAAAGAAGTAAACTTTGAACTTGTAAATCTGGGTTTAGGAAAAAATTGTGGCCGTTTGATTTTTCACCGAACTGTTCCTTTAACTGTTCCACTGGGTTAGAAAGCAGCATTACTGAATGCAATTTATAAGCTGTTTGATCCCATGCCGTGTGCCTGTGTGCGTGTGTGTGTGCGTGTGTGTGTGCGTGTGTGTGTGCGTGTGTGTGTGCGTGTGTGCGTGTGTGCGTGTGCGTGTGCGTGTGCGTGTGCGTGTGTGTGTTTGTGTGTGTATGTATGTGTATGTGTAGGGCACGAACATTGCTGCGGGGAGAGCAATAGGTGTTGTAGTAGCCACTGGTGTGCAGACAGAAATTGGTAAAATCAGGGACGAGATGGCAGCAACGGACCCAGAAAGAACTCCCTTACAGCAAAAACTAGACCAGTTTGGGGAGCAACTCTCAAAGGTAGTGTCCCCACTTCATTCTCGTGTTTCCTCCTCTACTTCTGCTTTTTGCCTTTCATCATTCGGTCACATTTTGTGTTAGCCCATCATCCTCTTTCCCAGTGTCTTATTCATACTAGCATTGTAGATATACATATGTTTTTAATATTTCCACTTAAACTCCTGCTACGGTTTCTTTTTTTTGTGTACACCACCCTCCTACACATTAATAATGGGATTTTCATGATTTTAACTGAATGTAATAATGGAACTTATTATATAATACATTTAATAAAGGAAATGTAGTGATATTGTTGTTGAGTTTCTCTTTGTTTATTTCTCTCATTCTCTTCGTAGGTGATCACAGTAATCTGTGTGGCAGTATGGGGCATCAACATCGGCCACTTTAGTGATCCTGTGCACGGAGGCAGTTGGCTGAGAGGAGCTGTGTACTACTTTAAGATCGCTGTGGCTCTAGCTGTAGCTGCCATCCCTGAGGGTACGGCATCTCAGCTTCTTTTTGTGCAGTGAAACTGTCGTTCTTTTCATACTGCAACACGATGTGAGAGGCATTCAAGTACAAGAACATTCGAGTATGTTTGTCATTTGAACATATGTGCATGATGTCTGCATTTGTATGCAGTATTAAAACAAACTAGTGTGGTATGAGTTAGTCTGAAGTGTTCTAAGCCACACATTATTACATAGTCTCAAAACAAAGGTTTTCAAACAGCACTGCACTTCAGGCATTTTAACTGTATATTCAAAAACAGAACAGACCCAAACGAGAACCAACAGAAATTAGGGTTCTAGTTGTAGTTCATTTTTTACTTGCTTGATAGTTGACTGGAATGGTCATAGGAGTGAGTTGCTGAATGCTAATAACATTTGCATTAGCTACATAACTAGCTAATGTCACCATAGCAAACTCTTTACAAATCCTTGTTCTAAAAATAGTCATTTTGTCTTCATCTGTAAGCGTAAAGAACAAGCTAAACTGTCAGTGGGCTTCAGCCGCAGCTGTTGATTCCAGCTACTCAAGCTTGAATAAACAGTCTGACATTACCCATCAACTGCACTCTGTATATATATCTTTGTAATTGTTAGAATTTCTTCCATTGTTTTTAATTGTTAAATGAATAGTTTGGCAAAAAATCTAATTTACGTAATCTACTAGTTCCAAATGCAGCCAATGGCCCAAGACCAATTTTTCCAAAATGTCCAAATTTTGCTTCTTTACTTTTGAACTGGAGCTGTAAGTCTAATGTTGCTGTAACCAAGGAGGCATGGAAGCAGGATGCAAGTGCAAGTTTTATTTTATTGAGTCAAGTTTAAAGGTGGCTAGCATAGCGGAGAACAAGAAACAATCAAAACAACAGAAACAGAAAACTACTAGAGACTGAAAAACAGCAAGAAAACAAAGAAAAACAAAGAAGAAACTTACTAAACTGGAGGAACAATAAAGTCAGTAAACTTATTCTGGAAGGACATGAAACAGTGACACACGTAATGCATGGCAAGGACGAGGCAGACTAGGGGTGTGGAAATACACTGAACAGAACCAGACGCTCCTGGGGCTAGTGATTACAGAGTGGAGTTACAGATACATCACAGGTGAGGGGCATAACAAAAGGGCGGAGCCAGGGAGAAGCAGGAAAACAAAAACAGAAGCACATGGCTAGACACACGAGGTAAACAAAGCAAAACACACACAGAAACAGAGCAAGGATGTTACAGTTGCTAACAAACACTGGAAGTTAATAGTCTCCAAAACAAATACATGTCCAGACTTCTCTCAACCTGCGCAAACCACAGTCAAATCAGTGCAGTTTAGAACAGCTTTTCACTTACAATGAACCATAAAAACACACACACACACACACACACACACACACACACACACACACACACACACACACACACACATTTTCTAAACCTCTTATCTTTATGGATCGCAGGGACTATAAAAACAGAGAAAAACTTTTCAGAGGAGCTCAAAGAAGGGGCAGCTGTTTAGGATGACCAGAATCTCTTCTTTCCAGAGCACAACTTGTTAAAATTCCCAAAATGTAGGTAGAGAAGCTAAGTGATTGTACTAGAAAATTTGTACAATGTTCGATTACGCATTTGAGGACCATATTTTTGCACCAATGAACCTCAACCCTATGTGTTTATACCTGAATATACACATGAAGGTGTGCGTCAGTTGGATGCCAGATGCACTGCTGACTCCCAGGACCATCGCTTAGCATGAAACATTGTGGCACCTCAGGCGTCAGAATATATCTGTTGCACTATTTAAGGTGGAATGGAAAATTTGAATAAGAAGCTACTGAATAGGAAGCCAACTTCAGCCTCATCCTCTTAGCATGACACAGTGTGTGCACAACGAAGAAGCTCACCTCGGCTTCACGTCTTTGAGTTGTCATCCGTAAATATGTACTTGGTACAGCAGCAGATTTTAGAATATCTCACTGGAGAACTTCCTTGTAATACTCAGGTGAAGAATGATCACCACATACACAGAGATTTTGCACGATAACTTTACTGAATGTCTCTCAAGCTAGTTTGTGGTTCATTGCCAGAAGCCACAGTTTGCATGTGTCTGCATCAGTAGAAAACTGGTGGTAACATACTAGACTGCCCATAAGTTTCTGTGTTGTGTTTTTGCAAAATGGAACACAACACCTCATTTTTGCAGGTTAATCATTATTAGATATGTAACTTCTAACTCTCTGCAAAGAGAGCTGCAAATTGATTTTTTAGAACACACCCCTGCACTACATCCTCCCAGAGTTAGAAGGTGCTGTAGTACTGGACAGCGGGACAATATGCGGATAATAATGTAGTTCTAATTTAAGCTGAAATGTGTAAATAAGGTTTGTCTATTCATTTTACAAGTTTTTTTTTCTAAATGAGTTCAAGTAGCTTTTCACTGTAATCTAAAGTAAATATATGAAATTTTTTTGCATGTATTTGTGGGAATGATTTTGATGACTATTTACTGCTGGTGTTTGTTAGCACCATTAGCCATGCAGCTCCAGTTCTAAGCTAAAGAAGCAAAAACATGGATACCAAACATATCTTGGCTGATCAACCGTGACAGGAATACATGGAGAATCATGTAAATTAGATTTTTTGCCAAACTATCCCTTAAAGTCCTCTGACATGCCTTATAAAATACTGTTTACAGTCTTTTATTATTTGTTAATGTATTTTCTGTACATCATCTGTTTGTTGCAGTGTAAACATATGGTGGAATGGCTTTGGAAAATAATTGTGATAGCCATGTTTGCGCTACAGTGCCTGTATGTTTAACCAGTCAGCAATGAATAATACTGCTAACCTCACCTTTGTGTATTACTAGGTCCTGTTAGTGCCAATCTTGAGCAGGTACCAAACCCATTAAACTGGAACTTTTGGTAGTGGACCATTGGCCAGTGAAAAAAGCATAGTTACAGTGATCTGGTGCCAGATGTTGTAGTGCTTTGTGCAGTGGAAAAATACCTGCAACACACATGTGTGCATCCAGTTATTTTTGTTTAAACAGATGATCATATAACAACAGATAAATCAAAATTGTTTTATTCAATAACGTCATTTTTGAGTATAAATCTGCTTTGCATGCATGTGAAATACATGTGTAATCCTCCCTTTTTCATTTGTCCATTCTCTCTGTCTTTTTGTCTGTCCTATAGGTCTTCCTGCTGTCATTACCACTTGCCTGGCTTTGGGCACACGGCGCATGGCAAGAAAAAATGCCATCGTCCGCTCCCTGCCCTCTGTGGAGACACTGGGCTGCACTTCTGTCATCTGCTCCGACAAGACAGGCACACTGACCACCAACCAGATGTCTGTCTGCAGGGTGAGATGGAGACCCCTCACTGGCACAGCACACTGCAACTTTTATTAACACCTTGAATTTACGAACTTATTACATCTTAAGGCTTGTTGTGCAGTAATTACATGGAAAGCAATGCAAACTAAGTTATTTGAAAGTTATTGTAATGAAAATGGAAGCCTGGAACCACTGACAGGTTTTTTTATGCAATACAGATTCTTCTTAAGCACTGTTTGGATAGGATTATGCTGCGTTCACATACTTGCATTTTAAAGAACGGTGTTCCACACTTCATAGCTGTACGCAACTGATGGTGGCATGAAGTCAGGCAAATGTTGGCGTGGGGACAGCATTATTGGCGAATATAGATGATTATCAGAGGAGAGCTTTAGCAGTGTAGATTGTTTATTTAAGGTGGAAATGCAGTAGGACTTTTTGTTGTACTGGGTTTGTCTATAACTCAATAACGAGACGTTTGACATCCATGGCTCCCATACAAATCAACGTCCAGTTTATTTCACCACTGCAGTTAGCAGCAGAAGTTGTGAAAACTGAACTCTTAACCACTTACTGCTACAGCATGTGGAGCATTGCTGCGGGTGGTGGCAGAATTTCACATCGCGGCTCCGCTGAAAGCAATGGAACATCCAGTTTGCCGTTCTCCATCTCCTGCCAGCATGTGAGCGCGTCATTTACCTGAGGAGGTGGGGTAATTAGAAATTAGTTGAGGAGTTATTTGGTTTATCTAAATTATTGAAACACTCAAAGAAACTTTCTGTCTCTGTCAGACTAAAATCTTGTGCCTCCTAAATGCAGAAAAAGGAAAAACATCTTTAATTTGCAATATTAGTTAATGTAAAATTTTATGCAAGACAGTTTGGACCATTTCTATTCTTCCATTTGGCTTGAAAGTTTCACATAACGTAAAAAGGTAACTGGCATTTTTGGAAATACACAGAGATGTGTATTTCTCTGTGTGAATGTTTTCCATTTATATGTGATCTCAAATCAAGCCGGTACTATCCTACTTCAGGTGTACATCTGAACAGTACAATGACAGAAAAAAATGTTTGATTTCATGTGGCTATGTTGGCTGTAGGCTGTAAACGTTTGCTACCCTTTTTGTTAGAGTGTAAATCGTGTAGCCACTCTCATCTCTGTTGTTAACACTGAAATTTCTCATTTTGGATGAATCACTCATAAACTTATAAACATCCTGTGGTAAAACCACAGTACCCCACCTTCCCATAGAAAATTAATCTTGTCCAAATAGTACTTTATTCTGTTTTTTTTCTGACCAAGAGCTGCTGCACGGTTCTAGCCAAGGATAACCTGTGAATAGTCGTCTTCATGGATGATAAAACAAGATGTACATATAATAATGTAGATAAAAATTCTTGTGAAAATGTCAGTATAATTCTGATGAATCTTACTAACTTAAGCTGTGTGTGTGTGGGTGTGTGTGTGTGTGGGTGTGTGTGTGTGTGGGTGTGTGTGTGTGTGGGTGTGTGTGTGTGGGTGTGTGTGTGTGTGTGTGTATGTGTGTGTGTGTGTGTGCATGCATGCTTGCATGTCTCTGTAGATGTTTGTTGTGGATCTCGTTGCGGGCGAGAGGTGTGTTCTGAATGAGTTTTCAGTGACTGGATCTACTTATGCGCCTGAAGGGGAAGTGTGAGTGCTTTTAACATCTACTTAAAATATAAACGCATACACACATACACAGCATATGACTAACTTCAGTAAAACTGATAATGACACAGTACCTGCATGGTTGGACTGCTTGTGACATAACATTTCTAATCATGAACTCACAGTCTTTATAATCTTTAATAAACTTCTTCCAGAAATCCCACTCTATACTCGTACCCATGCATTCTCTTTCTGTTTCTCCTCTCAGGTACAAGGACGGTGCTGTGGTGCGCTGTAGTCAGTATGACGCTCTGGTGGAAATGGCCACCATCTGTGCTTTGTGTAATGATTCTTCTCTGGATTACAATGAGGTGTGTGTACACACTTGTGTATTCACACAGATATACTGATGCAACAGTACAACTGTATACAGTCCAACAGGGAATGGTTTAAGCTCCTTTGAGAGTCACCAGTGGGACTAAAGCACATAAACAGTACTGATACAAAGACTTTTGAGTATTAAGTGGATCTCTCAGTACCTTCCCTTCTTATTTTTAAAATTTGTGCTTTTCTTTTGAAACAGAGCAGTATAGCATAATTAAAAGGGTTGGTGATATGGGAATAATATTATATTACAATATATTAATAAAAAAACAGTCTGTAAAAAAACAAAAACAGAGTGCCAGACAAAACATGTTAATTAACAGTAAAAGTTTGTTTTCTTAGTGATCATAGACATTTGTAAAATTAGTCATTTAATTTCTTAGAAATTCTGCCTTTTACTTTAAATCAGCAGTTTCATTAGTTATTATAGATATTCTGACTTAACAGTATTTTACCATAACAATTACAGTAACAACCATTAAAATAAATGCAAATGCATGAGAAATATTTCTATTACTGTAAATTACACAGCAGTGTTAAAATACAGTATATGTAGGATTCATTTAGATGTATAGTTTATTTTTTTCAAAAAAGAGGTATTTGCCATTAAATTTTACAGTAGCTGTGAAAATCAGTTTTTCCTTACGGTAAAAGCATATTATAATTTATCATAATAATGATGATTGATATATATTAGTATCGTCATATTGCCTGCCACTAATTGGCAGAAATCCAGTAGTTAAACAATGATAGTAATAATGTTATTAAGTACTGACGACATCCATGTCGTGCTCAGAAAAACATAGTGACACAATTGGTGACGATAATTATAACATATTGTCATATTGAACACCTCAGCACACTTTATTGTTTATTGTAACTGTTAATCTACTGATATAAACATTGGTTTGGCTGCTTCTTTATGAACTGAAATTTTTGTATCTAAATATAGAAATAATAATAATAATAATAAATTACATTTATATAGCACCTTTCACGAACCCAAGGTCGCTTAAATAAGTATGTATTTTTATAAAAGAATGTAAAGTAATAAATGATATAACTGGAGTTGTAATTATCGATCATTATATTGCACCATATAGAAATAACTCATGATTTTGCTCTTTTCCCTGTCACATACCCACACGTTCTCACGGTGCGCACATACCAGAGTAAAGGTGTGTATGAGAAGGTGGGTGAGGCTACAGAAACCGCTCTGTGCTGTCTGGTGGAGAAGATGAATGTGTTTGACACAGACCTGAGGAGTCTTACCCCTATAGAGAGAGCCACTGCCTGCTGCTCAGTGAGTCTGCATGTATTTAAAGCGGCCATTATCTTTATTTGTCTTATATTTTATTTTTTCCTTGAGGCCCATTTGCCGCTTTTGTGTGGTTTAATGTAATGTTTTACCTTTCTGATATTGCTACCTCATCCTCAAGTAGCTGCTGATACTGAGTACCCATACCAGTCCTAATCCTGTCTCTCAATAGGTTCCTGTAAATCCTAATATTTATACCATTCTGCTTTTGAAGTACTTTATTTTGGTTATTTTGTTCTGTGTCACAAATAAAACATACTAATCTTGGATGAATGGCATTTACTGATAACTTCACATTTGAATGGCTTCAGAGCAACAAACAGTTGCTGTGCTCTGGCGTGCCAGTATAGGGCTAGATAACAATATGGTATCAGTGCAACACTAGCAGTCATAGTTTATTTTTACATCACAGTTTTCATTGACAACTGACCTCTCTTCATTGCCTTAGAATTAAACAGGCTATTTTTGATACTGTGCTGTACTGATACTGTTCTGGTTGGCTACTTGTATTATGGCTCATTCAAAACCAGTCTAGGCTGAAATGTACAAAACAAACTTAAGTTTGGACTAAAAAAAACTTCAGACACTAACTTTGGACATCACAGCCATTTTTGTGACATCACAACTGTGTTGACCTTAAAATTCATAGGCTGTTTTTGCATTTTTTTCATATATGGACTGTGTGGACTGGGAAATAAACTGTTCATTTTGGAAATTTATCAATATTTACATAGTATGTCAAAAAAGCAAGGAAAAATCATATTTTTGTGATACAGCATCTTTAAGCTGAAGATGTTTTTCAGTCATTAATTGCTGAGCATGTGTGTGAATAATAAGAGTGGTCTGAATTGTGATTTGATCTGTCTTCAAGTCTTCACTCTTCTCATTCAGGTGATAAAACAACTAATGAGGAAGGAGCTGACTCTCGAGTTTTCTCGAGACAGGAAGTCCATGTCTGTTTTCTGCTCTCCTAACAAACTCACCCGATCAGCCACAGGAGCCAAGATGTTTGTTAAGGTATGTTTACGGATCACATACCTATATTAGGAAAAGCTGTAACAATTCACAGAACTTACAAGACTCTTACCAGGCACTTGAATGCTATAGGTTTACAAATGTGGGCTTGAATTCAGGTGCTTATTTGTATGTGATGTAGCATTAATGAAACTTTAAAACGTGCAATTGAATGTTGTACGCATATTTTTGCAGCTGCGATAATACACTGTGTAACTAAAGAAGTACAAAAGTAATTGCACTCTATTATTAACTTATAATATGCTCATGTAGCGTGAATCAGCACATTCATCCTGAAGCAACATCAGTTTTGTCCAAAGCGGTGGCAGACAGAACAAAGTGTGCAAAAAAAAGAACGTGCAGTGGTATAATGAACCTTTCAAAGCTTTCAGTACTGTTTAATTTTTGATATTTGAATCAAACTCCTAATCACCTCACTCTCTTTGTCCCACAGGGGGCACCAGAGGGTGTGCTGGAACGTTGCCGTTGGATTCGGGTGGGGGGTGGTACTCGAGTGCCCTTGACCTCAGACCTCAGGGAGCAGCTGTTAGGCACAGTGAGAGAGTGGGGCTCAGGTCGGGACACCCTGCGCTGCCTCGCCATGGCAACCAGAGACTCACCTCCTGACCCCCGAATGCTGAACCTAGAGAACTCCTCTGCGTTCACGGAGTATGAGGTGAGCAATGTGGCCTCTGAGTAGAAAGCATTTGATTAGCTGAGTCTACAAGGGGAAAGTAACCCCTTGAACTCCTATGTAGTTATGAGAGTGAAGAATGGGGAAAGAAAGAAAATATGTAAGAAATTTCAAAGGTAATTTTAAAAACATGACATAGAATTTTGTTGGAGAAGTATTCTTGCCATGAATTGGCGAAAAAGCAGGTGTGGAAGGTGAAATAGTTAAATACTTTTTTCATTTGTCTGTAGTCTCACCTGACATTTGTGGGCTGTGTGGGGATGCTGGACCCTCCCAGGAAAGAAGTGCTAAACGCAGTGCGTATGTGCAGACAGGCTGGTATACGTGTCATCATGATTACAGGTAGGTCTACACACACACAAACACACACACACAAACACACACACAGTAGAGATCTGCATGGGGATGAAATTGAAGCTTGGACTCGACCGGTGCCCGCAAGTTTGAGGCCTGACCAGACCCAGCCCAAGTGGTACTGCTAAATTTGAAACTCAAACATGCTCCTACATGCTGACAGAAAGGGATTATCCCAGATATAGCTTTACAGTGCCTTGTTTTGTTACTAATTGCTTGAGAGGAACAACAGAATTTGTCATACTGGGATAAAAGATGTGGTACTTTACACATCTGTAACACACCAACAGTATTTATAATGAATATATTTTTATGGACTTGATGATCGTATCTGGCACAGATCATTTACCCCCTCTGATCAGCTGTTAATGTTTATCCCAGCTGTAAAGGTCATCTGACAACTGCTGCAACTGCAGAAACAGAAATGCTTAACACACTTTGGGCAAGCTCAACAAGTAAGCGAAAACATCTGCTGTGACAGCTGCACCAACCCAAAGCGTCCTTCTCATTATACATGGTTTCATTCAGGGGCACAAGTGTCCTGCATCAATGCAAATGTCTGTCTTTGTTAATGATATTCAGATATTTAATTTGTCATTTCTGTATGTGTTTCGGCTTGTGCAGGTGATAATAAAGGCACAGCATTGTCGATCTGTCGGCGTGTTGGCATCATCACAGAGCAGGAGGAAGAGGAGGCTGAGGGTGCTCCCTTCGGTGGCGGACTGACCGGACGGGAGTTTGATGAGCTGCCCCCACACCTGCAGCGGCAAGCCTGCCGAACTGCCCGCTGTTTCGCTCGTGTTGAACCCACACACAAGAGCCGTATTGTAGAATATCTTCAGAGCCTCAGTGATATTACAGCTATGGTGAGTGTGGTTTATGTATAATAGCTGAACAACCTATTGCTAAGTAATTAACAAGAATGTGTGTGCCTAAGGATGTGTTGTAGAAGACACATAAATAAGCTTTTTAATAAAACAGGCTAATGGAAATGACTGGTTCTTACAGTTCCACCAACAAAGCTAGAGGTCAATTTGACACTCGATTTAGTAGTCTGAACCCTGTAACTCATTCTTATATTTCTTTGAAGGTAAAATATCTAAAATCAACAACTCTCTTATGCTCTCCCCCCCTAAAACCTTCTTTTGAACACTCAGCCTCTAGACTCACCCTGCTTCCCTGCTTTCAACCCTGTTACCAGAGTCTCTTGTTAGTGAAATCATTACCAATTCTAAAAGTACAACCTGCTTCCTCGACCCCCTCCCCACACCACTAGTCAAAGCCTACATGTATGCTCTGGTCCTGTCACGCATCTCTCCGGCTCTGATACGCTCACAAACTCCATCTCCTTGAACCCTCTGGGGGATCACATGACCGATGACTCTTCTCAGCACTCCAATCATCGATCTCATTCTCCTGAATACCAATCTTGTACCCCTGTTCTGTCATGTGTCTAGTTAGATTTAGTATAAAGCCCGGGCATTTAAACTAGTTACTTTGCGAGGTGTTGCTTTTTTGTGTGAGAGCTACTGGGTTTTTTTCTAATTGCCTTCTTGAATTTTTTTTACTTTGTCTGCTTGTCTTTGCCCCTTTGGATTTGGTTGCCTGGTTGTTATGGTGTTTCTTTTCTGTCTTTTGATTTTTTTGGATTTGATCTCCGCCTGTTTTACGACCACGCTCTTGACAATAAAGCCTCTCCTTTTGATTTTTACCACAAGGGTCTGATTCTTCTGGTTGCGTCACAGGTCCCCCATCTCACTTCTGTTATTAACCAGTCATTGTCTTCTGGCCATGTTCCCTCAGTGTACAAAATTGCTGCAGTTACTCCAGTCCTTAAAAAACCTGGCTTTGACCAATCTAACTTTAATAACTTTCGTCCCATCTCAAATCTTCCATTCTTATCAAAAGTCCTTGAGAGTGTTGTTGCAATACAGCTCAAAGCTTATTTGAAAACGCGTAATCTTCTAGAGCCCCTCTAGTCTGGTTTTTGGCCACATCATAGCACTGTAACAGCTCTGGTTAAGGTTGTTAATGATCTGCTAGTGACAGCTGATGCCGATGCTATTAGCATTCTCGTGCTACTCGATTTAAGCGCTGCATTCTACACAGTTAACCGTTCCATCCTCTCTAGACTAAGTTAGCTGGGTATTATAGGCACTGCTCTTGACTGGTTCACTTCCTATCTAACAGATCGTAAAAAATTTGTTACTCTCTCTGGGCATCATTCCTTCACTTCCACTGTCACTCAGGGAGTCCCGCAAGGCTCTGTACTTGGCCCATTATTATTCATTATTTACATGCTTCCTCTTGGCAAGATTATTCAGCAAGCCATTTTAACCTTCACTTTCATTGCTGTACGGATGACACTCAGATTTATCTCAGACAGATCCGCCCATGGTAATCTGGAATCTGGAATTGTGCCCCTCAGAAATCAGGAACTAGATGAAACACAACTCTCTAATTCTAAACAGTGAAAAGTCTGGACTCATTCTCATTGGTTCTAAAGCTGCTCTCAGCAGAACTGGCCCCCTCACTCTCTCAATTGATGACGTTGTTTTGTCTCCCTCCTCTGTTGTCCGTAATCTGGCTGTCATCCTTGACGTCTCACTTAAACTCGACTCTCATGTCAGCTCCTTGTTAAAACCTCTTTTCACTTAGGCATCTCTCAACCATCTCTCTCCCAGTCAACTGCTGAAACTCTCATTCATGCTTTCATATTTAGCCGTTTAGATTATTGCAGTTCTCTTCTTGCAGGCATCAGCTCGGTTCAAAACTCTGCTGCTCGTCTCCTCACTTACACCCGGTCACGTCACCACATTACACCAGTTCTACAAAACTTTCACTAGCTTCCCATAAACTACCATATTCATTCCGAGATCCTTCTTCTCACCTACAAAGTTCTCAACAACCTTGCTCCTTCCTATCTCTCTGACCTTCTCCAATCCTACAAGCCTACTTGCACTCTCCATTCTTCTACCGCTGGTCTGCTTACCATTCCCTACTCTAACCTCCAAAGCTTTGGTGATCAGGCACGTTGCAGAGTAGCTCCGCGCCTCTGAAACTCTCTGCTGTAGCAGATTGTGTCCCCTTTGCATCAGGCATTAAGACAATTCTATCAGTGATGTTTGCTGGTGAACATACATTACATTAAGAGCTTTCATGAGACCATTTCTTACCTATTTCTTCTGTTTGCTCTCTCTTTCTCTCCCTCTCAGACAGGCGATGGGGTGAATGATGCCCCAGCTCTGAAGAAGGCTGAAATAGGTATAGCAATGGGCTCAGGGACGGCAGTGGCTAAATCAGCTTCGGAGATGATCCTGGCAGATGATAACTTCTCCACCATAGTGGCTGCAGTAGAAGAAGGCAGAGCCATTTACAACAACATGAAGCAGTTCATCCGCTACCTCATCTCCTCCAACATTGGAGAGGTGGTGTGGTGAGTACTAACTAAGGGAGAGGGAGGAAAAGGGAGAGAGAGAACTAGAGAAAGAGCATGATTGAAATATATACCAAACCAGTAACATACAGTAGTTTGCAAAGTCAGCAGGCATCCTTTATTTATATAATTTCATGTCAAAATGGCCATTATTAACAAGTGTTTTTAGGAGACATATTAAGGAGATTACATATAAGACAATCCACTTGCGTAGGGAAGGGAACGTCAAAATAAAATTCAAAGTGAAAAATCAAACGTTTCTGCAACTGGTGTTCGAAAAGAACAAGACATGGTAGACTACCAAAACTGTCCCCATCAGATAAACAGTACTCTCATCTTTGAGAGATAGCAGAAAAACCGGCTTCACTTTTGCTGCAGATCTGAAAAAGTCCACAGATGTTTCTGCCCATCCTTCCACTGTGAGAAGATAACTTGGTGCTGTGGGTCTGAAAGGATGTGTAGCTGTGAGGATGCCATAATTGAGAAAGGGAAATAGACAAAATGAGAAGAAAATTTGCAAATCAGATTACCTCAGATTCCAAACCTCAGCATCACTGAATGGGTTTGTGATTACTCGCAGACAATGCAACCGTCTGAACTGGCACTGATTAACGAACAGCTTGTATGTAATGACTGTTCTGACTGGAAATTACATAAATGAAGGGTGGTCTCTGACTGCATCACAGTACTTTATATCTTAATTTATGGAATTTTACAGCCTGAGCCTGATCTGAATGTAATTCTAAAACTCTGTTCTGTTCAATATTTTCAATAGTTTTGAGTGGTATGTTAGGATACATGCTACAATTACAGAGGTCAGCTACAAATTATAAGTGTTTTGCCAAATAAATATTCTTAAGCCCATTTTCTTTTCAACTTGTCTTTACCTCAGCATTTTCCTGACTGCTGCTCTGGGCATGCCCGAGGCTCTTATCCCTGTCCAGTTGCTTTGGGTGAATCTGGTGACGGATGGCTTCCCGGCCACTGCTCTGGGATTCAACCCTCCGGACCTCGACATAATGTCGCGTCCCCCACGCTCCCCCAAGGAACCCCTCATCTCTGGATGGCTTTTTTGCAGATACCTCATCATTGGCTGTGAGTTTATTCTGCATATATCAGTCTGTCCTCAGGTAAATTTGACTAGGGCTGCAACGAACAATTATTTCAGTAGTCAATTAGAAGCAATAGAACGCTCAAGATCGTGTGTTATCGCGAAATAACATCAGCCGATCTCGAGTGTTCTATTGCTTTTATACAGTGGTTAAATGAATAAAGTAAGAAATAAATACATTGGGTCGTGGATGTGGCATTTAATATGTTTTAATGTTAGCAATTCCTTCCGCCAAATTATAGTTCCTTAACAAGCAGGTTGTTGCTACGTCAGAGCAACAAACTCCGCTCACTTGCTGCACAGTATGTTGTAAGCTTTTGAAGTACGGACTGAGCCATAAAACTGCCGCAATGTCAAGTTTAGCTCAGTGTTGTTATTTTTTGCTAAATCAATATTAATGCTGTTTTGTTCCAGCCAGTCTGTAAAGCATCTTACAGCCCATTTGTTGGTATTCGGTTAATTTCTGGCTAATTGCAGGTTGTTTAGGTGTTCTTCTGTCACAGCTGCCGACTGAAAAGCTTGCTCAGTGATAATGACAGTTTTGGAATTTAGTGTAGTCTCATCTTCTGTGTCTGAGTCTGACCAAACTGGCTGTAGATCATGTAATCTTAAAAGTATCAATTTTCTGTTTGTGTGCAAAGTAAGAAGTAAAAACGTTCAAATGGCTTGAGCTTCTCGTACAGCTGTCAAAGTTGTTGCTTAGCAACAGTGTCTCAGCAGAGTGATATAGTGTTTGTGAAAAAACAAGTGCTGTTATGGCGAAATAACAGCACGTTTGAACGCTTCTCAACCAATCAGCTTGCATGGCCGGAACTAAATGTTGTATAATAAAGTATCAACCATTTTTCAGTCAGTCAACTAATCTACCTAGCAGAAATCATGTTTCAATATGGGTTCTGTGAAACACCACTTACTTTTCATGCAATGCTTGGTCCCACATTTGTGGGCAAAAACTCCCAACCTTTAGCGGTGCACGTTTTTTCCACTGTACCTGCTCTTTTATTGGCTGTTTCCTGAATCACTTACTTGGTTACGTCAATGACCATCTTTTGCTACAGAACTTGTGAACGTTTGAGTTATATGTTTTAAAATATCGGGAGACCTCTGTTCACTCTTAAACTCCATTGTAATTATAAAGGATGTCCGTTTCCCCTCTCACATTACCAGACCTGGTAAATTGCTTTAGATTGTGAAAATTTGTTGGAACGTGCAAATTACAATTTCGTCATTTGTTGTAAATGCATCGTTTTTTGGTAGGTTGTGCTGTTGACTTATACAACGCACCATTTCTTGTTTTATCAAGAAATTATCTGTGCTGTCATTCTCTGCTGACCAGGCTCCTGACCAAAAAAATCGCTTCAAATTGTGAAAATTTGTCATAAAGGGAATTAAAATATGCCCAGCTTTAGACAGATGATCATATGTGCTCCTACTTTGTTGGAATGTAAACCTGCAACCACAGTGGGCCTTTTGCAGATAAACTTGGACATTGTGTAACAAAACAATAGGAGGCATATTGACTCCAGTCCTTCCTGTAGTTTAGTATAATCTGGTGGAATGATTGCATGTATCATATGACCGCTATAGAACAGTGTTTACATTTTTTTTAAAGTAAAAGACACATTGACAAAAAATATCTACATCAGCATTTATTTCACGATCAATGTTGTTACAGCCCTACAGTCAACACTACTGTAAATCTTTTCAAATGTAATGCACTATAGTTACATTGAAATACAAATATGTAATATGTTTCTAACAGAATATAATTGCAGTGTGTTGTGAAGAAGATTTGCTGATTCTAATCTCTCTCACTGTAGGTTATGTGGGAGTGGCCACAGTGGGTGCTGCTGCTTGGTGGTTCATGGCAGCACATGATGGACCTAAACTCTCCTTCTATCAACTGGTCAGAAAACATATTACTCACAATGACCTGATTACATGTTTGACACTTTTGTATTTAAGAAAGAAACTTTTATTTTTTTACTCCTGTGTGACATTATGTAGTTCTTTTTAATGTGATTCGTCTCCAGCACATTTTGATTCTCCTTTATTCTCTTCGTCTCTCTCTCAGTCTCATTATCTGCAGTGCAGTGAGGGACATGCTGACTTTGCAGGAGTTCAGTGTTCTGTATTTGAGTCTCCCTATCCAATGACTATGGCCCTATCAGTGCTGGTCACCATAGAGATGTGCAATGCTCTCAACAGGTAAGTACTAAACCCTCCAGAATGCTCTGTGAGGTTCATTTTTTTTGTCTTTAAAGCCCAATTCAGAAACTGAAACATCACCACAGACATTCCAGGAACACTACATCCCTGTTTCCAAAAAGGTTCAGACACTGTGCACAATATAAATACAATGATGTGCAAATCATTTAAACCCTATATTTAATTTAAAAAAGTACCAAGGCAACATATCAAATGTTGAAATGGAGACATTTTATTCTTTTTGAAAAATATATGCCCATTTTGAATTTGATGTCAGCAACATGTTTCAAAAAAGTTGGGACAGGGGCAAAGAGTGGTAAAGATGCAATAATTCAAGAATAACTGAATTACAAAATAATTGAAAACTGTTGTCACTTAACACAGTCTGCTGCTTCATCAAGAAGTGACACTTGAATCTCTATTCCGCAAGGAGAAAGCCATACACCAATTCTATGCAGAAACACCACTGAGTTCTCTGGGCTCATCTCAGATGGTCCAAAAGACAGTGGAAATGTGTGCTGTAGTCAGATGAGTCCACATTTCAGCTTGTTTTTGGGAAAAATGGATGGTAAGTTCTCTTTACTAAGGAAAGAAGGGACTATCCAGACTTTTTTAGCAAAAGGTGTAAAAGCCAACATCTGTCGTGGGATGGGGTGCACCAGCGTCCGCAGCATGGGTGACTGGCATTTGTGTGGAGGCGTATATTGGGATTTTAGAGAGACATATGCTGCCATCAAGATGTCATCTTTTACTGGGAAGTCCAATGTTATTTCATTAAGAAAATGCCAGGCCTCTTTCTGCATATGCTACAACAGCATGGCTTTGTGGACACCGAGTGCTTTTGCTTGACTGGCCTGCTGTCCAGATCTATTTCCTATTGAAAATGTATGGCATATCATGAAGAGGAGAATCAGACAACAGTGACCATGGACCGTTGAGCAGCTGAAGACTTGTATGAAGCAAGACTGGGCTAAAATTCCACTTACAAAAACTGAAATAATTAAGATCCTCTTTTCCCAAATGATTAAAAAATTAAATAAAAAGGAAAGGTGATGTAACACAGGGGTAAACATGCCTCTGTCACAACTTTTTTGAGTGTGTTGCAGGCATCAAATTCATCAAATTGTTTACATTTACAAAATACAATTAAGTTGGTCAGTGAAAGCATTGGAAATCTTTTCTTTGTACTTTTGTCAGTTAAATAAAGGTTCAAGAGAATGAACAAATCACAGATTCTTGTTTTAATTGCATTCTACAAAATGTCCCAACTTTTCCGGAAATGAGATTTGTACGTAAAGATGTATGACGTGGTCAGAAAAACTCCCGTAAAATCTGACCCAACACCTCTGTTTTAAATTATTATTTTAGGCTTTACAGGGCGACTCGCAGTAGTGCATAGATATCATATTTTAGCATTTTTTTTTCATCCTGATGTAGTACTGCTGCTTCTTTCAGTGTTAACAAAATCCTACATAGTGCTGCTTCAAAAGCTTGTGTTGCTGCACAAAAGAAAACTGTGCTTTGAATTTACATGATTCAACTATGTCAGTTTACTTCTTTTGGCAAGACTCAAAACTGCAGGTTGTAAATATTTAGCTACAACTATTAAGTTAATTTGTTATTAAAACATTGAAAAACGAATTCAGTAACTTTCAAATTCTTTACAGCAGTAAATGTTTCAGCTTGATTGCTGGCTCTTCGTTAAACACATCATTTGCGATCATACACTAAATGGTAGAATTATATAATTGAGTTTCTCATGGCTCAAGCCTCTCCTGCAGCTGCAGATGTAAGATTATGAATTTGAAGTAAAGAAAATGACTGAGCCACTAAAAGCTAGTGCAGTAGTGGTGGAAGGTGTGCTGGGATAAAATCCTTGTTGTAAGTGCATTATTTTTTCGGTAGGTTGTGCTGTTGGCTTACACACCACACCTTTGAAGAAAAAGCCCATTTTTTGAAACCGCAGATCAGTACAGATAAAGTCGTATTCTAAAGGCACATTTTGTTAATTTTCAAACTGCATGTTTTGTTCATTTTCTGAGTAAAAATAAGTACACATCCTACACAGAAAACACAGTTCTGCACATTTTATTACAATTACTGTTGTAATTGTAGGCTTTGTCAGAAAAGTGCTTCTGCACAGCTCTGAGGAAAATATGATTCATAGGACGAGTTCACGTGTGAAATTTTATGTCTTCTCTGAGTCTTTTGTTTGGCTGGTTGAGCTGTAGTTGAATGTGCTCTAAAGCGAGACATACACTGTGCATTTTAAAAAATCTTGTTCTTTTGTGACTCGCACTGTATTTTTGAACAGACCATTGTGTTTGGACAGAGCCTACGATTTGTATACTAAAACTGCATGAAAACCCTCCATCTGACTGCAGTTGACCAGGGCATAACTAGCAGGGCATAAATTTCACAAACTGACTAGTGGCAAAGGTGGCATCCTGTGACAGTGCCACATTTAAAGTCACTGAGCTCCTCAGTATGACCCATTCGACTGCCAGAGTTTGTCTATGCATGCGTGACTACATGCTTAATTTTATACCCCTGTGAACAGTGGGTGCGGCTGCAACTCCTGAACTCAATAATTAGTTTGGCCATATAGTGTATGTTTCTCTATCTGTGCTGCGTTTTTAATAAGTAAAGTGCCGTGAGAAACATTGTGTAATTAACATGTCATCACACATATATTGTTTTCATACATGAATGTATATAGTTTGTATGTATAGTATGTATGTAAACTTTCTTGAGCAAAATTAATTTCTGTGAATCAAGATGACTCTGGCTTTTTTTCAAGTGGGACAAAATCAAAACAGTAGTGACTCATGGAAAGTTTTTTTTTTCCTTGAAAAACTTGCTCATGCGACTAAAAATATCTACTGACTGATTCTGAAAAGAGCAAATGGATTTCTTCTTAAATTAAGTCAGGCTAACTTATTGCTATTCATTCACAAATATGCACTGAGGATTTTGTTAGACAATTTTAAGTGAACTCTATCAGTAGATTTGAAAGGCATGTTCATGCTATCTTGTTTTTGCCTACCGTCTGTGCTGAGCACTGATCTGGAGCTCGTAGTGCTTACATCTGTTTTGAACTTCTGTGACTTGAACCTGTGTGTTTTCTGGGTTTTAGCTCGACAGCCTGGCACATTAATCATTTACCTCAGATAGCACTGTACATAATTGCAGAAGGATCAGCTACTTAGCAAATAAAACCATCCGTTCTTACCTGTTTTATTACCTGTCAAAGATAATAGCAGCACAGTGGTTAGGGTTTGGCTTTGAACTCACACCCACAAGATGCACAGATTCAAACCACAGTTTTTAATCCAGTTTTAAAATGTTGTGTTTATATCTGTTACATATGCTTACAGTAGATATTTGCAGCTATCACAATGCATATGATATGCATACATTTAGTGGTAGACTTCACCCAGCAACCATATTGCTTATAATTAATGAAAATTAGTAGATTGTAAGCATCAACACAGTAGTCTGTTAATATATATATATATATACATATATATATATATATATATGTATATATATATATATATATATATATATATATATATATATATATATATTGTATTGTGCAAAAGTCTTCTAAGCAAATGGTTACAAAATAAAACATTAGATGAAAAACAAGAGTTTCTTATTAAAAAAATTTTGTTTATATATTATGAGCTGGTTAAAGAATGCAGATTTCTCCTCAGTGCCCCCAGCTGTTGAATAGATGTTCAAATCCCCCACCAGTTCCTGGTTAGGAATCTCTAGGCACCTCACGATTCGATTTGATTACGATTCAGAGGGCTACAATGTGATTTTAAAATGATTATCGATGCATCTTGATGCATCTTTTTCTTTCTATACAGGATTTCTATTTTTCTCACTGTGTGAGGACTTTGTAGTTTTAAAGTAGAGTATTTGTAATGATCCATAATGAATTTATTTCCAATATCTTTTATTAATAAATCAAATGGAAGTGATGTGGAGACTCTCATTTACTGTTCTTATTTGAAGCACATGAGATGCAGGCTGCCACTAGATAAAATGCCCAGTTACGGTGAAATAAGATCCTGTGGTAATGGGTGTCCACGCTATCCTGCCCTTTTTCTTTAGTGATTCCATAACTTTGGTTTTGGTCTTGTAGAGAGTGGGGGGTTGCTGTGTCAGTGAAATATCTTTGAGACGAGACGCTGTATCTTGGCTCCAAAGTGTGCAACATCACGCGAAAGGCCTGGTTTTCAGTGACTGAGTATGGAGGCAAATCCTTGGCAATAAAAGTTGCGATAGAGTTTGTAATTCGCCTCCGAGTTGGGTGGAAGATTTGACATCGCTTACTTGATGGTCCTCAGGTTGGCACAACTGGACAGAAAACGGGTGAAAACATGTAATATGGTTTCTCATGTTTGTCGTTTTCAAAATATTTTAGTTTAGTGTGACACAACTTGCATATAGTGTGGCTCTTGTCCACGTCCCTTTTCCCCTCCATACGCTAGCTCGGGGGTTGGAAACGGCTTTTTTACAGTCCTGGTGTGGCTGCACAGATTTTTAGGTAAAAAAACAGAATTAGATTTTTAGGTAAAAAAAAAAAAGCTCTGCTGATCGTTCTAACGCTGTTTTAACAATAAGTGGTGTTAAACGCTGCTAATTTACCACCCTATAACCCTGAAGGTTGGCATGCAGACTGCAGGTCACTTAGCAACGCAGTCTAGCCTAGCTAGTAACTAACGAAAATGCACAGATTTAAGATGAACATCTGGAGACAAATGGACTTATTCGCATTTATAAGCAGCGCAGTTGGTTTCCTGGTACGTTAAATCTGCAACAAGAGACTGTCAAACACTAAAAAGTTGCAAGGATGAAGTCAGCTTCTCTTTTGAATTCTCCCGTTCCACCTTAAATGATGCCGCATTTACGTTCTGGTGCCTCAGGCAGAATTTAAGGTGGAACGGGAAAGTTCGAACGAGAAGCTGGAGAATAAGAAGCGACTTTAGCCTCATAAAACAGTTGAATGTTGAGAGACATTTTACAAAAACTGTTCTACTTTTGAGGAAAAATTTTCTGGTGGAGATGGGAGGAAAGCGGATATAGCTAAAGCTTAAAGCAGAGCAAAGTAAGTCTGCGTTTTCGTTTAACGTTAGATTTTTTAGCCTATACTAGGACATTATCACATACTGACATAAATTGGACATAAAATATTGTGGCTCCCAAGGTGGTTTGTTTTTTGTTGAAAGGACAAAATGGCTCTTCTTAACATTTGGGTTGTTGACTCCTGACCTAACCTGGCTTTTAATGCAGAGGGTGCCGGTCGGATTTCTCTCTCATCCAGTTGTGTTTTTGTTATGTGCCCGCCACAGACTGTCCGGGCGCTGCACTTCCGCACTTCCAAGTTCTGCCTTTTGCGTTCCGTCAACATTACGTTATAAATTAAATATTTAGAAAATCGATTTTTAACATTTATGAATCGATTCAGAATCGTCCATGTCTGCATCGCGATGCATCTAAGAATCGAGTTTTTCCCCCCACCCATAGTACAAATGTTATTTGTGTTTATAATAACAGTGCTTTTTTGAGCATATCAGCATGTACTGCCCAGCTTTTTTAAATGTAATTTTCTCAGGTGCCTTTTGACTTTTGCACAGTGCTATATCTTTCTGTTGTGTAGAGTTTTCAGTAAGTAACATCAATATAAAAAAGGGCTAAACCCACAAATGGGTTCTTTTGTAGCAACTGTTGCAAGACAAGACATGGATGTTGGCAGAAACGCCATAATGAGAAACTGTAGCTACACCATGTCTTTGTCAAAATACCTACATTTAGAGTTTGTTATTGATTCAAACTATATTAATAACTGATGTTTGAATGCAAGTGAAAAGCGTCACATGATAAATTGGGTGCGTTTCTTTGTCCTGTAATCTCACCCTGCCTGATAGCTACAGCAAGCATCTGTGATTGAATCCTCCCCTGGTTTTACTGAAGCTTTGTGTGGCTTAAGATCTGAAGAGTTCATCCTCTATCTATCTTAATAGTAATGTTAAAACAAATGAAGTAGGTGAACTTTCTGCTCAGCCTATGAATCTACCCCTGAATTACCACTAACATTAACATGACCAAAAACTACAACCAATCTATCTTAGCAATGTGACCTTTCACATGCATGCAAAATAAAAATAATTTGAAATGAATATTAATAAAGTATTCTAAATGTGTAAATTTTGACATTTCTCATTAGGTTGAACTGGATTTTTCTGTTCAGTCAAGCAACAAAAACTACGACAGAACACAGAGCATGGATTTCTCATGAAACATTAGAAGTCCAGAATCTGTAGTCTGAGCCAATGAAAGATGGCATCTTGTCCTTGATGCAAAACATTAATAGCAGCACAGTAGTTTTGGCTGGAGTTATCCATCAGAGTGTAAGAATTATGAATGTTTTGAAGTGTTGCTTAAAAGATAATATGTTTATGTGTTTGTATTTTAGCCTCTCTGAGAACCAGTCTCTTCTGAAGATGCCTCCCTGGTCCAATCCATGGCTGGTGGGAGCTATCTGTCTCTCCATGGCTCTACATTTCCTTATCCTATATGTCGACCCACTGCCTGTAAGTGTGTTCTTATTGTAGTATAACAATTTAGAAAAAAAACTCTAAACACGTTATATACTATAAACACATATGTGCATATTTAGTGACCACTGTATTGTGTACATGTACTCGTTAAATGCGAATATCCTGCACCTCAAAACAGTGACCCATGTGGCCAGACAATGCTCTCTGTCTGAGCATGAGGAACTATTTAGGCGCAGTGCACGCTGAATATATATATATATATATATTTTTTTTTACTTGGACCAGTATCCTTTGGCCACTCCACCACACCCTTCTTCGGGGATAAAAACTACTTTTTCCTCCTCTTTTTCTCTTCTTCAAAGCTGTCTAAGTACATTGTGATATGCCTTAGGCAGTAATGTACCTGTGTGCCCTACCCACCCACACACTGCTGCCTCAAATCACCCAAAAAAAAAAAAAGAAAGAAAAAAGCACATCAACAATCTCCCTCGCATTTCATCCCACCCTAAGTGTTCACAGACATACTGACATAGACATCGGATACACAGGACAGACAAACAAACAGATTAGAAGATGCAGACTGATGTTTTTTGTTCTAAGCGGTTGGTCATGGTTTCTGAGTGGCGCAACTGTTGTAGCCTCTGGGTGGGAATCCACAATGACTAAACTGGGAGAGGAACTGAGTAAAAATTGCTCATTTTGCTCATTTTAGCTGATATTAGCTTGTAAATAGGTAGTCATGAGAGTGGACTCTAGAATGATGCAAGATAAGATTTTACTAGTCAGTGACTACTATTCTAATTTGCATACTTTCTAATTTAATGGAAAGGTTTTTATTATTAATTTTGTTATTAGCAAAATTATATTGTTTGAATAAAAAGTAGAGTCTTTGAAGTTGTAACAATTTCATTCATTCATTCATTCATTCATTCATTCATTCATTTATTCATCTTCTTAAACCCCTTGATCCAGCTAAGTTTGTGGTAACAATAGAGGAAGCAGAGAACCCTAGACAACTCTGTCCCTTGCAACTTCCTCCAGCTCATTCTGGGGGATCCTGAGCTGCTCCCAGGCCAACTTGGAGATATAATCCCTCCAGCAGGTCCTAGGATAACCTTGGGGTCTCGACCCAATTGGCTGTGCCTGGTGTGGAGGACTAGCGGCTCTACTTTGAGCTCCTCCCCAGGTGACTGAGCTCTTCACCCTATCAAGTAAAGTGAAACCCGCCACCCTGCGAAGAAAGCTCATTTACACTATTTGCATCTGCGATCTCCTTCTTTCGGTCATTTCCCAAAGTAAGTAGGTGAGGGTGGGGATGTAGACTGATGGGTAAACAGAGAGCTTTGCCTTATGGCTCAGCTCCCTCTTCACCACTACAGTGTGGTACGGTGACCTCATTTCTGCTGTCACATGTCCCAGCCTGCAGCCAATCTCACAATCTCTCTTCCAATCACTCGTGAACAAGACCCCGAGATAATTAAACTCCTCCATCTGAGGCAGGTTCTGTCCCCTGGAGCATGCCATCCTTTTCTGGGTGAGGACCATGGACTAATCTGCATACCAATCATTTCACACTCGCTGCTCCGGTGCACGCTGGAAGCATCCACAAAAAGCAGAGATGCCACCTTCCGGCCTCCACACATAATGGCATCCTGACCTTGGCTATGCCTTGGAGACAAGGCACAACCTTGGCGGACACTCACATTGAATGAGCTTGACTTAATGCCCAGTATATGGACACAACTCTCACTTGTGTCCATATACTCACTTGTGTACAGAGACTGAAAGTCCCGGGGTAGTGGCCCCAGCACCTCATACTCCCAGAGGACCTCCTACAGAATATCTCATGTAACACGGTCGTAAGCAGACAAAACACATGTAGATTTGGTTGGCAAACTCCTATGCCCCCATAACATCTGTGTGGGGGTGAAAAGCTGGTCCATTGTTCCACGGTCAGGATGGAATCAACATTGTTCCGCCTTAGTGTGAGGCTTGACTGTCGGTCAGAGTGACATTTCTAGCACCTTGGCATAAACTTTCCCAGGGAGACTTTCGCAGTGTGATACCCCGGTAATTGGCACACTCCAGTCCCCATTCTTAAAAATAGGAACCACCACCCCGGTCTGCCAGTCTAATGGTACTATTCCTGAGGTCCATGCAACAATGCAGAGGTATCTCAGCAATGACAGCCCCACAACATCCAGAGCCTTAAGTACTTCTGGGCAAATCTCGTCCACCCCCGGTGTCTTGCCACCTAGGAGCTTGCCATCTACTTCAGTGACCTCACCCCAGAAGCCTCTGGCCCTGACTCACGCGAGGGAAGCATGTCTCTCAGGTTTAGGAGTTCTTCAAAGCCAACTTGTCCTTAAAGGCCTCCTTCCTCAGCTTGACGGCCTCCCTCACCACCGCTGTCCACTGGTGGGTTCTTAGGTTGCCCTAACAAGCACCAAGAAGCTACTGGCCACAGCTAAGTCGATCATTGACTTTTGACCCAAGGAGCTCTGGTACCAAGTATACTTTGAACATCCTTGTTTTTGAACTTGGTGTTTTTTATGGACAATCCATGCCTAGCACAGAAGTCCAATAATAATTCACCATTCAGGTTTAGATTGGGCATGTCGTTCTTCTAAATCACCCCCTTCCAGGTTTCCCAGTCATTGCCAATATAAACATTGCAATCTCCCAGCAAAACTAAGGAGTCTGTAGGTGGGACCCTTTCCAGAACCTCACCCACTCGCTTCAAGAAGGCTGAATACTCCGTACTGTTGTTTCATTCATGAGCACACACAACTGTCAGAGTTTTCCTCCCTGCAATTTTTATTCGCTTTAAGGCGACCCTTTTGGGGACTTTCTGAGTGTCCCCACACCCGTCCAGTGCAACTTGTGCGACTCCTGAGTAGGAGAGGGATCAGCCCCTATCAAGGAGTTTGGTTCCAGAGCCAACACTGTGAATGGTGAGCCCAACTATATTTTTTTGGTACCTCTCAGCCTCCCACACAAGCTTCAGCTCCTTCTCCCAGTAAGGTTGTGTTCCACGTTCCAAGGGCCTTTTTCCGCTGCAGGGTTCAATGCTGCCAAGGACCTCCCTGCCATCTCCCACTTCCTGTAATGCATTACACTGGTTCCCCACGCTGAACCTTGTTGGTGGTGGGCCCACATGGTTCCCCTACAGTACCTTTTTGGGCTAATCCCCAGCCAGGTTATGTGAGCTGCCCGGCCATCAGGCGCTTGCCAAGGAAACACTACCCCCAGGCCTGGCTCCAGTGGTAGGTCCTGGTAACCCTCTCCCCGGCATGGCACACAATGTATTGTAGTTATTGACTATTCAGAATTTTTGATCGGGTTAGTCTTGTCTCCAGACCTGTGAAGACCATGTCCTCCTTTTGCTCTAATGAATTTACAAGTTTGTGAAGTCTCTAATAAGTAAATAGTGTCACAAATTGGCTTAAATTCGAACAGTGACCTAGAAATAGTGCAGGATCTTAAATATTTCATTGTTGTTTTACAGTGCTGTGAAAAATTATTTGCCCATGACCCTATTTCTTCTATTTTTGCTTATTTCACATTGAAATGTTTCTAATCATCTAACTAATCTACATATAAGATAAAGACAACACGAGTAAACATAAAATGCAGCTTTTAAATGATCATTCCATTTATTGAAGATAAAGATTTATTCAAAACCTCTATCACCCATGTGAAAAACTAACTGCTCCTAAACCTAAGAACTGGTTGTGCCACCCTTGGTAGTTACAAATGCAATCAAAGATTCGTGAAAACTTGCAATTTGCGAGTCTTTTACATCACTTTGGAGGAATTTTGGGCCACTCTTCTTTGCAGAACTGTTTTCAAGGGCTTTTGAGCATTAACTGCCCATTTAAGGCCACAGCATCTCAAATCAGGATTCAAGTCAGGACATTGACTCAACCACTCCAAAACCTTAATTTTGTTTCATTTGAGCCATTCAGAGATGGACTTGCTTGTGTGCTTTGGATCATTTTCCTGTTGCATAACCCACTTAACAAACTGGTAACAAACTGGTGGGTGGATATTCTTCTTCAGGATTTTTTGGTAGAGAGCAGAATTCATGGTTCCATCAATTATGACAAATTGTCCAGGTCCTGCAGAAGCAAAGTAGCCCCAGACCATCATACTACCACCACCATGTTTGACTGTTGGTATGATGTTCTTATGGTGAAATGCAGTGTCAGCTTTACACCAGATGTAACGGGACCCATGTCTTCCAAAAAGTTGCACCTTTGACGTGTCAGTCCACAGAATGTTATCCCAAAAGTCTTGAGGGGTCATCTAGATGTTTTTTGGCAAATTCGAAATGAGCATTTGTGTTCTTTTTGGTCAGCAGTGGTTTGCACTTTGCAAATCTCCCATGGATTCCATTTTTGCCCAGTGTCTTTCCTATTGTGGAATCATGTACACTGACCATAACAGGAGCAAGTGAGGCCTGCAGTTCTTTAGATGTTTGTCTTGGGTCTTTTGTGACCTCCAGGATAAGTTGTTGATGCACTCTTGATTAAATTTTTGTAGGTCGGCCACTCCTGGGTAAATTCACCACTGTTTCAAGTTTTCTCCTTTTGTAGATAATGGCTCTCACTGTGGTTCGCTGGAGTCCAAGGGCCTTAGCATTGACTTTGTAACCCTTTGACTGGTAGATTTCAATGACTTTGTTTCTCATCTGTATTTGAATCTCTTTAGAATGTGGCATCACATGTTGCTTTTTAAGACCTTCTGTCCTGCTTCACATTGCGACCCAGATTCTATTTAAGTGATGTTTAGATTCAACAGGTCTGGCAGTAATCATGCCTGGGTGTGACTAGTAAAATTGAACCCAATAGTCAATTGAATTTGGTTAATTGGTTGATTTAGTAGCTAAGGGGGCAATTATGTTTTCACATAGGACCATGTAGGGTTGAACAGCATTTTTCCTTCAATAATTGAAATCATCATTTAAAACAGCATTTTGTGTTTGGTTATCTTTGTCTAATCTTACAAGTAGTTTAACAATCTGAAATGTTCACGTTTGACGTCTGAAAATAGAAGAAATTGAGAAGGGGCAAATACTTTTTCATAGCTGTATACTTATGATAAATTTTATTTGTTTTAAATGTTTTTAAATTCTGAAATGTTTCAGTTGTTCAAGTTTAATTAAAAAAAATCCCAGAAAGGTCTAGTTCCACATGCTGATCCATTTTACTATGGCCAACGTGGTGACGTGTTATAACTACTCTGCTGCATATTTTGATGGTTTAAAAGAAACATGTTGAGATTGTTCAGTTGAATGGTTTAAAAATGTGATTTTTCAATGCTGTTTTCACATTTATTTTTTATATGTGAATATGATATAATCAAGCCAAAACGTCATTCTTTTAATTATTTTATTCGATCAAGCAAACAAAGGATTATACCCCACAAACCTTTTATTCTGTGATGAAACAAATCAATAATATGAGTTTCCATAGAGACAGAAAACACGGTAGCAAACAGACAGCTCCTCTTCTACTATGGCCAACTAATCTGTTGGCAGATTTAAATGAGTTAAAGGGATGTTTGTTGAATGAAATCCAGATGAGACATTATGGGGTTAACCTTAATGCATAGGTTTAGATGTGCTGCAGAGGTGAAGTGCTCCCGGACGTCCACTGAGCAAACAGCGGTCACAGTGGGAAAGTCCAAGTCATTGATTCATGAGCTGTATGAGTAAATAATTAGGCAAATGCCATGTGAACCTTGCAGAATCCTAATCAGTGCTGCGTGTTCTGTTGTATTAGCTGCATGAATGTTGTTGAAAAAAAATGTGTGTGATATCATTTGATTGTCATGACTCATGGGTATGTGTGTGTGTAATCAAATTGTTGTCTGGTTTGGCCGCAACTTTATAACTGCATGACATTTGCATCAAGGCGATGACAAGGCGTATTATACAGCCAGAGACAAGTGAAAACATAACTGCCTGGGGGCACAAGAGGGATTGCTTCCTCAGTCTGCAAAGCCACTTTCTCACAGTGCTAGCTGCTGGCTAGGTACACAGCAGATTTTACAGTGTAAAAAGAATTTTAGTGTGGATTAGTCCTGATTCTGAAGTTATTTTTAAACCTTAAATAAAAACTATTCAAAACATGTCTGAATGGTGCCAACAAATATACAACATAATGTGTACGTTTAACTTGAATAGATCTGGACCTCTATAAACATTGAGAAACTGTCAGATTTGAGACATAAAAAAAAAATAGATGTTAAATAAATAAATAAATAAACATCACTGAGTCAGTAGTATGATGTGCATGCAGCTGATAGTGGTTACCCTGTAAAGCCTAAAATAACAATTCAAAAGTCAGAAGCGCCAGGTTGGATATGGCTGGACTTTTTGGATCTTTACGTATTAATGTGAGATGCACAGGCTCAAAAAGAAGGTCCAGCTTAATGTTTAGGTCTCAAATGCAAAATCAACATCATACTAATAAAGATATGACAATAGTAGATAATTCACTTGCAACCTCAGAAGACACGTCCTTCACCGAGTATAAACAGAGTTCTCTTAGAATACTCTTTCAACATGCTTGTAGAAGTCAGGTTCCTCCACTTGGTGAGGGGGTCCAAAGTACATCTGACCTTACTGAATGTTCTTCTGCATGTTGTATGCAGTTGCACATTTCTATCAGAGAGGTCTGCAAATCCCCAAATCTTACATAGTGCAGCTTTAGCATTTACACTGTTGATTTAACATAAGCAGTCTCACCAATAAGACTGTAAAATGCAAAATAAATAAGTGTGAAAGGGGAATAAAGTGTTTGCTATTGTTATTGGTACAATCAGATATTATAGACCTCCATTCATATGATTATTGATGTAGAGGAATTAATGGAGGTCTATGGAGGATGACACAGTGCTGGTAAAATAAGCTTGCATGTGGTAAAAAGCACTGTGGTGCCTGATCATTTGTTTGACTCTGTGTGCATGCAGGTGATATTCCAGATCCGACCGTTGTCCTGGCCACAGTGGGTGACTGTCCTGAAGATGTCCCTGCCGGTCATCCTGATGGACGAAGCGCTCAAATTCTTGGCCAGGAACTACATTGAGCCGAGCAGTGATTTGGAGCAGGAGGAAGAAGAGAGACTGCATCGCCGTCACGGTGATGGCGGGGCATTCGGAGGTTTGCTTGGGAAGACACGTCGGGCCCTAAAGGGCGTGTCCTGGGCATTTGTGTTAATCTCTGCTCCTCTTTTAGCCTGGATCTACAGCCTGGACTCAGATATCACCAATATCTTCTGGGAGTAGAGAACGAGAAATAGAATGAGTGTGTGAGAGTGAATGAGAGCATGAGAGAAAGAGAGAGAGATAACTATTATTTCTGCTTGGTAAGAGTTGCTGTTCGAGTGAGGAGCGCAACCGCCTTTTTGGTGCTGAGGGAAAGAGCAAAGAATGAAAAAAGAACATAAGAGAAATAAACAAGCAAAAAAGGGAAAAAGAAAGGGAGGTTTGGGAAGAAGAAATGAACCTGGACAATCAGGGATGATTAGAACAGACAGAAAAAAAGAGAGAGGAAAGGCAATTGTCAGATTCTGTCTTCATTTTTGTGGAATTTTGTGGGTTTCTTTTGCTTTTGCTCTTCAGCTTCAGCACCATGTCCTTTTCTAAGCCGTCAGAAGTCCAGAGGTGTTCTCATGCCTGCTTTTGGACTGTTGATGAGGTTGGGCACGTGGCATTTAAATGTCCATTCCTAGGTTAACATTTACATGAGCCGTGCATACGGTATGAACGAAAGGGTTACACTCATAGGCAATACAGGACGCGCTCATTCATGGACAGTTTGTCAGTAAACATTAAAAAGTACTGTCTTATGTTAGTTTTTGTTTTATAATTGTTTTTAATAGTTTGCCTGCATTTTAAGAGATGTTACTTGTTCTTAATTGTTAAGGAATTTGCCACCATTAATATCTGGTACAAGTCGGAGAGTAATGGTCCGAGGCATCCGTATAAGGAATATCTCATAATATAGAAAGAAAGAGAGTATCAATACTTGATCATATTCTCTTAGTGGTAAAGATGAAGTAAATGGCACAGTTTTCCAAGTAGTCTCATTCAGCTGGATGTAACAGTTGTTTTATTTCACTGTTAACATTGTCAGCAGTCTTAAATAGCAGTTTTTTTTCAAGGTAGATTTATTTTTTGGTGCTTTGTATTTCATCATTTTCTGCAGATCAGGAGAAAGTCTATTTGTAAGCCTCATTGGACACAATTCAGACGACATAATTTTAACATGTCTTTATTCCATTAATGATGTTCCACAGCTACCTTTCTGTTTGTCTAATTTCACACACCCTTTATGATATTTAGGACGCACAGACTTATTTCCTTTAATCACTGCCCCACAGCTACACTTACCTGCAGACAAACAAACATGACTGCTTCCTGCATTCGTAATTTGGCTGATGGATGATTCTTCACTGCAGTAGAAGGAATGACAGTGCGTCTTTTCAAAGGTCACAGCTGTGTTTCCCAAAAACACTATGACGCAAAGTCTGCAACCTCCCTTGTGATTGGCATAGGCATTTACCTAAAGGGTAGCAGTAACTCTCCCATGTTAAACTGTGATCGTCATAGTCTGTTTCTCATGGTGGGAGGCAAATCATTTTTGGAAAACCAAGCCCAGACTGGTCAGGCATGTTGCTGCTCGAGAGCTGGTCTGCTCACCCAGCAGCTAAAGCACCGCCGTGCATTTCATTCTTTTGCTCGTTTTTGTCTTTTATTACTTACGAAAAAGCTGTTTACTGTCTTCAACTTGCACAACTTTTCAGTCATTATCTTCATTAATATTGTGTCACATTACCGTTATTGATTTTATTAATGTTCCTCTAGTCATTGTGACAGCTTTTAGTTCTCCAGTTGTGCCCCCAGGTAGTTCTCTTGCCTGTAATGTAGTCGTTTTTCCCTCTTTTTACGCTAGCAGGATTTGCAGAATGGGAAAGTGAAAGGATGCCTGTAGCGAGGAGTTCTTGAACACACATAAAGCGGCAAGAAAGGGAAAAAAAGAGATTGAGGAAATACAGCATACTGTCTTTCCCTTTCTTCTACTTTCTTGCGGTCATCCTTGTTTATCCCCAAAGTTACATTTTGTTCTATGTGTGCTATTTTCATTGGAAACCAGTGTGCAAAAATAGTGAAAAATTTAAGAAAACACAACAAATTGCTAAGAAAGAAACTCATTATTTCATGTGCGTGTCACATTTTATTTTGTAATTTTTTTGTTTGTTTTTTTTTGTTTTTTTAAACAAAGGAAGTGACTTTTGTAGTTTTTTGTTATTAATGTAATTTATACCATTATTGTCACTTTACTGCTATTTCATTGATGGAGAAACGTGAAAAATGCTTCATGGAATGGAAATAAACAGTTACAGTTCACTTAAAACTCTTTATTTTAATGTCAATGAAAAGAAATGCCCTTCCCAGTTCATCCTTAAATGGTCAGCCCTATTCTTGCAATAAATAAATTCATAAATTCTCTCAATACAAAAGTTGTAGATGTGCCATTTTACAAGTCTCATTTGAAAGCAGAACAGTTCTATGTGTGCATGTTGAGTGGTCTAAAGTTATTTAAACAAGTTAATAGAACATCTTTAACAAAATGTAGGTAAAAATTTCAAAATAAATAGTAAATACTGACATTTAAAAAATGAATGCAACAACAAAATAAAATGACTTGTAGGTACGAAGGGCTGTAGTGAAATGTCCAACACGAAACTGTAGTAGAAATTGCAGTGTTTGTAATTGCATTAGACGGTTATTATAGTTGAGATGGCTTTTCAGTAGGATTAGAACACACACTCTGAAGTGCGCTTGAATACGCTGCAACATCCTGAAACCATGAGTCCACCAGAAAATTGATCTTATTCCACAGAGACAGATTTGAACTTGCAGGACAGACAGGAGATGACAGGACACAGTTGAAATTCTTGGAGTTCATCTGCAGAAACATAATTTTATCACCAATTAAACTTAAATTTACCTTGTTCATTGTTCATTCTCTTATAAGAAGAAGAATTCATGTACAGTTCTTACCTGCATATTATCCACTAATCCTTTGGTTTCTATTTTGGTGTAGTTCACCTTCTTTTTGATTTCTGTGGACAGGTTGAGGTCACATGCCTGGTAGTTCATTAGTTTCTGTGCAAGTCCACACTTTAATTGAGGGAGAGGAGAAGAATGAAAAGATGTCAGTCATAGAATTTAATACTAAGGACACAAAATGGGAAAATTAAATTTTTGGCAACAGAAGCTTGATGTCAATTATGATTTTAAGTCTAACTATTTAAAATCAAGTACTTTGTAGTGTCCAATAACAGCAATAGCAGTAAAGGTCTGTTGGTAGGAGGGACAGCCCCACTTTAGCAACATTTATGGACTTTCCAGAGTTTTATTACTCACTCCTATAACTTAAAAGTATAATAGTTCGGTTTGTTTTCCATGTAGTTACTGAAAGCAGGCCTTAGAACATGGAACATTAAGGTTTTGATATGAAGAAAACAAAAAATTCCCATGTATTGAAAGTATTCCCATTTCAATTCATTAGTCATTATTAGTATTACGAGTTGTTTTTTTGTGTATTTGAATGCCTACCATTTGTTCCGCATTTAAAATGGACTTGTCCTCTGCTAGTTTGGTGAGCTTTACATCAGCTATATTTGTCCCCTCAGTTGCGCTCCTAATAGTCTGCAGCGAGTTCAGGATGTTCTCTGTCTGCCTCCTCGTGTTTTGGCAAAAAAGTGACATAGATGAGACTGGCCATACCACGGTCAGCAGCAGGAACATATATACTGCAAAATGCACTGCAAAATAAAAAAATAAGCAAATATATAAAATAACAAATAAACAAAAGAAGAAAAGTGTAGTGATAACACAGTACACCATACTGATCAAAACCTGGGAATAAAAAAATTGAGAGTTTACTTATACAGACTTACTTGTCTCTTCTCAGTGTCAGTAATGAGAAGTTCAGAGGCCTTTCTGGAATGATGGTTCCTACCTGCAAGTTCTCCTGCTGCAGTTCATCCTCCATTATGCCTACTCTATATATACACTGAAGAGCAGGGCACCCCTCCATACAGACACCCCGGGGGCTCACTTTCTGAGGAACTCTTGCCTAACTTTGGACCATTTCTGGGGCTCTTGGCTACCATTCTGAAATGCAATACTCACAGTTCTCACTCACACATGTACACGCGTATTTGTAAGTGTGTGTGTGTGTGTGTGTGAGACTGTGTGTATATGACTCATTATGGATTTGGGATGGGCTCGTTTGAAGTCTTGCAGCATTCAGGTACTACTAACCCAAACGTGCATGTGACATTACATGTAGGTGTAATCAGTCACTTTTATATTTACATGGTATGTTTATACCACATTTCTCCTTTTGTTAAATTTTCTTCCGTCTGCTTTTATGAATACATATGAATTGACTCAGTTGTTTTCACTCAAAAACTTGAAACTTCCTTCTTTCCACAAGGTGTTTGCATTTTGTCCTTTATACTCACTTATATTGTGCTTTATCAAGACATCTTACTTCAGTTTTTATCACAGACTTATTTGGAGCAGCATTTTAAACTACTTCCAATTTAAATCTAAAATTTGCTGAACAGCCACTCCATGCCATTACCTATAAATACAGATGTAATTACCTAGATTGTCCAGATAGCTATGCTGTAGACTGTCATTCATACAGTGATAACAGAAGTCTATATATATTAAATATTACATAAAGCATTATTTGGTTACCCAAAAGGAACTTACTGGACATAATGATGCATTTAAAGTGATTAACATATCATAAAATGGCAATTTACAAGTCCAGTTCCAAGTTAAGACAAGAGAAAAATTGTTAATAAAAATAGAAAGCAAATGATTTGCAAAGCCTTTTGACTCGTGTTTAACTAAAATCAGTATAAAGATTTTAATGTTTCTACTAATTAACTAATTAGTGTGTGTGTATATATATATATATATATACACATAGTGTGTGTGTATATATACATATATATATATATATACACATCAATCATAACATTATGACCACCTCCTTGTTTCTACGCTCATTGTCCATTTTATCAGCTCCACTTACTATATAGGTGCACTTTGTAGTTCTACAATTACAGACTGTAGTCCATCTGTTTCTCTGCATACTTTGTTAGCGCCCTTTTACCCTGTTCTTCAGTGGTCAGGACCCCCATGGACCCTCACAGAGCAGGTACTATTTAGGTGGTGGATCATTCTGAGCACTGCAGTAACACTGATGTGGTGGTAGTGTGTTAGTGTGTGTTGCGCTGGTCTGAGTGGATCAGACACAGCAGTGCTGCTGGAGTTTTTAAACACCTCAGTGTCACTGCTGGACTGAGAATAGTCCACCAACCAAAAATATCCAGCCAATAGTGTCCTGTGACCATTGATGAAGGACTTTACATCTACAAGGTGGACTGACAAGGTAGGAGTGTCTAATAGAGTGGACAGTGAGTGGACACAGTGTTTAAAAACTCCAGCAGCACTGCTGTGTCTGATCCACTCAGACCAGCACAATACACACTAACACACTGGACTACAGTCTGTAATTGCAGAACTACAAAGTGCACCTATATAGTAAGTGGAGCTGATAAAATGGACAATGAGCTTAGAAACAAGGAGGTGGTCATAATGTACCTGATTGGTGTGTGTATATGTGTGTGTATATATATATATATATATATATATATATATATATGTATATGTGTGTATATATATATATATATAAATAAATATATATATATATATAAAAATGACCCAAAGTTACCATTTTGGAGATACAAGGTTTTCTTCCGACAACAGCAAGAAATGAGACATGGACATGTTTACCAGTGTGTTACATCACCTTTCCTTTTCACAATGCTGGGTAATCAGTTGGGAACTGAGGGCAACAATTATTGTAGTTATGATAGTGGATTTTTTCCTCATTCTTGCCTGACGTAACACTTAAGCTGCTCAGCACTCTGGAGTCTCTGTTGTCATATATCACATTTCATAATGGGAGACAGGTCTAGACTGTAGTCAAGCACCTGCACTCTCTTATCATGAAGTCATGCTGTTGTAACATGTACAGAACAGGGCTTGGCAGTGTCTTACTGAAACAAGCAAAGGCTCTCCTGAAAAGGACATTGTGTAGATGGCAGCATATGTTGCTCCACAATACGTATGTACCCCCCAGCATTTATTATGCCTTCACAGAAGTGCAAGCTACCCATGCTAATAGCAGTAACACCCCTCCTAACCATGACAGACACTGGCTTTTGAACTTTGCGTTGGTAACAGTTGGGATGCTCCATTTGCTCTTTGGCCTGGAGAAGATGATGTCCATTCATTCCAAAAACAATTTGAAAGGTGGGCTCAACAGAGCACAGCCCGTTTCCACTATCTCAGATGAGCTTTAGCTCAGAGAAGTTGGCGGTGTTTCTGCATCTTGTTGATATATGGCTTCCGCTTTGCATAGTACAGTTTTAACTTGAATTTGTGCATGTAGCTACAAACTGTGTTTACTGACAAGGGTTTTCCAAAGTATTTCCTAGCCTATGTGATTATATTCATCACAGAAGCATGTTAGTTTTTAGTGTAGTGCTGAGGGATTGAAAATCACGTGCACTTAATAGCCTTGCCCTTTACAAACCGAAATTTCTCCAGATTCCCTGAATGTTTTAGTAATTGTTTTAGTAAACAACATAATGTTATGGACTGTAGATGTTTACATCTCTAAATTCCATGCAATTGTGCATTGAGAAACATTGTTCTTAAACTGCTGGACTACTCGCTCACACAGTTTTTCAGAAAGAGGTGACTGAGCCTTTTCTGAATCCTCTTTTTATACCCAATCATGATAGCATCACTTATTCGCCTGTTTACCTGTGGAAAGTTCCAAAACAGGTGTTTTTGATCATTCAACAAACTTTCTATATTATTTGGAATGTGTATGATAACAAAAAGAAATAAAGTTGCTAAGATAAAACATTAAATATCTGTTCTTTGTGCTGTTTTCAATTAAGTACCTGTAAATACAATTTACAAATCACTGCTTTCTGTTTTTATTTGCATTTTACCTACTGTCCCTTTTTGAAATTGGGTTTGTAATATAATAAATGCCTACAATGTTTCTGTCTTCCCAAAGAAATTAGTGTTGCAATTCCATCTTCAGCCTGTCACTTTAGAAGTACACTTCTGTATTTCATATCCCTCCGTTCTTGCAGCGGGTTTGCTTTGTGTTCCCAAAGCACTAGCCACCATACCTGTATACCCTGTGGAGCACAAACACTTTAGCACTGGCTACGTTTACATGCAAAGATTTTTGCCAATCCGATTGAATGCATTCCGCTTATAGACTACGAGTGAGG